AAACGCAGCGCCTTCGGAATACCATTCACCGATTTTCTTGCGCAGAACATGAAATAAACGTTTTGTTCGCTCTCTCTACACGCAAGACTATCGTCTTTCGACGACATTTGCAGACTAACATGCAGATACGGGGCAATTTTTTTTGCGCTGGGTTTTTAATTGTTATGCCGGGTTTCACATCCCAAAACTACCATATGATTATGAGAGACGCCGTAGTGGAGGGCTTCAGAAATTTCGACCACCTGTGGTTCTGTAATGTGCACCCAAATCTGAGCACACGGGCCTACAACATTTCCGCCTCCATCGGAAATGCAGCCGCCACAGCCGGGATTCGATCCCGCGACCTGCGCAGCCGAGTACCTTAGCCACTAAACCACCACGGCGGGGCCGCGCTGGGTTTTTAATATGTGTGTGAACCAACTCGCCCTAGCTTTAGCCTTAGCAACTATGAGATGGACCGAAGTGGAACGCTCTGGATTTTCTACCACCAGGTGCTCTTTAACGTGCGCCTGAATCTACGCACATGGGTGTCTGCATTTCGTCCTCGCCACAACTTGGCCCGGAACCGGAGCCGCGCCCTCTAGATTAGCAGCGCGACACCTGCATGAGCAATGGCAGACCACGGCCACTAGAAAAAAATAAAAACTGGCGATCTTGGGAAGACTAACCCCTGTATGCTAAAACGTCCCTTCACCTTCACTTCAGAAAGCCAATGGGAGCGCCGTCTCTAGGCACGGTAAGTCACTGCATATCAGCGATAATCTGCTGCGATTCTTGAGTAGCACAGCGTCATTTTCAGCCGAACGGTGGCGCAATGCTCAACTCTGTCAAGTGAAGAGTGGAAGCCGAGTCGAGGAGCGTTTGTGAATGCGGGGTGTGTATACAAGGCCAAGTAGACACGTGGGAATGCTCGCGTGCCCCGCCGCGGTAATCTAACGGTTATGGCACTCGACTGCTAACCCGCAGGTCGCTGGATCGAATCCCGGCTGCGGCGGCTGCGTTTTTTTTTTTTTAGCTGGAGGCGAAAATGCTGTTGGCCCGTGTGCGTAGATTTCGGTGCACGTTAAACAGCCCCAGGGGGTCGAAATTTCTGGAGCCCTCCACTACGGCGTCTCTCGTAATCGTACGGTGGTTTTCAAACATTGAACCCCACATATCAATCAATCCAGATTTTCAGAAAGGAATAGTGGAGTGGAACAAGCTGTCTGAAGAACAAGTATGTTTGTAACGCCCAAGGGCAATGCGAGGTCAATATTATTTTTATTTTATTTATTTAATACATACTGCGGACCACACTTCGGTCCAAGCAGGAGGGCATGGTGTAATGCAAAGAGAAATAGAATACACGCAAAACAAAACAAAAAAAAACAGTGCACAGTTACTCAGTATCGCAAGTACTACATTCGATTGTCTGGTTCCAGTCTGAAATAGTGCGTGGAAAAAATGAAAATTTGAACGTGTCCGTTCTCGCGAAGTATGGAGTCTGTGCATTTGGTTGGTGATGTCTTGTCGGTCTTGTGTTTAATGGAGAAGGAAAAGGGGTTGTATCAAGAGAAATTTTGTGATTATATAATAGAGACAGAAAATCAAGGCAGGACTTCTTTCTACGATCCTGAAGGGAACGAATATTATTAGCTAGCATTAGGTCTGTGGGGGAGTCCGTTCGCAAAAACCTAGAATAAACAAACCGAATGGCCTTCCGCTGAATCCTTCCAAGATTTTTAACGTTTTGTTTAGTATTGGGGTCCCACACGATACTCGCATACTCCAGCTTCGGCCTAACGAAAGTGAAATAACTAAGAAGCTTTACGTTTGGAGGGGAATTTCTGAGCTTATATCTTAGGAAGCATAATTTCCGAAAGGCAGACGAGCAAATATTATCTATGTGCATGTTCCATGATAAGTTGTTTGTTAGCGTAACGCCGAGGTACTTATAACTGTCAACCTGTGTGAGAGAAGACGATCCTAATTTATACACGTGTTCACTAGGGTTTTTCTTTCTCGTTACACAGAGATATACACTTTTTTCCAAATTTAGTTCTATTCCCCATTCTACACACCACTCCCGCACGTTTTCAATGTTTTTCTCGAGTTTGTTCTGATCATTAGTACATGTGACTTCCCGAAACAAAACACAGTCGTCAGCGAACAATCGAATTTGAACAGTAGGGTCAACAACAGTTACTAAATCGTTAATATACAACAAAAAAAGCAATGGTCCCAAAACACTACCTTGTGAAACCCCAGAGGTGACAGGAAGACACCGAGATTCTTCTTCGTTAATTTTTACAAGCTGTTGGCGGTTGGATAGGTAGGCTGCAATCCAGGAAACAAAAAATATCCGGAATGTGAATGTTTTTAAGTTTTGCTATTAATTTGTCGTGTGGTACCTTGTCGAAAACTTTTTTGAAATCTAAAAATATAGCATCAATTTGGCCGTTATTGTCAAGACACGCTGCTAACGAATGAGTTATTGTCACCAATTGGGTTGCCGTGGAATAACCTTTTCTAAAACCGTGTTAAAAATTTGTTAGTACGGTATTTTCGTCTAGAAATTCAAAAATCTGTTTGGAAATAATATGTTCAATGATCTTGCAGCATTGAGACGTTAAAGATATCGGACGGTAATTTTGAAAGCTGGACCGGTCACCTTTTTTAAAAACGGGAACAATCAGAGCTATCCTCCAGTCACTCAGCAGCTTCCCAGTGGACAAAGAAGTACGAAATATTACTACAAGAAACTTAGCAAGTATTTCGGCATATCTGCGTAAAAAGGCGTTTGGAATCTGGTCTGCACCACATGAAGACTTGGTTTTCAAATTTAACAGCATAGATAGTACACCAGAGCAAGATACAAAGTCAGCGTCATAAATGCCAGGATCTGATATTAACAGTGGATACGTTTGCGCAGGAGAAAACACACTGTGAATATAATGATTAAAATATTTAGCAATGATTCCAGGGTGAGAAACGAGGTCACCATCTATTTTCATTTCCCTTACAGGCTGCTTTTTGTCAGTAATGTAATGCCAAAACTTATCAGGATCATTTTTTATGAAGTTTGGTAGGAGGGTTTGAAAATAGTGGTCCTTTGAGCAGCGCACTGTGTTTTGCGAAGAATTTTTAATCTCACTGATAACGTCAGACTGTGCCTTCTTCTTCTTTAATCTTTGAAGTTTGCGTTTCAAGTGAATCATTTTGCATGTTATACAGGGTGTACACTTGTGAATTTTTTTGCACTTGTTCGCTATAAAGTTATCAAGGCAGTAATGGCACATGTCCTTGAACCGGTCCCATAGGTTGCAAACGTCATCAACTTCAAAATTAGCAAGACATATTTCTAGATGGTCAAGTACAGATTTGTCATTAGCTCGTGAGTAATCTTTGAAGCGCCGTGTCGTCGACCTATCTTGGGAGTTTAACTTGAGAAGGGGTAAAGTAACGCATACTAAGTGGTGGTCAGATATCCCTGGTTCCATTGCAACAGAGTATCGGTCAAAATTACGGGGAATAAATACAAGATCCAGAAGGGAACTACAAGGGCCCTGTACACGAGTTGGTTCGTTTACAACTTGTATTAGGTTATGTGTAAGCATGATATCAAACACTATGTTTGTGTATTTCAAAAATTCTGAACCAGCCATCAATCGTTTCCAGTCAATCCCTGGAAGGTTAAAGTCCCCAATCAGAAAAACTTTGCTGTTCACATATTTCGACATGTGCTCTCGAAGTCTAGTTAGATATTCCGATGGGGAATCAGGAGGCCTGTAAAGCGCGTAAAGAATGAAAGAGTACCCCCAGCACAAACCTTCATGCACAGGCATTCAAGTTCGTCGATATCAGGCAACAAAACGACCCGCATGTTGTTCTTCAAAAGAACAGCCACGCCCCCACCTCTGGAAGCCCTGTCTTTATAAGATCTGATAGGATGCGGGAAAGACGCTGTCATCTGATATGTCGCTTGAATAAAGAAAAAGAACAGGGCTAGGCTGACGAGCATAGGGCGAACATTCTCAACTCATTTCCAACAATGATATTCACGATCAGTCGGGGGCGTGCATTTACAAACATCGAATATTTCCAGTTTCAACGTGTGGGGCGTAAATTGCAAGAATAACAAAAAGAAGAGAGAGATGTCAATAAATGACCGCGTAACGTACAATGAATATGAAGGCCATGGGCATAAATTCAACGAGTCTTGGGAAAACAGCAGATATCGAATAAAACAACAAAGAGTGTTCAGTTAGCCGATGTTCTACAACATATTAACAGAGGCCAAAAAATAAAAAATACCGACTGCACTGACATAATGTGGCATTTCAGCGCAGCTCCACGGGTGTTCTCCGGATTTCCAGAGAAGATAAATGCCAACCGAATGGATTGCGTGCGTTTCCACACAGGTAATGTACTCTTGAGATTTCCAAGCAGTGCGATAAAAATTACTGTCATATAACCATTTAGTGTTGCCCTAACAAATTTGTACATTAAATTGCGGCATGCCCCTTTCCCCCCCAAAAAAATAATTTTTGGTAACGCTTAAGCTCGCTTGTGCTTGTACTTTCTGCAGCGTTACCTAAAGAATAAATTTTCTTTCTTTCTTTTTTCTGTCCTTTCTTTCTTTCTTTTATTTTTTCCTTCTTTCTTATTTTGATGGTGCTGAAAGGAAAGCTTTGCTGCATGTGTAGAAAACGTCACAAAGTGAGCCAAATACGTCAAAGTCCGTCAACGAGTGATCGGCGCGAAGTATATAGCACCATAGCCATAAATAATCGACGCCGTGGCGCGTTCTCGGTGAACTTGATCTTGTTCGAACAGCGCGATGTTGTGCGACGGCGGATATGTAATTGTAGGAGGCTCACGCAAAGACATTCGAGCTGCTGCAGCTGCCTGTGAGCTCGCGCTCGCCCTGCTTTTTTTTTTTTTTTTTTTTCTTCACGGCCCGCAGTTTCGCATGCGCGACACGTGGATATTTCTATACGCAGCTGCGCATAGCCGGGGCAGAACGTGGGAAAACGCGCGCGAAAGATCACACGAGCACTTTTTTTTCCCTCCCGACGCCCGTGGCACGAGCCGATCGAGTGAGTTCAGCGGAACCATTGTAATCTGTGAAGGCTTGCCGACGGACGACGGTACGATATCCACGTAGGGCACAAACCCCGCGACGCGTGAGTATACCATTACTCGTTCATCTGGTTTGTAGGCTCGCGATTAGTATTTGACTTTACACGCGTGCTGCAGTCGTCAGTGTAAGCTCGATCTCCGACGCCGAGCTAGCCAATGCGTGGCAACGCGCGGTTCATTTTGTGTTACTTTGGCAACTGCGGGTGTGTGTGTGTGGCTTGGGCGTTCTTCTTAAGCGAAGTTGCTTTGTTTAGACGGGGAGTGCCGTTTACTTTGCTGTAACACGTAGTTGGTGTATGTGTAACATAATATTCCGCCGACTGCGTAAGGATACGCCGGTGTGTGCAAATTTCGTGCGTATAAGCGGCCGACTTCTTCGCCCCGATGTCTGCACCGCGGAAGCTGATTGTGACGCGACTTGCTCTTGTCGGCTGCGCTGTCCCCGGTTTGAAGCGGTGTTAGGTGTAGGGGGGAAGGACGTAATGTGTGCCTGTCTCTTAAGATATCGATTAATAGATTGATATGTAGAGTTGAACTGTCTCTAAGATATCCCCTCACCCCTAAAAAAAAAGAGCAGCAGTCAGGGGAACATGGAAGCTTGTGATGAGAGGTTTGTAAACAATGGATATGTGTCGGAAGCAACATTTCGAGAAGCGGACTTGTCGTCTTCATTTAATGCTGTACGTCTTGAATTTCACCTTGAAATTTTTTTAAAGAAACATTAGCTTGTCATTGGCTACAGCACCCGCTCTAGGAATTTTTAATATTTGTAAGATAGGAGGAAGAGACCCCTATCCCACCCCTTTACGCACACACGCACAAAAAAAATCTGCCTACGCCCCTTTTCGCAGTGAAAACCCGATCCCTATAGTACGTGCTCTCATGTGCTTTGCCGATAAGAGTTTGCTTCACTGGTGCGGCGCAACAGGGTCGCATTTACGACCACGTAACCATTGTGCCGACATAGTATAATTTGTGCGTGCAAAAGAATTTCGGTATGATTTGCGTGATTGCAGAAATTTAGACGTCTCATTCTGCACCGCATAACAAATCATAATTATTTTCGTCCCGCTTCATGATTCAATTTAAAACGTGTGGCTAAAATAGCGCTGAAAAATGCGAGACGAGACTTCTTGCTTCGCGAATTTTTTCACGTTATTCTTAGTCACTCATATAGTTGTTGCGCCTGCCAAACAATGAAATTTCGTTCTATAATTCTGAAGGCACCCACCTGAAATACCGATTAATCGACTAAATGCTCCTCATCGACACGAGATTAGCTGATGAAACTTAAGTCGTTAATCGGTTTAAAACTTGATCGATTATTCCTGGCCGTTACTGTTTAGGGCTCCGCGGCGGACATAGGTCTGTGACATGGAGCGGCCACACAAATCTGCCATCTGATTGCTATCAGTCGACATCGCAGTTGTCGCTATCTTACAGCCGCGATAGCAGCTCCGAATGTATGGCTTCCGTGCACTTTCCCGTTATCGCTCCCTACAGTGACCGAACCAAGTTTTAGTACAATATCCTTGGCCGCATCAGCATGCACCCCAGGATGAAATACATAGTGTGCATTGACGTCACCGTGGCCACTATGCCTGGGTACCAGCTGGTTAAGAAGCCACTTGTACTCTTTCTCGAACGCGCGGAGCAAGAAAGTGTGACATCAGATTAGTGCTGTCCGGTCGTGTTCCTTTGTGTCACCCTTGGCGTTGCTGGCGAACAGAAGAAAGCGGGTGGAGCACAAAAGAACGTGTCCTCTCCTGCGCCGAGCTTCTTCAGTCAGATAAATGGTGACCACCGTGCTTGGGTACTCAACCCCTAGAACCTGTCTGTGACGTCACGTGAACACTTCGTATAGTTTAGTGCACCTTCACGCGGAATTAAAGGCGTGCTGAGCCGCTTTTCTATAAGTTATTCATAGATTAGCCCCAGTTTCGTGGTTTATTGCCTCACGAATAGATCACCGCAAGAATTTTCCGTATCCGTCAAGAATGAGCGGAGTTTCACATGGATCTGTCGCGCGATCGCTTATTCTGCCGTTGTGACAGCGGTGCTCGCTTGTGTTGCTACTGTGTCCGGCTCCCAGCATCCCGTGGCAGGCAGCCCATATAATAAAAACGCCGCTCTCAGTTTATGTCAGGTAGCAAATAGCGGCGATCTGCTGTGTGACGAAAAATGTGCTGAATGACGGCCGGTGCTCCAATTGAAGAGTGTGTGTACGGGAGAGTGCCTTAGAAAGTGACAACTCCGCGCTCTGCTAGTGAACCGATTCACCTTGCTGCCCACAAGTGCAAGATTAGGCTAAGCAGTTTGCATCAGTGTATGATTTCTGTTGTATATTTGTTTGTTTTTCCTCATCAAGCACGATAGGATGCGTGCCTTCCAAGTCCCCAATCTCCGCGTATTTGTGCTTGATCAGCGTGATGTTGCCGTAGTTTTCTTAACTGCAATGTCAAATGACAATTTATTATTTTTTATCTTGCGGCAATACTTTTGCGTCTGTTTTTTTTTTTGTGCTTGTTATGCCAGTTCTCGCCAGCACATAAGCATGATTGCCAGTTTGGGCTATAAATAGCCAAATTGGGCTACATTTTTGTGGAGTTGGCGGAATTTTCGATTGTTCGCTATTTGGCTACTTTTGGGTTGCTGCCTGTCTTGACTTCAAACTCTTATTTCCCAGCGCTTTTTATCCTCCTGATTGGTAGTTGCGACTCAAGATGAATGCGAATCAGGTGTTTAAGTGTGTAGTATTGTCTCTTTCCATTATCATGTCACGGTAACTTCACACCTTATTTAGGTATCAGCAGCCTTCTACTGACAGTTTCGCCTGTCAGTAATAATGAATTCATTTTTCTTTCAAAGCGAAGCTTCCCCAGCTGATTTGGCGAGGCTGCTGAGCCGTTCTTTCTCACGGTAGATAAGTTTATAGACTGAAAAGAAAGTGCCATGGAAGGCACATGCGAATTGTTTTCGATATGCTTGCCATCAACTTGATGCATACAACTTATCGTTTTACTTTTGTTTCGCTTGATGTAAGATTCGACATAAGCGTTGAATGTGACTGCGTCACTGAGCTTTAGTTACTTGCTTTAGTGATAAACCAGCTATTCGTCTCCACCGTACAGCTCCTTCGTCTCTGTTTCATTTGGCTATGAACCTCAGATTGTGGCCTCACTTCAAGGAAGACTAATAATCACCTGCAAAGAGCAACAACAAAATACAAATACTATAGCAAGCAAAGAGGAATTTCACTTTCATTTCTCCTATGTGCGTCACATTCGCCCTTGCATTGAGTAACAGCATGAGACAAGCATGTCACATGGGTAACTTTCCCCAAAAAGTATTTCTTGTTTTTATCTGGCTTCTATTAGTAAATGTTGCTTTGTTTCTTCATTTTGTTTATTTATAAATTCTATCTGTATAAAAAGAATAAGTACATAGTTGTGCCTCTAATTTGTTTTTTTTTTTTTGTAACATTGGGCTATTTTTTGCTACTTGTGGGTTACCAATGAGGTCTGATTTGGCGGGTCACCCTCTGAGTACTTGGCAACCTTGCCCATAACCATAAACATCAGTTTGCTAAAATGGCGTCCCACAGCGGTGGCGATCTGTCCAAGTTGCGCGTTGTTGATTTAAAGGAGAAGCTATCAGAGCGAGGATTATCTACATCAGGTAGTGCTACAGATAATAGATTACAGCCGTCCTTGATTTGAGACGCAGATATTGCTTATCCCATGCGCTCGGAGGCCGTGTCACGGCGACGGTTTTGTTAAGCACGCGCCGGCCGGTTGTATCGCTTGGAGTTCGCAAGCACTTGCGATGTACGATCTTTAGCGTTAATGACTTCACAAAGTGCTAAAAAGTATGTTGTTTAATGTAAATTATTATTTCCTGTGTAATCTGTAACTGTATGTTCCTTCTCGGATAACATTTTAGCGCTAGCGCGTCCACTTTCAGTGGTTGTTTAGATGCTCACTCGCCGTCTTTCGCCTTGATCGCAGGGCTAAAGGCCGACCTCGTGAAAAGGCTTCAGGCCGCAATAGAGGTGGAAAATGTAAGTACAACTCACGGTAATGTTGAACTGCACAGTTGAACGTTTTCATGTTCAAAGGAGCTACTGCTGGTGTAACGAAACCACGAGCCATCATGTTTACATAAGTTTTACTTGGCGTTGCATAAGTCAGTTGCCAGATTTAGGGGTGGTTGTTGCCAGACTGCCGCTCAATTTGGCAGAGAAATTTGCCCTCGTGCTTGTGCCTTCCCTGTGAGGGCTTTGTGTCGTCCGCTGTGCATTTTGCGAGTGCGTGCGCGACGTGGGCCGTTTTAATTAACAACCAACGTCGCACACGCCCTCGTAAAATGCACAGCAGACGACGCAGAGCCCTCACAAAAAAGACTAAACTACAAAAGCAAATCTTTCGTCAAATTTGGCGGCAGTCTGGCAACACTGGTTCCCCAAATCTGGCAACTGATTTATGCAACGCCAAACGAAACCTTGTCTTTCCTATTAGCCAGGTGCTTGCAAGTGTTTTATGTTTACGTTGGTGCATTTGCTTCTAGGCGGTGACTCCAGAACAAGAAGAAAGCATGGACACCGAAGAAGACTCGCAGGTGAGTGTCTGTTTTTTTTGTTTTTTTTTGTAAACACACTGCTCTGTTTGCTCTTGGTGTGCGCCTTCTCCGACTCGATGTGGTGCCGTCGTCTGTATGTTTGTTTCCCTAGAGACATTATGTTATATCGGGCCTTTTTTTCTTGTCAGGACGCTCAGGCTTCCCTTTCTCCTGAGCAAGATGCACCGGTTGAAAATCCCGATAAGGTATGTCTTTATCATTGTCATCCTTCTGAACGTCTCAGTAGGCGCACACACACACACACACACACACACACACACACACACACACACACACACACACACACCACAAAGTTTGGTAGCCTTTCATCATCGTGCATATTGTCGCGCCTCTATCCATGCGCAAGAAAAAGCAAAGTTACTTCATTAAGCAGGATTTTTCAGCCAATCTGCCAATGAGTTATAATTCTGGTCATAACTGCAAATTTGGCCCCAAATATTTAAGCAAAAGCTTTTACGTTGTGGAATCCCTCATAGTCTGTCCAATCCTTCAACAGAAGTAGAAGACAGCAATATAGGCTTGTATTCATTTTTTTTTTCAGCGATTACATTTTCACAGCCATTCAGATATGTCAATAAAAGTATGTGACACACACACAACATTGGTTAGAAAAAAGATGCGATGGCACAATATGACTTGCCCATGAAGGCTCGCAGCATTTTCTGCCATGCCACTTGCAGAATACATCTCTGGCTGAAGGCTACTGCACATATGTCTGGAAATGGTTACATGTATCGTGCATGTATGCACATTTTGTGTGAGTGTGAGAGAGAGAGAGAAAGAGATGCTTTCTGTGTGCATCAGGTTCACTCTTATGCAACACAGCCTTATCTCACCTCTTTGTGTTCCTATTCTTCGGTTGTTTGGTGCATGTGTTGTGCAAGTATCACTGAACATCTTTGGCCCAGGTGCTAGCTTATGACAGCATATGCCACGATGCCTCACAAAACAGTGCTACTTGTCAGCATTTTCTTGCGTGTCATCAACGTTGCGGCAGTGCAGTTTGCTGGCACATGTCTTGGAAGGTCCCTAGTTGGGAGTTGGTTGAGGTACGCTCATGGCATGTAACTTTCTATCACTTTTATTGTCATCGCAACAGTATAAATGATATGATAGCAATAACATGTTGAACTTTCCTGGTGTATATGCAGTCAGTAGTCGTACAGTATACAACGTAGCATCTCTACTGTTTCACTCGCATGGAGGACAGTGCTGCTGGAGTTGCACAAGTAGTGTAATCATTTGAATTCCCTTATGCTCGTGTCTTACTGTGTATTTGTCCTTTATCTTCAACGCTTTTTACGTAATTGCTACCTCATATATTACGATACAACTTGGGGCCATACGGTTTTCAGATGATGCATTGTTATGCACATTCCTGCTTCCTGTACGTAATTTATTATGCGTTTTGTTGCCAGGGCCAGCTGTTTTCAATGGCAGCTGGTTAGGGGAACTTGTCACTCTGCTCACATGATAGAGTACTGATTTCATGTGCGACACTTTTGTGTAACAATTGTCGTGCTACGTAAGGGTGGGATTCCTCACTCTATCAGACTGCTAATGACATGCCCATTGTGTGGCTGTCAACGAAGGTGTGCAAAATGAGATGCCTCTCCGGACTTACTTCGTGCCATTGTTTGCGTCACACGAGGTATAGGAGACGTGGCACAGCGATTTGGTAACATTTTCGCAGCGCAGGAGTGAGTGGACTTCAGGTGAATACACTCTGTAAATAATTTCCACGTGTTTACTTTGCTGTGTACTGTAGCGCTGACACAGTCAAGAGTACACATTTTCGCCTCAATGTGCATCTTTGGCAAGTCCTCTCTCCTTGCTGTGCGGTTATTCTCAGGAGCTTCTGGAGCACCAGAAGGAGGCGTTGGGCAAGGAGCAGGTACGACTGCTCGAGGAAGAGAAGGAGCTCCTCGGGAAGGCGCAGCAGCAGCAAATTATGCTCGAAGCCGAGAAGCAGCAAAAGGTGAGTTAAGTCTGTGCCCGCTGTCTTGCTTGCTTGCCTTTCAAATTTTTAACCTACGAGTGTTTAGTACCAAGCTCCACCAAGAATGAATAAACATAATTTTCTCAACAACTGCATATTAATAGAGGTGTCGCGATTCACTCAACGATGACATCACTAAAAGAGTACAATCGCTTTTCTCTTATGAAAATGACGTCGTGCTCTTTGAGAGATGTCATTACCATTGCACAAATGTTAGTGAAAGGGTACAGCCAAGTATATGGAGAAGGAACGGTTCTACATGATTAGGCAGCCTCTTGATAATTCTTAATATTCTGCATCCGCTGTGCCGTGACAGTATACTGTATAAAGCTCGCCCCTCAGTGACTTTAGTGGTTGGATGCCCAACAGTGGCCCAGAGCTCTCGAAGAAAATCTAGCGGTCCAGCATAAGCAACATTTTCGAAAGTAATGAAGGTCACTGTTATTAATATTTGTAAGACTTGGATAGTAGCCACATCATGAGCACCCTATGCACTACTATTGGCATATTAAAGTAAATAATGTGGCATTGAGGATGCGATGACTATACAAGGACATCGATGCACTGTGCATAGTCGCAAGTGTTTGTGCAACCTTCAGAAGCCATGAGATGTTGGCTAATGAGGCTGTAACAAATGGGGAGTCATAGAATGCGCAGAGTCATGGAAAGACGCTGTGAGCATTCTCGCTATGTCAATATTTATTTATTTACAAATATCGCACAGGCTCCAAGTAGGAGCATTATGTGAGGGAGACTTTACAATAGTTAACAAAAAGAATTCAAAAGCCACGTATAACACAACTGCTAAAACGTTCGATAACATACACTATAGTAATATGACACTAATATGCATTATACATTCTTGATTGGCTCGAGATGTCCATGTACAATGAATGAGCACGACTATAAAATACATGCTTAGGAAACACAGTTATATATATTTAGTATTTTATTCCTAAACGCCACGTGATCACGAACGCATACCATATCATCAGGAAGGTTATTCTATTGAATTATAGCGCGGATGCGTTAGATGCTTGGGTGCGGCCGAAATGACGAGCAAAACTATGTTGATTATGAAGCCTGTGAGATGTGTGATGGGGCTTTGTTAGTGGCAATTTATTTACGTGCGTGCTGTAGATGAGTTTATGGAATAAACTTGGAGTAGCTGTCTTCCTGCGCAATTCCAGAGATGGCAGTGATATCGAAGCCTTCATGTCAGTCACACTGGAATAGCGATTGTAGTCACGCGCAATGAAACGTGCAGCACGGTTTCGCACAGATTCTAGTGAGTTGAGGAGATCGGCTTGGTGAGGTCACCAGATGGATGATGCATACTCGAGTTGTGGACGGACGAATGTTTGATATGCAAGTTTACGTGTTATGGATAGCGCCATAAGAAGATTACGTTTACATATCGTAATAGCCTCTCACATGTCCCCTTATCTCGCAGCAGTGTCATGTACACTTCGGTAAATCACTGTATGCAGTTGTGTGCAGTATGCACCTAGGAACATTAATGAGCTGGAAGCTGTGCCCACATGTTGCCTTGGGCTGCATTTCGCTGATCCAGTACAAATTGTGTCTTTTAAATCGGATGTGTTTTGTCACACTTGCTCATTTAGAGGTGTCATGAACAGTTGTAAGAAGCTTGTTTCTTTTTTGCCTGGCCACCCACAGATCCTTGAGCAAACCCGCATTCTAGAGGAAGAGAGGCAGCACAGGCTTCAGCAGCAGGTGAGCTTGACACTACCTACTGAAATATGCATTAAAGAAAGTCTCCGAAGCTGAGCTGTTGATGAGCAAGTCCCTTCCATTTGCTGTTCCAAGTGAAGGTTAAACTTCAGTTGCGTTTGCTGGAATGTTGTCATGTGCTTTGTTGCTAGAGATGCTTAGGCAGAGCTTGTACCCTGTCTCGTTTTCTCACATTATTTTTCCTCATTCTCAGCTGCATTATAAATGCTTTGTTAGATATGCCTCTATTCTTTGCAACTGCTGCTTTTGACTTTGATCTGTAAATAATTTCACAAGCTGGAAACAGTGCTGCTGCGGCTAACGCGTCTCATCAGCCAACCAAAATACTGCAGTGAAGAAAGGCTCTTTCATTAATGGGACACTAAAGAGGAACAATGGCTTGGTTTATATTGACAAACTGCACTCTGAGAACTCTAATGCCATATATTTCACTATCACCATTATTAGCGGAGAAAATCACCGTTGAAGTTTCATTTTTAAGCCTTGCACCAAAATCTCCGCACGTGACGTGAGAAATTACAAAATATATTTTCGGTATTTTCGTGGCGCTGGCTCGATGAAATTTTCTGATAGTTCGTATGCTAAATTTGTGACACCCATAGATTACAATGAACTTCATTTTTATCAATTGGAAGCTATGTGGAACCCAGTAGACGCTATCGAAATTTCTTACGTCACGGGTTTTTGGTGCAGGAATCTTTTGCCAAGCGTCGTGTCACGGTAAGAGTGATGTTGTCGGGATTGTGAAATTGTACTTTTATTACGCCAAAAATCGTTTTGCTCTTTAGTGTCCCTTTAATCCATCTCTCGCCACTGCGCTGCCTCTAGGCATCCCAGTTAGTAAGCCCTTTGTTCTTTTCAGAAAGCACGACTTGTAGTTGAGAGGATCACGTAAGTCCTAGCTTTACACTATGATGTATCGGGGGTCAGATTGACGATAGTTTACATAAAAGCTTGACATTTAGGTTCATATTATTCTAGGTAAGCTTGCTGTGTCATAGCTTTTCACAAAGCATTAGAGCCTAATGTAATATTTGACCACTTAAGCAGCAGTGGCTCAGTTAAAGGGACCCTGAAACTGTTTTCTGAAGTTCTGTCAGTGTTTAGGCTAGAGCATCATCAAACCATTCACACCACAAATGTCACAAACATAATAACACGCTGTGTACCAAGGCCGCTGCAGGCGATTATATTACTACATGCGAGTGGCTTAGCGATCCACACGATGACGAGGAGGACGACAGCGGACAGGCTGTTGCGAGCTAATCTGTTTGGCTGGCGCTGCTCGCTTAACCAGCTGTAAATATACCGGTGTCTGCTCTTCCGAGTCTGTATTTTTCTCGTAACATATTTGGTGAAGTTGTGCGATCCCCGTCCTCGCCACGAAACTTCGAAGCGGATGCTCGGTCGCGGCTTTCAACATGACCACTCCAGACTCGCTTAGATCCTCCCCGGTCGCCCGGCCTCCTGCCCAGCCTACCAACCCAGCGGCCGCAACAACTTTCGTGACGCTTCCTGCCCTCAAAGACCCTGACGTGTTCTCAGGTCGCGAGGGTTCTGATGCCGACCAATGGCTACGCCTCTATGAATGCGTCAGCGCCATTTACAGGTGGGATCCCACACTTATGCTCGCGAACGTCGTCTTTTACCTCGACGAAACCCCTCGTGTCTTACATTACGAGCTGGGACAGCTTCAAGGAAAAGATCCGTGAGCTTTTGGGAACCCCTTTGTTGTCGTCAAGCTGCGAAGAATGAGTTGTCGACTCACACACAAACTTCCACGGAGTCCTACATCAGTTACATTCAGGCTGTCTTCGCACTATGCCGTCAAGCTGACAAAAACATGTGCGAGCCTGACAAAGTTGCGCATGTTCTAAGAGGTATAGCCGACGATGCATGTAACTTGTTGGTCTTCAATGATGTGTCTTCTGTTGATGCCATAATTCAAACATGCCGCCGGCTCGAAGATGCTAAAAACAAGCGCATCTCCCATCAGTTCCAGTGCCTTCTGAATACAGCAGCGACGTCAGCATGCCTCGACCCATATCGTTCCTCTGACACCTGTGACGGCTTAACTCGACTCGTCAGGCGTGAACTTGAAGCGGCCGCACCTGCTACAGTGCCATCAACGTCACATCTCTCCGCTCCTTCGATTTCCTTGCCCCTTATTCAAGTTGTTGTACGACAGAAAATCGCCAGCATGAGTCTATGCTCTATTTCGACGCCTTCCCGTACAGACTGGCAGCAACAATTCACGTCAGCACGTCCATCACCGTCTGGCTCTTCATCGTCGTTCCGCAATCCTTCCCCATGGCGAACATTTGATGACAAGCCCATACGCTTTCTTGTCATCGTATTGGGCAGATTTCTCACCATTGCAGAAGCCGCTGGGGCCCTACTGCACAACCGTTCCAGCGCTCCTTCAATGCCTGCCCGTTTATCGTCAGGAGACCCGCCCAGACCATTTCGCCCATTGGGAACCTGGGACTGATCGCCGCTACTTCCTATCTCGATTCCCTCAACGTCGCCAGTCCAATTCGAATCAAACCCACCTGTTCCCGATGGCAACTATGTGCTGACTCACGTCGCTGATGTCCTCATCAGCCGCAGCATTACGTTACCGCTCACCATCCTGTCTGTCGCAGGGAACTCCACGTTGTGAACCGTTGTGAGTTGTGAATTTCAGTCGGACACCTCAGATGCGGCCACAAGGTATCACTTTGGCACTGCTTTCCTCCTTAAAAGACTGGGCAGTGGATACTTTCACCGTGGTCGCTCCTTCCGACCCGCTGCCCAGCCCCACTTCACTCATTGCCTTGACAGTGCAATTAGGTCGATGATGGCTCCTAATCTAACAGCGCATCAGACTGAAGAGCTCCACTGTGTTCTGCTGTCTTACATCGATGTTTTCGACCTCGGCGGCCATTCATTGGAGAAAGCTACTGGAGTGACTCACCGCATCAACACTGGTGATGAGCCTCCTACTCATAGGCGTCCGTATCGCGTGTCGTTGATGGAGCGTCGATTATCCAAACTGAGGTGAGCCAAATGCTTACCAAGCACGTCATCGAACCATCCTGCAGTCCTTGGCATCCCCTGTCGTGCTAGTCTGCAAGGATGGCACATGGCGTTTCTGTGTTGATTATCGCCATTTAAACAAAATTATAAAAGAAGACATGGACCCTCTGCCGCGAATAGATGATGCCTTTGATTGCCTCTACCGTGCCCGCTGTTTCTCCTCCTACACCTACGTTCCAGGTACTGGCAGATTGAGGTGGATGCCATGGACTGGGAAAAGACTGCATTTATTGCACCCGATGGCCTATATCAAATTAAGGTCATGCCCTTGGGCCTCTGTAACGCTCCAGCCAGGTTTGAACGGATGGTGGCCTCACCGCTCAGAGGCTTTAAATGGTCAACCTGTTCGTGCTATTTGGACGATGTTGTTGTTTCCAAGTGTTTCTTAGGGTGCCACCAAATTACAGTTCTTGGCCATTTAGTGGACGCTAACGGCATACAACCAGACCCAGCAAAAATCAGTACTGTCAAAAATTTTCTTGTACCACGATCTTCAAAGGATGTACGCAGCTTCCTCGAACTGTGCTCATACTTTTGGCGCTTCATCAAAAATTTTGCGGCTATTGCAAGGCCACTTATGCGGCTCCTGAAGCAAGATGTCACCTTTTCTTGGGGCTCAGAAGAGGTATCTGCTTTCTCGAATTAATTTCGCACCTTACTGCTTCTCTAATTTTGGCCCATTTTAACCCCACTGTTCGTACTAAGATTCCTACCGACGCAAATGGCCACGGCATCGGTGCAGTGCTAGCCCAAGGACAACGTGATGATGACTGCGTTATCGCAGTCTGCGTTATCAGAAGAGGTATCTGCTTTCTCGAATTAATTTCGCACCTTACTGCTTCTCTAATTTTGGCCCATTTTAACCCCACTGTTCGTACTAAGATTCCTACCGATGCAAGTGGCCACGGCATCGGCGCAGTGCTAGCCCAAGGACAACGTGGTGATGACTGCGTTATCGCATACGCCAGCCGCCTCCTATCCGGGCCCGAACGCAATTTTTCTATTACAGAGCGCGAGTGTTTGGCTCTCGTCTGGGCGGTCGCCAAGTTCAGGCCATAGCTATACGGATGCCAATTTTCAGTAGTTACAGACCACCACGCGCTCTGCTGGTTGAACCCCCTTAAAGATCCCTCGGGGCGTCTTAGTCGCTGGGCTTTGTGCCTGCTAGAATTTTCATACTCGGTCGTGTACAAACCTGGCGGCCTGCATCATGATGCTGATTGCCTCTTCCAGTACCCTGTCGCCGATTCTGCTGACCCCTACACGAACGAGGTGCACTCCATCTTCTCAGTGTCAGACTTCAATCACATTGGGGGAGAACAGAGAAAGGATCCATTCCTGCTCGACATCATCAGCCGCATGCAGTCTTCCCCAACAGACGCCTCCGCCCGTCACTTTGTCTTTCAAGAGGGCGTCCTATACCATCGCAATTTCCGACCTGATAGGCCTGACCTTTTTATTGTTGTACCCAAGCATTTATGGCGCAGTGTCCGCGCTGAACTTCACGATGCTATCACAGTAGGACACCTTGGCGTAACTTGCACACACGAGCACATACGGTGCCGTTTCTACTGGCCAGGCCTTGTTCACCCGGTACGCCAATACGTCGCAGCGTGTGAGCTATGTCAACGTCGCAAAACACTATCGCAGCTACCCGCTGGCCATCTCCAACCAATTGGCGTATCCACGCAACCATTTTACTGTGTTGGGTTAGACCTGCTTGGTCTTTTTGCTGAAGCAAGAGTAGGCAACATGTGGATAGCCGTAGTTATTGATTACGCCACACGCGACCGATGTTGCAGACTTCCTGTTGCGTGACGTTATACCGATTTACGGTGCACCAAAACGGCTGCTCACAGACAGTGGCTGTACATTTCTCTCCCAAGTTGTCGCCCACATCCTGCGTTCCTGTTTCATGCAGCAGAAAGGGACCACAGCTTACCACCCGCAAACCAACGGCCTCATGGAACGCTTTAATCTTACTCTTACAGATATGCTTGCAATGTATGTATCACCGGGCCATCGAGACTGGGATCTTGCTCTACCTTACGCGACGTTCGCGTACGACTCGTCCTGACACGACACAGCTGGTTTTTCACCTTTCTACCTACTGTACGGAAGGTATGGTGTCCAAGGGCTTTACCCTTGGACACCATCATTTCCTGCACCTCGTCCACCAGCGAGTACGCTCGCGATGCTATTGCACTAGCCGACCATGCCCATCAGCTCGCCCGTGCTCGTCTGATGGTGTCGCAGAGCAAGCAACGACGTCACTACAATGTTTCGCATCGCGACGCACATTTCGCTCCGGGTACTCTTGCGTTACTCTGGTCTCCTCATTGTTGGGTGGGCCTATGTGAAGAACTTTTGTGTCATTACACGGGACCTTACCGTGTATTGCGGCAGGTAACACCCGTTACTTATGAGATTGGCTTTTTCTCTCTGTCGTCATCACTTCAGTGATGTTGTTCACGTGTCACGGCTCAAGATGTACAACTCTGCTTCTGAGGACGACCTATGAAGCTCCAAGACGGTGCTTCCGCTGCCGGGGTCATGCTACGTACGAGTGGCGTAGCGATCCACACGATGAAAAGGAGGACGACAGAGAACAGGCTAGCGCTAGCTAATCTGTGTGGCTGGCGCTTCGCTTAACCAGCTGTAAATATATTGGTGTCTACTCTTCCAAGTCGGTATCCTCGCAACAATATCATACCCTCCTTCTTACCTCTGCCTGGCCTCCTCAATTGTTGAGGCACGCTGGCATCGCTAGCAATCTCGGAGCTCTCATGAGCGTACTCAACGATTTCAGATTTTACCAGTTTAGACCTCCGAGGTCGGATGCTGACAGGTTATGCCAGTCTCGAAGGCCATCACACAGTGCGCGCGGCAGCACGCATACCGTCTGGCAACACAGACGAAGATCGCGGAATGGTTCATATCTGCTCCGACAGGTGCCGCCACCCTACCAGCCGATCTTACTTGCATGCATTTTACAGCCGACTATCGCCAATCAGATCAGCAGCCACGGTAATATCAAATGGCCAGAGCATGTCGCTCTGTAAATGGGCAGTTGAAAACGCATTTGGCCGAGTCGCAGCGATCTGCATTAATCTATAACAATTCGCAGTTTTAGAGCGTAATAAATTACACAGTGTATGCAGAGAGCTCAAATCAGTCTCTAAATGACCCTTAGGACTTGGTCTACAGGCCCCATGTGTTTGTACAAAATCGCCAAAACCGTTTCAGGGTCCCTTTAATGTGTTTCTGCTTGTTAATGTATGGTAGGGTCATGTCACATACTTGTTGCACACAGGCTAACTGCACCATCATGACTTCTAATGTGGTTAACGCTGAACTATGCCTAAAGGACTTCCCGACCTTTTGTAAAATAGAGAGGCCGGTTAATCACTCCAGCTTCAGGGAAGTGTTTCATTTGCAACTAAATAAATAAGCATGTTAAATGCACATGTTTAGTATTAGCCTCAACAAAAAGTCTGGACATCAACTTGTAACCTGCGAATTGCATTGTAATGGTCATCCTTATCCATCTGATATTGCCATTCTGGCCACGCTCTTACGCCCAGCTAAAATAGGAAAACAGCTGAGGTAGCTGGTTCAGGTTGGTATGCATTGTTCTATCAATGCAAGATGAGCTGGCAGAGAAAGCATGTCAACGCAAGTGGTGAGCTCTGTTAATGGTGCACTAACAAAGGTTCAACATGTGTCATCTTGTAAAGCTTGTTTGACAGTTCAGTGATGTCCTTGATCCTCTTGTCTTATGTTCGGCTGTTTAAGCTATCCTTGATTATTCATTCTAACACATTCTATAGCAGTGGTTCTCAGCCATGGATGTGTCTGGGACCTTTTGTGGACTGGTGGAAGTAATGGGGCACCCCTTGCAGGGGTGCTAGGAGGGAGGGGTATATAGTAAATAACACAACTGGAGTGTGAAACAGGTGCCTTTTATTGCTACCAAAAACATTAAACAAACGTGCCACATCACTTCATTTTGGACAGTTCATCAATACATGGCACAGTCGCGCTTAAACAGAGTTGCATATGTAAAAAAAATTTTTTTTATGTAAAAGAAAAAGTGGGTGAGGGTTTCGCAGATTATAGAAATGGCTTCGCGGACCCCCATTTGAGAACCGCTGTTCTATAGCATGCCTTCGACTGATTTGAAGTGTGTCTGTGTCTGCTGCAAGCGTAACCAAATATGAGATATGGAACCTACCAACGCTTCCTGCCACCTCTACTGACAAGTGTGGCTTTAATTGTTTGAGGGCGCTTGCGCTTCATGTGCAGCTGTTCCCCGTGACAGAGCAGGTTGTGGCCCACCAAGTGGTGACCACACCGGCCGTGCTTGTGACTCCGGCGGGCAGCCCGCTCGCCGTGGCCACAGCGAAGGCTGCGGCTGCCGCTGCCCCCGCTGCTCCCATGGTGCTGGCTACTGCCGCAACGGCCATTCCCCAGCAGGCCACAGTGCTGGCACCGGTCAGTTGCCCTCGCACCCCCACACGGGTCACAGCTGCTAGCATTAAACCGTTTGCTGCCTCCTGCCGCGCTCGCGCGGGTCCTCCATACTTTGCATGCCTTTCAGCTAAAGTGCATGCACATGATATGCACTCTGTTTTCTCCCCACTGAAAATGCCTATCTAAAGTATTCGCTAAAGAAGACATGAAAATACATAACCCATACCAAAAGACAGAAAAATGTGTTCAAAAAGTGGTGTGGGTTATACGCATGGGTTAGCTTATGCATGTATTTTTCTTTTTGTATAGTTAAAGTTAGAGGTACAGGTTATATGCAGAAGCGGGTTATATGCGAGAAAGTATGGTACATCTATTTACATCTTTCTATATCTGAATTCATCTCAGTTCATAGGCACATTAAAGTATGAAAAAGTGTAAAGCGCTGTGGCATCTAGAGGGCACCACCACACTTTTTGCACTCCCAGAAACTTTTACCTTTTTTTTTTCGTCGTACCTTGCACACTTGGCATGGGCTGGATTGGTTATATTTAATGATATTACAAGAAATATGGTGCTGAAAATGAGCCTATTCAGCCACATGAATGCATTTAGCGCCATCTTTTCTTCTGCCGTTGGACGCTAGAAACACCGTAACAACAACAAAGAGAAAACATCACCAAAGCACTTAGTAACTACTGCCGTCTATTGGTAAGGTATCTACGCATGTTTAGATAAACCAACAAGTGCTGGCGCCCTTCCTTAGCTTTAGAATGTATTGAATACTGGAGTTCGGCAATTTGTCGGCTTGGGCTAGATTGCCACTGCAGGTGGGCCCAGTGATTCGAAGGCTGTGGCAGCGAATGGGTTAAAAAAGCACTGTGTTGTAGAGAAAAAAGATAAGGTTCAAAAAGAAGCGTTGACTGTGGGACCAGATGGCGCATCTGTGGTGTGGTTGAATAAACTGAAATTGGAGCAGGAATAAGCTGTGGACAGGGAAGATGCTTTGTTCTGTTCACACCCTGTTTTCCTGCCTTGTTTTTACACCCAACAACACTACACAGGTTGAGCTATCCGGGGATACTACAGAAAAAAAGAAAGAGCAAAAACGGCAAAAAACAGTGCTTCTTCACTTGAAGTAAGCTCGAAAGCTTATGTGTAATGCACGAAAGTATGAGAAATTGTTTAACAGTGAATGTCGCTGAAGCCAGCAGTGCTTCGATAACAGGTGTCTCTGTCGAAGCAGTGGTTGCCTTCATTAGCAGTGTTCATGCAAATGCCTTGCCGGCTCTCTGCCCATTCTGAATTGTAAAACTAAGAGTAAGCTTGTACCTGTATAACTAGTTATTGTGCCTGAACGTTGGCTCTGGCAATGTTATCTGTTCAATAATTTATCGTCTCCAAACCTTTATCTATTTAATGCTGTGTAGGCGTAATGTAAACATTAATAGCATATAATCTGTCAGCTGTGCAGTGACACGCCGAAGCGCTGCATGACATCTTCATATATGAAGTGAAAAACATGGAAACAGCAAAAGGAAATGGCACATTGTGTTACTTATCGCATGAAAATCACGTGCAGTGTTAATGTAGTCGAGACTATTTGTTTGTGGCGAAAGTGACAAATTAATCACCAAGCAGGTTTTAACCTGCAAGCTTAAGCATGACAAAATAGTGTCAAAATATATACTTAAATGGAAGTAGTATTTCAAAATTGGAAAGGCTTTCAAATGGGCTTTTGTCTCATGGAATGAATATACAAGCTGTACTACGTAATATTTATGATTAGGCTCAAATAGCAGAAAAAGCATTATTTCTAGGATTTGCTGATGGCTGGCACTGACAATAACTCTCATAAAATTACTTTACCTATTCTTTCAACTACTTCAAACGTGGCCTCAGTACGCCAAATGCTGCTCTTATCGCCATGGTCACTCTTCTCAGTTTTTTGAGTAAAGCACAATGTGATCACAGCTTTCTGATTGTTGCCCAAGTACATGTCTCTTGCACTATCTCACTTTTAGCACCAGACACGTCATGTTGTTCCCAGTGCGATTCTCAATTTTTTTTTTTTCCGGCATAGGTGAGCCTAGTGGGAGCAGCGCCTGTCGCAGCTCAGGGCACTACCATCCTGGCACCTGTTGTGGTGGCCCCAGTCACATCTGTGGTTCCCCCAGTCACATCTGTGGTTCCCCCACCGCCGCCGCCGCCGCCACCACCACCACCGCCACCTCCCCCGCCCCCTGCCTCGACCCCGGCTGGGGTTGCACCGATGGGTGTCTTGCCACAGCCCCCACAGCCACCAGCCAGTCTGACTGGTGGTCCCACCGCTGTGCCCCCACCGCCACCACCTCCACCACCACCACCACCACCACCGCACCTCCCACCACCAAGTGTGCCCCCTCCGGGGCTACCACCACCTGGCATACCACCTCCTCCTCGGGGTGCCCCTCCTAGAGGCCCACCACCAGGACTACCGCCGCCGGGAGTACCTCCGCCGGGAGTACCCCCGCCGGGTTTGCCGCCACCGGGAATGCCCCCACCGGGAGTGCCCCCACCAGGGGTACCCCCGCCGGGCCTGCCACCCCCTGGAATACTGCCACCTGCTCGTGCTCAAAGTGGCACTGGTGGGCAGCAGAGGACTGGACCTCCACCGGTGAACATTTTGCCATTGCCTTTGTGCCCATTGCAGAGATTGACCTTGGACAGTATGACTTGAGAGATGATGGCAATAATGTGCTCTAATTTTACACCTATGACCCTCACAAAAAATTTTTTTTGAATTGAATCTAATTGCAACAGAAAAAAAAAATGCCAGGCCTGCACAGAAAGTGCAGCACAGTCGCAGCGAAAGCTAAAGAGAGTGGCGTTTTTATAGCTCATTGTAAACTGTCTTGCAGCAACTTATACAAGTACACTTGCAAGGTGTCCCCTGTGGCATAAATGTTAAATTTTGAGATGTTGAACAATAGAGTTGAGCCCACATGAAATGTGGAACACTGTTAAGCATGAACTAGTTATAAAAGCACCAACAGCTATGAATTTTAAAACAATATAGATGAGCAAATATTATGCAGCCACATTTACATAGCATGTAGAAGGTACAAATACAAATAAACTAACATTATCACGTCTTTTGTGCAGTAGCATCAGTAGTGTAGAGATGTGCTTCAGGCAGGTTGTTTTGGTCTGTTACGGTGCAGGGGGGAAGAATGTATAGTTCTTCAAATTGTTGCTATTGTGGAATTAGATGTTGATGATTCAGCATGGCAACGCCTTCTCACCTCAGCTTCTGTTCTCTCCTTTTGGGGGGGGGGGGAAGTCAAAGATTTCCCTCAATTCGTACTTAAATGGCTTTTGCCTTTGCCTCCAATAATATGGGTTGTGATAATTCTATAAAAATCTATCAATACTTTAGCAGCCGCCACCACCGCCACCCGGAATGGCCTCCGGGGAAAAGATGGACACCACGGTACCAGTCACCGAGGTGCCTGTGGAAATTCCGCAAGTCATCGAGGAGATCTTTGCAAACACATCCGAACGAGCTCAAGAGCTGGCCCTGGCACCTCCTGAGCCTCCCGCTGAGAAACCAGGTGTGAATCTGGGCAGCTTTTTTGTCTACTTCAGACAAGCCGTTGTCTCAGTCTTGAGCGAGATTTTGCCTGTTTGTGCATGCCACTTGAGGCACGTATTTTAGCTGCTGTTCTACTCTTTTTTAACTAGCGAAAAAGCTATCGTAAAACAGTTTTGTCGCACCATTTGTGAAGTGTTAGGTGAGCTACAAAATATCTCGTCTTCACTGAAGGTTCAAAATCACGACACTCTGGAAGTTGGCGTTAATTTTTAAAGACAGTAGTCTTTCATGGGGACCTTCGACGCAAAAATTTTGGTCTGTCTGTTTGTACTCTTGTCTGTCCACTTTTTATGGCTATGGGTACTTGAAACTGCCGACCCCATCCGCAGCGCCCACCAATGTTGCTCAATGTTTAGCATTCATACTTGCGCAGTTGTCAATTAATAAGCAATTATTGCACAAGTCTGGGGCACCATAACAACATGTATATTTCTGCATGTGCATCTTTTACTAGAAAGTGCATACATAAGTAATATTAAGGACCGTAGTGCTTATCCTGCTGCACTGACCGCTCAATGCTTGCACGAAAAGGGGAGTGTTTTCAACGCTTTGCTAAAACGCAATGGTGGTGGCACCCACCCGTCGCCTTGCGTTTCTCACCTCATCACCTCTGAGACGGGCGCGCGCACCCATCTCAGAACACGCGCTTTTGTTTTGCAAGAAGACTGCCAGGTGGCGCTCATGTCTCACGTGTTATGTGCCTTTATGCACTCGTTCGCCTCCGCTGCACGCTCGAGGCACTCTAACGCAGTGCCTCCAAAATACCATTCACTGATTTTCTTGCGCAGAACATCAAATTAATTGTTCACTCTCTCCACACGCAAGACTATCGTCTTTCGACGACATTTGCAGGTTACATGCAGATATGAGGCCAAAATTTTTTGTCTTATTTTCGAACAAGTGTCTGATGGAAAATTTCTCTAAGAAGCTATTGCATTTTTACCAATAAAAATTACAATTTTTATTGGTACTCTTAAAACACAAGAAATAACTAGGTTCTCTGGCACTGCTAGTTGCTGATACGCAAAGTCTCGCAACTTTGCAAGTTATCCTACAATCTTGGCGATAGTTGCAGGATTTGTTTCTTCCACCGATCTACCTCATCACATTCTTCATCTTCCAGATCTGATAGCCCCAGTCAACATATAAAGTTGGTCCAATGTGTTCACTATTCAGAGATTTGTTTAACTGGAACATCCCTTGCATATTAAGCGCAGGGAAACTGCCGGAGATTTTCTGGAAGTTTGTATGAAATATTCGTTAAATTGGCACTAGTACTAGTGAGAGTTTACAGTATTTACAATGTATATGCAATTCCAAGAAGCCACGACAGATTCAAGACTTTGGTATCTATTTGGCATTTTTGTCAATGTCGTCGCTTCCCTGCCTACACAATCAATCCCTACATTCCATTGTTAGTCGCGAATTTCACTGTTACATGGAAGCTTACTGTCTAGGAGACTCTTAAGATTCATTTTACAGCACGCCAGGCGACTCTACAAGCAATGTGTCCATTTACTTACAAGGTCTCCAAACGTCTTCGTGCTGGTTGGCCTTGTTGGAAAGTTGAAGTGAACGATGCTTGTGTCTTTCCTTTGCCTTCTGTCCTCGTTTGTTGCATTTGTGCCGCAGTTTCATAATGAATTGAAGTGAGAGCTCTAGCTATCCTTAATTTCAAAAAGGAAAGAGGTCACATGAGAAGGAGAACAAAGGTAACCGTGCAATACGTAACGCAGTATATGTTGAGAAAGTTGGGAAACTGATTACCTAAAGCGTACTGAAAAGTGACAAAGCTGACCGATGTCAATATTTCTAAAATATGACCAAATTACCTTAAATAGAACATTGTTCCAGTCTTCTGTGCACAGAGTATTTTCGAGCTTATTTAGGGGTCTGTGGCACAAGGCTCGCGATTCCAATTTCGTATCCTCATGTGTCATTAGGACACACTCCTTCCTCACACGTTTGTTAGCCTCCTATGGGCAGAGGGGCAGCTACTGTCCAACCTGTTGTAGCATTCGTAATTGCCGGAGGAAAATTTACATTGCGTTTTTTGCCTTTTGACAGAAGGGGAAGCTGTTATTGCATTTAAATACTATGCATTTTAACAGTAAACGATAGCACTGAGTGATCTTCTGACATTCGTGGTTGTATGCATCTCGATTTGAACACTGATGAAGTGTTAACCTTCATAGTGGCGGAAAATATGCATGAGCATTTTTTCATAGTAGCGGGCTGCTCAAAAAGTGTGTTTTCTCTCAGCATCCAAGAAAGCGCAGCCACCGAGCAAGCCGCGGCTGGTGGCCATGGACGAAGGTGATGATGAGGACGATGAAGAACAGGAAGGGACCAAGACGACGTCTGAGGTTGGTTGCTTGCGCTGTTGTTACGGCTGCGCTTCTTGGTTCTGGTCAGAGATGCTTCAAATATTGCCAGCTTTAAACAGACGTTACCATGGGGCAGCAGCGTGGCGCTGAAACATTAGTTGCAATGATCGAAAACATGTAAACTCTAGGTAGTTCAGGACAGCCTGCAAAAGTAACGTTGTCAAACTGCCTATAATATCCTCTCGGAATCTGTATGTCCTGCGTGCAGCATTATATATTTTAGTTACAAGTGCTTTTGTGCTTGGGGCCATTGGGTGCCGATTGTTTAGATTTTCTGCCACTGGTTCAAAACTGCAGTAGCTGATACGTGCGCCATCGTGTTGAATTTCTCATAGCCTTAAACAAGCATTCTACTGCTTGCCCTCTTGTAGGTATGGCAGTTCCGAAATGTCAGCACAGTTTCAGTGCATGGCTCTTATGTGGTCGCGCACATAAAAAAATATATTGCAGTGAAGCATATGGAGAACTGGAAGGAGCCGCTGTCGCGAGGTGTCGTTTTGTGTTCCTTAATTACATGTCACATTCCACAGCATAAGCAGCGGTACGCTTAATAACTCAAGTGTACTGGCAGGCCTCCAGAGGTAGTTCATACATGGCTGTACCATCAGAGTTCTTGAGGGCACTAAAACGAATGCTCAGATTTAAAATTTATTTTGTAATCCCTAATCGAACATCGGCTTTACTTGTCTCCCCTCTCATACAGTTACAAATACTTTCATATCTATAACGTTTTGCACCTAATAAACTTATCCATCTTTAGTGACATTGAAGTGTGATTCACAGCAGTGAATATTGCTAAATTTTTTGCACATTCATGCACTGCTGTCTTGGCCGCCAATAAAAGCTCTAAGACCAATAGGCACACTCTTCATAGCAGACGAAGGGTATAGCTCTGTTACTGAGGGTTGTAAATTACGCAATTGTGTAAAAGGGTAAAAGGACTTGTCTGTATTGATTTTTCTCACGCAGTCCAAGAACAAGAAGAGAAAAAAGAAGAAGAAGAAGCGTGCCCAGCGAAGGCAGCTGCAGCAACAGCAGCAAAAGCAGGACGATGCTGACAAGAAAGCAGCTGGGGAGAAGGACGGGGAGAAGGGGGAGAAAGAGGACGTAGATGTGGAGTGAGTGTGAATTTTTTTTTCTTCAGGCTGCTACACTGTGTCCTCTGAAATTGATGCTCTGAAATTCACTGACAATGTTCTACAGTTATGGTTATCTGTGGTCACTCTTCTTAGACACGGTTTTCACCCTTATGGGCACACTTTTTGTCATTCATGAATGAGAAGCAATATCTTTCTACGCAACAGAAAGCTTGCATTTCATGTGGCTGTGTATTTCAGCTGGCGGCATTGTCATATATCGCAGGAGTGAAGCGAGCCGATGTTTCGTGATGCTATGATGCATTAACTTCCTGGATACACCAAAAGCTAGAACTGGTCTCTTGAAACAATTTTTACAGCAGGAAGTCGTTCAGGGCGCTCTGACACTTCTTTGTGGGTAATTTTTCGAATGATTATTGTGCTTAAACCGAATAATGCAATAAAAGAAAATCCCATTAACCATTGTTGATGATACCCCAGATCAAACGTGCAAGTCATCCTCTTTCAACTTGTAAACTCCTTGCACAGTCGTCGATCCCGACACGTTCGAGCTTTTTCTTTCATCAGGTACGTCCAGGAGACGATAGACTCCAAGGACCCGTACTACTACCAGTTTCTGCTCATCTTCGAAAAGTTCAAGCTCCAAGAGCCGGAGAAGCCCAAGACAGACACGGGCCCTGTGACCGACCCTGCAGCCATTGCACAGAGGCTCTTGGAACGCAAAAAGCCAGCCGACTTGGATGAGAAGGATGATGACGACGTGAGTGGCTGGCTTGCTTGTTATACTGAAGGTGGTTGGATTGCTTGTCAGGACCTTGATGTTCGGCAGCACTAGTCATCTTTTTTCTGAGCCTCTAGCTTTTTTTTACTTAAGGGTGGACACGCGTCTTGCAAGGCCGAAAATCGCGAAAAAATTGACTTTTGGAAGCTGATATTTTCGGAATCTGTACCCATTTTTGAACTTATCTGAGGAGTTTCTAGCTTCTCAGGTCATTATTTCTAGCGCGAAATCAATTTATAACACCCATGTGAGATGAATGCGAGGGCAAATAGACTCTAAAATGCTAATTTTTTTACGCTGAACTGTTGCCGTTACACAAGAGCTATCGTGGTCATCTTGGTCTCGTTTGGAAGGGTCGTTCTTCTTCAATTTCCTGCCACTGCTGGCTCGCCTTGCTCATTGGTTTTTCAGCAAAAACACCTCATTGAGAAGCAGCAGCACGCGGTTCTATTGGCTACTTGGGACACCTGACAAAACCTAGACATCCGATTGGCCAAGTGGCGTTTCCAGTGTCTGCTTCACCATCGTGACGTGCACGGACATGCGCCATTTTGTCACGGTGCTGTCGACTGCCTGCAGCAGTAAAGAAGTTCCGTGCCACGCTAATTTGTGAAGCGGGTGTGACGTTTGTTCGTTCGCTGCTTGCCTTGCTCATTGGTTTTTCAGCAAAAACACCTCATTGATAAGCAGCAGCGCGCGGTTCTATTGGCTACTTGGGGCACCTGACAAAACCAAGGCATCCGATTGGCCAAGTGGCGTTTCCAGCGTCTGCTTCACCATCGTGACGTGCACGGACGTGCGCCATTTTGTCACGGTGCTGTCGACTGCCTGCAGCAGTAAAGAAGTTCCGTGCCACGTTAATTTGTGAAGCGGGTGTGACGTTTGTTCGTTCGCCGTGAACTTCAGAAAGGGCCCCGCTATAGCATAGGACAATGAAGATAACAAACTCGCGGCGTTCAGTGGCGGTCAACGGCGGTCGCCGAGTCACCAGTGTAGGCCTAACGCACGTAGAAGCCTATCGGTTGCCGACAATGTCACTGAAAGCGGCCGTGTTTTGCAGCCTCATCACTTAGAGGACGGCAAGTAAAAAAGCAGAAGTGAAGCAACGAGAGATATCAATCTTTGCAGTGATGGAAAAGAAGCGTTTTATCGCTAAACGCGTCAATGCCGCGGTCCTCCCTCCCCCCCCCCCCTCCCGGCCTGGCAAAACGACCTCTTTTGTGCGTGAACTGCGTGAATGGTCGTCAGAGGGAAGTACGGCACGCGTCGTCGAACAACAGAAAGTGAATCAGTTCGTGGTGAACGTGCTTGCCACGCGCGCAATGGGGAATCTACTGGTAACTGTTGGTGGACTGCTTTTAATGACGTGTTCGCAACAATGTCGCAGTCTCCACTCGAAAATGTGGCAGTCTTACGTGAAAAGAAAACTAACACGATCTGCACTCATGTAGCCTCGAAATTATGAGCGAGTGCACAAGTTCGGTTCGCGAAATTTACGTGTAACTCATTCTGGACAAGCGGAAAACATTGCAGTGTCATTCGGCAAATCGCGAATGACGCGTGCACATTCGTCGCACATTTGCGCCAGTATTGTCACCGAACAGATAAGCGGCCTTGTTGGCAAAAGAGCAGACGGTGAAAACTTGCAGCAGGACTTGAAGAAACGACACGCTCATGCGCACAATCAGTCTGATTACATGCCCTGTGCATATTAACTGACTAAAAGTATGTTTGCCATGATATTTTTCTCTCAAAACGGTGCAATAAAATTTTAAAAGTATTTTTCTCGAAACACGGATTTTGACCACTTTGTTTGTTTGCTTGTTCTGTTAAAGTGGACCTGTGACAGCTAGAGCTGTAAATATTTTTGCACGATGTAGCTAACTGTGCACAAAAAACAACACTGAAAGCTATTTTTAAATGTGCAGCTCCCAATTTTTCATTTTGATATAAAATTTTTTGTTCTTGGTTACGTGCAATGAATTTTATTGTGCTGTAATTTGAGAAGTGTTTGTTTGATTTTCGATTAGCCTGTGGCATTGCATTCCTTAGGCTTTCTAGTATCTAAATATATGTTAATGACTATGTAATTCCTAGTACATAAATTTTATGATTAAAGTGTTAGAATTCTTTTTCTTGATTTTCTCAAAATGGCTATTTTGTACACCCTGCATGAAAATTCCTGCAATATATCGGAAACTATCACAAATAGCAGAATAACTCTTTTTGCAGCATGAAGCTATATGTTGGGAGCACACAACATAGGAAGCAGATTTCAATTTCTCTAGATGCAAGTTTTTAAAATTAGTCTTTTGTGTGACCACACCATGGCCACAATCAGAGCTATGAAGTTTAGTGTATTTTAATGTAAGAAATATTGACCTAACCAAAAAAGTGCTTCCTATGTTATGTGTCTTATGCTTTCTACTGTTAATTCTTGTGTCATTTGTAAACTTCTGACTGGTAGTTATTTTTTTATTGTGGTAAGAATAATGGAGATTGTTATCTTGATTACTTTATGAAATAATGAAGCTACTGTAGCGAAGCCTCCGAACGCTGAAATGGGTCGAACTCTTGAGTACCTTCTAGTGGGGCTACCCAACAAGAACGCCGCTCGCGCTGGGAGCCCGTGTTTGGCTGTGACTGTCGCCATTACATATTCTCGCTCGTTGCCGGCTAGTAAACGCCTTAACAATTTGGTGGAGAGTGCTGCGATCCCTGTCTATGCCTTTGGAGCTACGATCACGTACCCTGCCATCTACTATGTACCACGACGCTTCTCAGCAAACGCCTCCTCCAATGCCACCCCCTTGTCCCGGTGTCCCCAGAATCCGCGATCCACCCATCTTCACTGGCGCTGATGGCACTGACGTGGAGGACTGGCTCGCTATTTATGAGCGCGTGAGCGTCCCCAACAAATGGGACGAGGACGGCAAGCTGACCAACTTGGTATTCTACCTTACGGGTGTTGCCAGTTTGTGGTATAACAACCACGCGTCCGATTTTGCCACCTGGTCCGATTTCAAGACCGCAATCATCAACGTCTTCGGCCGCCCTGCTGTTCGCAAGCTGCAAGCCGAGCAGCGCTTGCGTGAACGTGCTCAGGAGGCTGGTGAGTCATTCACGAGCTATATTGAAGACGTCCTGGACCTATCCAACAAATCTAATCCCACCATGTCCGAGTCTGAAAAGATCCGGAACATCATGAAAGGCATTGACGATGATGCCTTCACGATGCTGCTCGCCAAAAACCCCGGCACAGTGGCTGAGGTCATCACACTGTGCCAGAGCTACGAGGAGCTCCGCCGGCAGCGTTCGATGACCCGACGCTCCCCACCACGAGCTGCAACGCTTGCTGGCTTGGAGGCCAGTTGTGACCAAGTGGCGTTGATGGCAGAACTAAAGTCCTTCATCCGTGAGGAAATCGCACGTCAGTTCTCGCTCCTGCCCTTCGCCCACCAACCGACTGTTCAACAATCGCCTACTACCCTTCTCCCTCCCATCCGTCGAGCGATTGAACAGGAAATAGCGGAGGTAATGCCTGCGTACCACCCCCCACAGCCTCCGGCTCCTGCGCCCCTGAGTTACGCGCAAGTGGTCGCCAGGCCGCCCCATGTCGTTCCAGCAACCGCCCCTCTGACTTACGCCGAAGCTGCCGCTCGACCTCCGTCCTTTGCAGCGGGTGTTCCCGCTACGTATGTTGACGTAACCCCTCAGCCTCAGCTTCAGTCCACCATGCAGCCACCGTACCGTCCATCAGCCCTTGCGACGTGGGTGAGACCTACCCCGGTGAACAGATGGCGCACACCCGACAACCGGCCCATCTGCTTTGCGTGCGGTTACGCCGGTCACGTGGCCCGTTATTGCCATCGCGTACAGCCGGCTCCAATTTCTTCACCTGTTGCTGGCCAACTCAGCCGTCCTTATCGCGAAGAACCGCCGTCTATGCCACCTCGATCTCGCCCAGGTCCATCTCGACGATCGCCGTCTCCACGACGTCGTTCCCTGTCCCCCATGCGGCCAAGTGCGGCAGCTCATGAGCGGGAAAACTAGTCGTCGCAGTCCCCGAGGCAAGGACTGCGACGCTATCGCAATGTGAAAGCCCTCAGAGCAGCCCCTCGAATGTCATTGACGTGTTTGTGGACGGTGTTTGTGCATCGGCGCTTATTGACACTGGAGCTGCCGTATCAGTTATGGACGAAAAACTCTGCCGCTTACTTCGAAAAGTGACGACGCCACTTTCTGGGTTATCCCTCCGTACTGCAAGTTTGCACCGCATTTATCCTACAGCAGGGTGCACAGCTCGCGTTGTCATCCAGGACGTTCTGTATGTCGCCCAGTTCATCGTCATTCAGGCATGCTCTCATGACGTCATCCTGGGGTGGGACTTTCTCTCCCGCCATGACGCCGTCATCCATTGTGCCGCCGCCGAAATTGAGCTCTCACCCTTCTCGCATTTGACGCCAGAAGACAGTCCCCCGACACTGAGCAAGATTCTAACGAAAGACGATACAACAGTGCCTCCAAACTCGACGACGGCTGTGTCTGTCTACTGCGCTGGTCTCTCCGACACCATTGGACTTGTTTCGCCATCTGACCGCGCTTGCAGCAGGAGAGGGTTGCTGGTACCTTTCGCGACCGTGCAGGTCAACCAGGGCAACACTGCTATTTTTGTAACCAACCCGTCCCCGTATGCTGTTACCTTGCTTCGAGGGGAATGTCTCGGCAGAGTGGAACCAGTCGACGACGCACAAGTCCTGGACGTACCCGATGACACGCGTGGTCCCAGGTCGTGTACCATCAATGCTGTTTCCACTTCTGATTCGTCATCTGCTGATGTATTTGGCCCCTCCATCGCTGACAACCTTACGGCCGTACAGCGTTCCCAACTTCTGGACCTGTTGCAAGAATATCGTTCTTCTTTCGATGTCGGGCGAAGTTCTCTCGGTCGCACGTCCGTTGTTACCCATCGAATCGACACTGGTGCCCATCCACCTTTACGGCAACGTCCATATCGCGTGTCGCCTGCTGAACGTCGAGTAATTAATGATCAGGTTGACGATATGCTCCGACGCGATGTTATTCGGCCCTCGGACAGTCCATGGGCGTCTCCTGTTGTTCTTGTTGCGAAGAAAGACGGTTCTGTGCGGTTCTGTGTGGACTACAGACGGCTCAATAAGATCACTCGCAAGGATGTTTATCCACTGCCACGCATCGATGACGCGATTGACAGCCTTCATGGAGCCGATTTTTTTTCTTCTCTCGATCTGCGCTCGGGGTACTGGCAAGTACCCTTGGCTGACGACGCTCGACCAAAGACCGCCTTCATCACGCCAGACGGCTTGTACGAGTTCAACGTCATGCCGTTTGGTCTATGTAATGCACCTGCGACCTTTGACCGCATGATGGACACCGTTCTGCGCAACTTGAAATGGTACACGTGCTTGTGTTACCTTGACGATGTCATTGTCTTTGCTCCGGATTTCTCCACGCATCTCCAACGTCTGAAAGAAGTTTTCGCACGTGTGAGCAATGCCGGCTTGCAACTAAATCTGAAAAAGTGCCGCTTTGCAGCACGGCAACTCACCATACTGGGGTACGTCGTGTCCAAAGACGGCATTCTTCCTGATCCTGCCAAGCTTCAGGCCGTAGCCGAATTCCCCAAACCTGCATCTGTCAAAGAACTGCGTAGTTTCGTGGGCCTGTGCTCCTACTTCCGACGCTTCATACGAAATTTTGCCACGATCATATCACCGCTGACGAAGCTCCTTGGAAGTAACGGGCCCTTCAATTCATGGTCATCCGAGTGCGACGACGCGTTCGCGAAGCTCCGCCATTTGTTGACGTCGCCTCCCATTCTACGCCACTACGACCCTACAGCCCCAACGGAGGTGCACACAGACGCCAGCGGCGTAGGCCTCGGCGCTGTCCTGGCGCAGCGAAAACCCGGATTCCCTGAATATGTTGTAGCATATGCAAGCCGTACGCTCACGAGAGCCGAGAAAAACTACACCGTCACGGAGAAAGAGTGCCTGGCGATCGTCTGGGCTCTTACAAAGTTTCGACCTTATTTGTATGGTCGCCCATTCGATGTCGTCACCGACCATCATGCACTATGCTGGCTTTCTTCATTGAAGGATCCCTCAGGCCGTCTCGCCCGTTGGGCTCTTCGCTTACAAGACTACGACATCCGCGTGCTGTACCGCAACGGACGCCAGCATGCTGACGCCGACGCCCTCTCGCGCTCCCCTCTGCCTGAAGGTGATGTGCTCTGCTCAGTATCCACGGCTGCTGTTTCTGCCATTGATGTTGACATCATCGCTACCGAACAGCGAAAGGATAATTGGATCGGCACGCTCATCGACATGCTCTCTGATCCATCCGCAACGCCATCCACGCGTGCCTTGCGTCGTCAAGCTCGCCATTTCACCATCCGTGACGGCCTTCTACACCGACGCAATTACGACGCCGACGGCCGGCAGTGGTTACTCGTGATACCCCGCAGTCTGCGGTCAGAAATATGTGAATCCTTCCATTCAGATCCGCAATGCGCGCACTCTGGGGTATTCAAGACCTACCATCGCATTCGACAACGCTACTTTTGGCGCGGCATGTACCGCTATGTGCAGCAGTTCGTTCGCTCTTGCCTCACTTGCCAACGCCGTAAACCGTCAGTCCACATGTCGCACGCCGGTCTGCAACCGTTACCTTGCCCTGACCGTCCCTTTGGGCGCGTAGGTATCGATTTGTACGGACCACTTCCTCTGACGTCGGCTGGTAACCGCTGGGCCATCGTTGCCGTTGATCATTTAACGCGATACGCCGAAACCGCCGCTCTCCCTGCGGCTACTGCGCGCGATGTTGCGTCCTTCCTGCTGCATCGATTTATACTGCGCCACGGACCACCCCAAGAGCTTCTCAGCGATCGAGGCCGTGTCTTCTTGTCGGAAGTCGTCGAAGCCATTCTGACGGAGTGCCATTCTGTCCACCGCAAAACTACTGCTTACCACCCACAGACGAATGGCCTCACCGAACGCTTTAACCGCACCCTCGGCGACATGCTTTCTATGTACGTCGCTGCCAACCACACTAATTGGGATAATATACTGCCCTTCGTCACCTACGCCTACAACACCGCCCCTCAGAGCACGACTGGTTTTTCACCTTTCTACTTGCTGTACGGAAGGCACCCGTCGCACACCATGGACACGATACTCCCGTACACGCCGGATCCATCTGAGTGTACACCGATTTCCGAGACAGCCAGGCTTGCTCAAGAGTGTCGCGAGCTTGCCAAGACTTTTACAACGCAAGAGCAAGAGCGGCAGAAGAGTATTCGTGATGGCTCCACCACTTCTGAGCCCACGTTCCTTCCTGGTGCGCTGGTATGGCTCTCGATCCCGACATCTGCAGCTGGCCCCTCTTCCAAGCTACGTCCAAAATACGAAGGCCCCTACCGTGTCATCGAGCGCACCTCACCCGTCAACTATCTCATCGAACCCGTTGAACAATCTTCGGACATGCGCCGCCGTGGGCGAGACATCGTCAACGTGGAGCGCCTGAAGGCTTATTATGACCCGCTCATAGTAACGAGCTGTTAGGTCGCCAGGCGGCTCCCTCTTCGACCCCGGGGTAATTGTAGCGAAGCCTCCGAACGCTGAAATGGGTCGAACTCTTGAGTACCTTCTAGTGGGGCTACCCAACAAGAACGCCGCTCGCGCTGGGAGCCCGTGTTTGGCTGTGACTGTCGCCATTACATATTCTCGCTCGTTGCCGGCTAGTAAACGCCTTAACACTACAAAAATATTAACTACATTTTTAGATTCAGGAGAACAAACTAAGCAATCATGCCAACTCTTATCATATGCAGTTCAAAAATAGATTAGATATCCCATAGACTCATGTCCCCCCTTGATTGAGCTGCACCTCATCAAGTAGCTGAAGCATTTAGAGGCTGCGTTGCAAGTCAATTGTGTCTATGCCCATAAAATTGTATAGTTGGCCAGGGTAACTTGTTTTGAGTAGATGAAAGGATGCAGTTTCACTTGTACCATTTTTATGGGTGCTCGCAGAGCCACAAGGGAAGCTAAATTAAATCTGTAAAAACTTTCACAACGTTGGTTGCTTCATTAACCACGTCAAGCGGCCTTTGTTACGTTACCTACAACATGCATTCTGATCACAGCATACTAGCCAGACATATGAGAATTGCATTACGTGGTATTCACGGGTTACACAATGTTGCAGGTTACACTAGGCACCACGTTACTCGTTAAAAATAGCATTTACAGGCTACAGGTTGGCATTCTGGCTGGTCCTATCTATTTAACAAGGTTGTTGCTTGTTATCCTGACTTACAGCATTGTCATATTGTGCGTTCACAAGCTGAATGGTAGTTTGCGACTGCAATTTGCAAGCTTCAAGAGCATTTTTAATCCCCTCCGGATTGTGATTGCACTTGATTTAAATTGCATCGGTAAGTCTTTAATCGTCCGGGCTTACCATAATTCTTTGCATATAATTCATCCTTGGATGTAACTTGTGCTCCCACTTTTAAACACTTTTTTTTATTTTTTATGGTATCTTCATAATGTATTGCATGAATTTAGAAAGCTGCAGGCAAGAAATGTGGCTTTGGAAACTTATACAAATTTAGTAATAAGTTGATGTCATACTTATTTGTAGGTGTACCGAGAGTTTAATTTATAGAATTCTTTTTTCTTTGTGTATCTCGCTGTATCTATGCATAATATGCATTACGTTACTATGATACAAGATACATTAGGCTCACTGCATATGTAAGCTTTCTGCTTTATTTTGTTTGCTGGTTAAAAGATCGACAGTTTAGCTTACTGTCATTGCACACATTGTTGTAGAATGCCATGTTGAAAAACTAATTATGCGATGAAGCACTGATATTAATGTGTTGGCATCTGCGATGTGAAAATCATATCGCTGTGCCGAAGGTTGTGCAGCGCAACTTACTAGGCTTCCTCATTAAGTGTTGATGTCAAAAGTCATGCTATAATTGATGTTTTCCTCTCTGTGACAGTTGAAAATGGAAGACAAGCCGAAGCTGTCGAAACGCAAGCTAAAGAAGTTGAGCAGAATGACCATCGCTGAGCTCAAACAGGTCAGTGTGCGGTGCCCGAGCTACTACATGGAGCAGCTCGTTAACGAGTGCCTCTGACGTGCCAGAGTCCAGTGACCTTCATAGTGTACTTCATACAAGCATTCAGGATTCATTAATTACTAAAAATGTTCTACGGAACATAGAGCTTCCAAAAGTTAAGGGGGCAGACTGGTCTTAGACATTTTTTGTTTATTTCTTCAGTGATCTTGATAAAACTGCACAGGGTTATACAGTTTTTTTCTGCTGATTTCAAATATGTAATTAGTTTTCCTGTAACTCACTTTGTTGCTGAGATAACTTAAGTTCACTCCCTATTGTTTAAGACCACCATAGAAATAAAAGTGCTTAATTAAAAGTGATATTTAGGATATGCCAACATAGACTAACGACTATAGAGTGAAAGTATGGAAGAGGTTTTTGTTTTTAGACCTTTATTGGTTATTTTGCAGCAAAATGAACTATGTATACATTTTCAAAAGCAGTTGGAATTGTGTTACAATTTTGATTAGTAATTAATTAAACAGGCATGTGCTCTAAATTTTGCTCCCATACTTGCATTTTACACACATACAGGTTTCCACTGCAAATAGAAATATTGCTGTACCTGCCTTAGCTGCAGAGATATTGAGGCCTCAAAATTGAATAGTCACAAATTTACTTTTTTGAGAAAAATGGAAAAAACTGAAAACACACAGTTTCTTCAAAAAGCAACGATCATGGTGCGCATGTTTAGCAATCCTCACGAAGGCGCTCATAAATTTGTAGTAGAGCTTTAGACAAAGGGGCTGGCAAATTATAAAGAAGCCTCAAAGTCGGTTCCCCATTTTTTTTTGCAGGTTCTGCATGTTAACAGCACCAAGAATCTGGACAGTTAAAATGACATTACAAAAAAATTACTACTTCTTGGTGCGTGAAAATTTGCAGAGAGATAGAAAAATACTTGCAACAACCAAATATGTCAAATTTAAAAAATGAATATTTTTGTCACTTTTTGGTCTCAAAGAGCAGTCTGCCCCCTTAACTAGAGGGGACTCTGGCGTTGTGATCGTTGAGCGACCATGGGAAGGATGTTGGTTGTACACGGATTTACCTTCGTCTTCGTGCTTGCAGGCTTCGACCATGCTTGTGGCTTTGTTTATTTCTGTGTTTTGGTTTTGTTTCGAATGAAAGAACAAACCGTTTTGAGCTTTGTGACCAAATTTGAAACGGTCAGCCTAAAATATTACGGTGCTGAAGTGCAACTGCTGAAATTTCCCTGATAGCCGTTTCGTGCCAAAGCAACTTCAAGCCAGACGAAGCCAACCGGAGCCGAAAGTACGAAATTAGACAAATTCGTGTAGTACTACCCATCATTCCCATACTGACTGATGCGCCGTGCATTGCAGCTCCCGTAAACACTAGCACCAGAGTTCCCTTTAGTGTATCTATGGGAAACTCTACCCTGCAGAGTAACTAAGTTACTCTGCAACTAACTAAGGCTACAACAGTTGTCGTGCTCACCTATTACATAGCATGACAGTTCCTGAAAGCTTTTTTTTTTCTTTTTTCAAATTATGTTCATGTAAGTAGTTACATCACAACTAGAGTAAGTCATTCTTTCCATGATTTAAAGTGGGTTTGTAGTCCACGATTGTCGCAGATGTTATAAAGTCCCATGTTAATATGGTTAGCTGAGATGGCCGTTTTATTCCCTGTGCCTTATTGCAGCTTTTTATTTACTGGACATTGGTCGGCAATGTTCTTGAGAAGTGTCGCTCCTAATTCCAGAATGCTGTATTCTCAGGGCTCCACGCTGATGCCAAAGATGAGGATTTTTTTTTTGCTAATTTTATAAAAGTTGGGGTGCGTCGTGTTCACTTTTATGATAAAATGGAGATACTGGAAAAAGAAAAACTGCAATCAAGAGCAATACAATTATGAACATATAAAAATGTTTGTCACTGTGAGTAAACATAACATTGAAATCTGTTTTGTGGAGCTTGTAGGGGACAAGCATCCTATGTACGGCTGACGCAGAAGCCTAGCTAATGTTCCAGCTGCACACAATCGTACTGTGCACAATTAACGTCCCCTATCCGTAGCTTGTCTATTACAGCTACACGGGTTTGGGCAAATAAGGCAACAGGCTAGGTCAACAACACACTTTATTGCTATACGTTAGCAATAACGCGTAAATGTCGTGAGGAGATACTACACAAAACAAGGGTAGACACTTACTCCTTGGTCGTTGTCGTCCTCGGCTCGCAGGGGGTTGCGGGTTCGACCTCCTTCTTCCTAAGCAGGTGTCAGAGAGAGCGTCTGCATGCTAGTTTTGTTCACTGACCCGGTTTCCCTCTTCCTGACGAAGGTTTGTTCCTTTTCTGAGGGAGTGAAACCCGTTCTGCGCGCCGGGAAAGGTTGAATCGCGAGCGCTGGCCGCGGGGGTGTTCCATCCCTTCACAAGAGGCTTTATTGAATCATACCTAAAGGGACAGACATGTCCTGGCGACCTAAGCTGCTACGTGGCCGTAAAAGGGAAAAACTGGCTGGGCGCACATGCTCCCCCACAAGCTTCACAGAAGTATATTGCATGGCGGCTACCCATGCTGCCCGTATGAAATTTCTTGGATCATGTGATTAAAGGGCAGAAGTGTAAATCTAAGGGCTCATTTTCCTTGATAGATGCAACATTAACAAGACCTAATGCACAATGATGCCAAGAGTAGTGTAGGGGATGTAAGTAATTGTAATGTAAATGTGAAAAAATAAAAGTGGACGAAAAGATAACTTGTCATTAAGAAAATTCGAACCTGCGACCTTCAAATTCAGAGGTCACAGGTTTGGATCCTGCCTGTGACAAGCTATCGTTTCGTCCACTTTTCATTCTTCACATTTTCATTACAACTAGTAGTACTTCTAATAACATCCCCTATACCTCTCTCGAGATCATGTGAAGTGGCATTAATCTTTTTGTTCAGCTGCAGAAAATATTCTCTTGTTATTTTTTCGGTTTGTACTTTTACCTCAGAAACCAACATTCAAGAATAAAGCTTTAGCACTTTTTGCTTCTTGTACTTGCCAGTGGCACCTTTTATCCGAAACAAATGGCTACAGAAGCATGTGCAGCACACCGAAGGCAAAACTGAGCCGGCTGAATGTCCCTCGGTCTTGTGGAAGCTAGAGAAACAAACTAATGTTACCTGCTGCTTAATGTTTCTAAATTGTTCTTTTATTGCTGTTCCTGCTTTGCAGAAAGTCACCCGGCCAGAATTGGTGGAGATGCATGACGTGACTGCCAAGGACCCAGTATTGCTCCTCCACCTAAAGGTACTGCACGCATGTGTACGAAAATGTGAAAAATGGGGAGAATGGTAAAAAAAAAAAAAAAAAAGGCGCTTAACTCGGACAGATCATTTCATTGAAACGGCACGTTACTTGATAGATCACAAAAGAAAGGGTGTGCACGCCTATGCACGCCTTTTCTCATCTCCATCTTAGAGCTGTGAGAATAGCAAAATTAGGGGTGCGAAGCCAATTTGAATAATGAAGTGTAAGTGCTGATCGAATCGAATATTTTTCAAATGCTCTTCGAATATTTCTAGGACACTTTTTGAATACTTCTAAGTGGGTATGTAGAAAAAGAAAAATGTTGGAGAGCATTCCTAAGCATATTGTAATCAGTTAGCAATGTGAAAGTGTTTCTTTTGGCTAAAGTGATGTAGCAGTGAGGGGTTCAAAGTTGTCTTGTGAAGAATGAGAATGGGGCTATGCAGAGGCTGAATCATATTTATATGCATGATTTCGTGCAACCAAAGTGTTGCCGGCAACACTTTGCACGTGAAAGGCAAAGATTCTATTCCCTCAGCCTCTCCTCTTTCCACTTCTGTGGAAACCCACTTTCCGCTTCTGCGGCAGAGAAGAGTGTGCTCCTGTCAAAGCTGGAGTTCCAAGTCTGCCTTGTAATTCTCAATATGTAAGAACATCTGAAACTTTGAATGCTAAAAATATTCGGCGTCCAATTTTTTTGGACTTTCGGCCAAAATTTGAAGGCAAAAGCAGCAATAATTGAGCCCTCACCTCTGCCTCATCTATCATCCTCATGTTGGAACCAACGTTTTCTTGAGAATGCATTTGCAACTGAAAGGCAGCTTTGCCGCAATACGAGCGTAATGAGGTGAAGTTTAACAAAAATTTCAAGGGGCCACTTTTAATCGGACTGACTTTTGTTTTTTCCCTTTCGGAAGTTCGCAGTAGTGTTGTCTGAAAGACAGCCTTTGTGAAAGGCATCATGAGGTGAACAAAATAAACATTGAAAGGCGTGGCTTTTATATGGGCGTTGACTGCATTTGTCTTTGAGAAGTTTGAATTGTAAAATCTCCACTGTGAATCGAATTGAATAGCAGACACTATTCGTAAAACATTTGAAATACAGTAAAAGCTCGTTAATTCGACACCCGTTCATTCGGAAATTCGGATAATTCGGACTGCTCTATTGGTCCCGGCCAAAGTGCATGTTAATCTACGGGACCAAACCTTCGTTATTTTGTCCGAATTCGGCTCCGCACCGCTTAATTCGGACAAATGCTGACGGCTGCTGCTACACAAAAGTGTGATAAAGCAGCGCTGGCACCACTGGAGTGAAACCGAAACCTGAGTGGCATCGCCATCGTCATCAACTAGTGGGGGCGATCGCAGCGTCGCCGAACGTCGGCGTCTTCTTTCTTCTCCACTCAGCGCCTCCGACGCCAGTTTCCCTTGTGTTGTCGCAACGCCTCCTCTAAACAATGCCTGGGGAACGGCTCGCGCTCTCAGCGGAGTTGGCCTGCCTTTAGTTTTGAGTAAGCGCCGCGCGGTGGCGCTCGCGACCGAGACTATTATCACGGCAGCAGGCGGTACCAGCTAAGCGTTTTTCATCTGCGGCCCATAGGGGCGCGTCAGTTGAGAATTGTTCGAGACCTGCAACTGTGCACCACTGTTACTGAGGCTATGCAAAGTGTTGCATTGTCGCACCGTCCGCCACAAGTGACGCTAGCGACCGAGAACGTTTTCAGAATGAAGGAGGGAAAGGGTGTGGCAGCTGTTTTCCTTCTCATGCGGCAGGCATCTTCCTAGAGGAGGCGTTGGTTGTCGTGTCGGTACCATCTCTTCTTGCGGAGTTCTCTTTTTCTTTCATTGTGACCGTATTTGCATGCCACCACCATCGTACGCTACAGTGATGGCAATGCCGAAAAAGCGGCAGAACTACGACGCGAAGAACTTGGCGACTAAAGTGGAAATTTTGGAAGCACTGAAGAACGGCGAATCGTGACAGCAGGTTATGACCAAGTACAACGTGAAGCGGAGCACGTTGGGAACGTACGTGAAAAATGAACAACAGATTCGACAAGCCTTCGAAAGCGAGAAGTTTCATGCCTCTAGAAAGCGGTTGCGAACCGCAGCTCATCCCCAGCTCAAAGAAGCTTTGCTCCGGTGGATTACTGACTGTCGCAATGCGCATCTGCCTTTGAGCAGACCTCTCATCATGGCGCAAGGTGAGAAGTACGCTGCAATGATGAACATTGAATCGTTCAAAGCGTCAGAAGGGTGGTTCATGAGGTTTCGAGAGAGACACGAACTTGTCTTCAGGAGTGTGTGCGGCGAAAAGGCCAGTGTTGACGAAAGCGTGACCACCGAGTGGAGAAATGTGAAGCTGCTGGAGCACATCGCCGCATATGAACAACGTGACGTGTTCAATGCAGATGAAACTGCTCTATTTTTCAGAGCTCTGCCCGACAAGATGGTGACTTTCAAAGGGGACGGGTGCATTGGTGGCAAGAAGTGCAAGCAAAGGATAACTGTGCTTCTTGCCGCCAATATGACTGGTACGGAGCGCTTGCCACTACTTGTCGTCGGGAAGGTGCTTAAGCCACGTGGTTTTAAGAACGTCGAAAGCCTTCCTGTCGAGTACACAGCGAACAGGAAGGCATGGATGACATCGGACATTTTTCGCGGCTGGCTGCAGCAGTTGGACCGGCACTTCACGTCGAAGGACCGCAAGATAATTATGGTTGTTTACAACTGCAGTGCCCATAACTGTACAGTCGAACTGAAGAGCATCAAAGTAGTTTTTTTGCCGCCCAACACTACGTCTGCTCTTCAGCCGATGGACCAGGGTATCATTCACTACGTGAAGTCGAAGTACCGCAAGCACCTGCTAGAGCGAATGATCCTATGCTCAGAAGCTGGAAAGTTGTATCAAGTGGACTTACTCGACGCAGTGCACATCATCGCCCACGTGTGGAAAAACACTCCGCCGCAAGTCATCGCCAACTGTTTTTGGCACAGCGGTTTTGTGAGGCCCGAGCATGCAGCAGTAGCCGACGATGGCATCGAGGAGGTGTCAGCCGAGTCCACCGACGATGACTGCCCGACTTTCGATGCTATCCTTCCCACTGATGTGACCTTTCAGGACTACATCGCAATTGATCATGGTGTCGCCACGAGTGGTTTCCTGACCGATCAAGAGATTATTAATGATGTCAGGGGCACCCATGAAGACCATGATTCCGATGAAGAATCATGCGAGGAGATACAGCCGCGACCTCATCGCACCTCACTGGAAGTCTCGATGGCGCTGTTAATATTAGAGGACGCTTGCCTGAACACTCCCGACAGCTTGCGTGCTGTTGGCCATTTGGAACAGTTAAGAAAAATTGTGATGTCAGCCGGAATGTGCGCGAAAATGCAGACGACAATTACAAAATACTTCAACAAATAAAGGTATGCTTCTGCAGCTTGATTTTAAATGTTGTTTTCCCTGTTAATTCGTTGATTCGGCATTCGGTTAATTCGGGCAGTTTTTCCTGTCCCGTGAAATCCGAATTAACGAGCTTTTACTGTATTCAATATTCGCACACCTCTACTCCAGTATAGTAATTCGCATCTTTAAAAAAAATCAGAGAAACAAAGTTCAGCCAACGTGTACTACTTGCCATCTTAAACCAGGATAGCTATCCGGCACTGGGCTAAGAGAAAAACCAGTTCGACTGGTGTGATTTGTTTAATGCAACTGGTGAGGGTGATCTTTCTTTTTTTTTTCGCACATTGCGATAGTTCCCACTTGCAAACAAAAGCAATTCTTTAGGCTTGCTGGTGGTAAAAGTAAAAGTTTAACAGTAGGGACACATATCGACGAGAACGTCGAGACCAGTCATTTAATAATTATTGTGGAAACACTGGGAAATATAATAGGTACTATTAGTCACATCAGCAAGAAACTTAGTGTCTATTGCTTTGGCAGAGAGAAATATGTCTCTTTTTTTTTTTGTCCTGTGTGCACATCCACTACTTCATGTAGGCTCTCTTTAATCTTGTTTTGTGTGTGTGCACGCGTGTGGCACGATGTGTGGCTGCATTTCCGAGCACACTCTATTGCTGTTCCTTGCAGTCATCGCGCAACACAGTGCCGGTGCCCCGCCACTGGTGCTTCAAGCGCAAGTACCTGCAGGGCAAGAGGGGCATCGAGAAGCCGCCCTTTGACCTGCCCGGCTTCATCAAGAAGACTGGCATCATGGAGATGCGCCAGGCCCTTCAGGAAAAGGTGTGCGAGACACATGCACAGTTTCGTTTTTTTTAGAATCTAGCATCACATGTTCCCGCTAGCAGTGCTCTTTGCATTTTCAACCTGGTATTTCGGTAAAATGGCAACACTAACATTTATTTACTGGTTAAAATCTCTTGGTTTTTTGTTATAATAACAGAAACCAGATTGGACATGGTTGCTCTGTACAAATGGATGATGCCATATATCTTACTTGTCATTTGTAGCCTGCCATGCTCACGAACAGCATTCTAGGGCAATGAAGGAATAGCGCTGGAATAGGGCATCTCCACGTGTTTTACTGCACCACGTAATCTGGCAGCGTTTGACTGCACCTTTGCTTTTTTTTGGACAAGGTACTTAACAAGAGCAAATGATGTTTTTCATGTGCACATTTCACATTTGTGTCGATGAGGTAAAGAAAAGCAGAAAAGAAAAATCGAATTTTACTCGATCTTTCCTGTTGTAGGATTTTGATGTCATAAATAATATGGTTCGGTTTTTCCACGAGGCAACTACATGCGAGACTTTCAGAGGTGCTCTTCGTTGTGCATGCTCACTTTCATAACTTTCCTTTTCTCCGTGACAAAAAAAAAAAAAATTGCCCACAGGTATAGAATCTGCTGTTAGGTTTTTTAAGAGAGATTGTTGCATGCCTGAAGCGGCACCTACAGCATGCTTTCGCTGTGCCTGGTGCGAGGAAGTTAGTGTGCCTGTCGCACACATCCCTGCCCTGGAACTGGCACCAACATCGAATAATACTTGTATAAATGATTGTGTGCTGTAATAGAAAGCTCTACTTGACAGTAAGGCTGCGCATTGGCTTTGTTTCGCTGATACTGTCCCTGACTTTTTTTTTTTCTGTCCGAGAGGTGATGCCCAAGAGTTGGCGATTACGGGGAAATGCTCCTCTAAAAGATTTTTCTTCAGATATTTGTGACTGCTCAATGAAACTTTTACCAGTTATAGAGTTCGAGCTCCTCTTTTCAAATCTGCTTTTATTTTTTTCATGGCTCATTTGGTTTTTTGCAGACCATGCATTTGTAAAAACAATGCATTTTTGTGCAACCTTAGGCAACAGCCTAGAAAACAATTCTAATGCTGAGTTTGGGTTTTACCATTCTCAAGGAACAAGCTTCTGAAATTATCTAGCTGAATATGCTTTGGAGACCTCTGAAAGTTGTTTATTTGAATTGAGGACATGTTTAACTTTAGGCATGCCAAGTTTCATTGGAATCAGACTACGTAAAGCGTACAAATTATAGCGCACAAGCTCTAAAAATGCCAAAAATGGGGAACTGATAAAGAGAGGTTTGAAAGTTCAAAAACATGTTTAATACTATACTCTTCAACCAATCTGCATCAAATTCACCGAGAACGTCGGCAAAGCTATCTTGAAAAAGTTGACAGTTTCAGATGAATCCAGCACTATACATTGGACCCTTACAGTCTTTGCAAGCTGCCTCCTCCCGACAAGCTTTCTTGGACCCTTAGAGTCTCTGCGAGCTGCCTCCTCCCGACAAGCTTTCTTTTTTTTTTTTTCTTTCGGTACTGCGGCAATGGGCTGTTGTTCTCGGGCTCGTGCGAGGTTTTCGGCGGCAGTATCCAATTTTTCTTTTTTTTTTTGCCCATGGCAGTTCTTATGACACACTGGATTTTGAACACCAATGATGGCACAAAGTTGCACAAGATGCTCGTGTCTGACGCCGATCGCACGCAATGCGACCACCTACTTCACGCTCACAGCGAAGTTGTCCGATACACTGCCGCTGGCGGACGTCTCCTCGCTTCCACTGCATGACGGATACACACAGCTTGACGTGTACGTGGACGAAACAATAGTTGCATCACATGCGTCATTTCGGCGCTAAAGTTCTGAAAACGATGCCAGTCCTTATCGTCTACTTGCCACTACTTGAATGCACAGCTCGCACCGCCCACAGTTGGGGCATACTGCGCCGCTGACGAGGTTCTGCGTCGCATCGGTCTCACAAAAAAATGTGCTTCCACGTTCGTCCTGACACTTGCTTTTGTCGTCGAACATCTTTATCTTTCACTTTGAAGCACTGACGAAGTCATCGACGCTAAAAATGAAGCTCGAACAATTCAAATCGGGTGCATCTCTGCTGCCGCCACTAGGCCTAGTGGCAAATGAACCTCTCACCGGTGTGCACTGCTTGCGTTTGGGGCGCCTTCCCTTGTACTGGTGCCGCATATTGAACTTCCATGAACGAAAGTAGTATTTTTCCCCGGCATCCATGGCGCGAAAATGATAACTTGGGCGGTTGTGTTCGTCGATGTCTCGGCAAAAGCAGGAGAACAAAGAAAGCGCCCACATCCGACTGCGTGGCGGAATGCTCGCAACCAATAGCAGGGCTTTGATCATACCACGTGACTTCGAAGGCCCACTCCCCACGCTAGAATGCAGTGGGAAAAGGATTTTTGTTGTATTTTTAGCGTGAATGACGCTCTGCCAAAATGGGCTCTGGGAGAAGGGGGTTAAGCCTGCATGCCCGCGAAATTTAAAGTGCCGGTGATGCCGTAGAGCCAAGTGCTGCGTGTGCGAAAATCGCGTAATTTCGCACTTTCATGAGCCACCGCGAGTGCTTCAATTGCATTTTTCGATAACTTCTAGTTGATTCTCAGCTTTGATTTTTAAGATATTGAGGAGAAGGCTTGGAGGAATACAAAAGACAAGAAAATACAAAATTGACTTTTTCGAAAAAAAATCGCGGTTTTTCGACCCGCATCTCCCCTTAAAGCGGATTCCATTCCTCATGTAGAAGCATTATGAATGGACATGAATGGGTCATCATTTTTTGTTCCTGTGTACACTCGGACCTCATTATAACAAATTTGCACCTTGCATGAGAATAAGTTCATTATATCCAAAAATTTGTTATAAAGGTTATTCTTGACACTGTATGTATTGCACGGCTAATCTTCATTTTGTTTGTTGTAACCAATATTTCGTTATATCCGAGTTTCTTATATTTGGGTTTTGAGTGAATACTTTGTACTTATCTCACCCTCTTATAGAGTCGACTCACATCAAGTGGTTATTCCTTAAACTGAATTGTGCTTTAATGGAAGAACTGCCTCTAATACAATTGGTTTTGTACTTAAATTCTGCCCCTTTGTTCACCTCTCAGTAAATGGAACGTTATTCTTCCGGTCTATAGCTGCGCAATCACAATGGAGCAGTTGCCCTAAATATTTCAGTGTATTTCAGGCTTAACAGTAGCATTGCATTTCGTGCATCTTTCTAAAGGCTTTTTAAGTTTAGCAACACACAGTCTCTGAAAAGGTTTAGACAGTGCATCACTTACCATTTGAAGTTACGAGTGGTTACATTGAAGTCCTTTTCACTGCGCATCTTTTTTACCAGAGTTTTTCTTGCCCCTTGTCTCAGTATAGGTGGCTATAGTTGTGAGCAGTCTCTTGTTTGTCTTTGCAGGAAGACCAGAAGACGATGAAGGCCAAGATGCGTGAGAAAGTGCGTCCCAAGCTGGGCAAGATCGACATTGACTACCAGAAGCTGCACGACGCTTTCTTCAAGTGGCAGACCAAGCCTCGCATGACCATGCACGGGGATCTGTACTACGAGGTGAGCTTTGTTTTGGACTGCTGGATGCACAAGGTATTCGTTTTTTAGCCATACTGTTCCGAGCGTCGCGAACATGCCCACCATCAATCGTTAAAAGAGAGCATTACCTGGGAGTATAAAACTAAATAAACTTTTTTTTTCTGATTGCAGGGAAAGGAGTTTGAGACGCGACTGAAGGAAAAGAAACCTGGTGACCTGACGGATGACCTGAGGATTGCTCTGGGAATGCCCACTGGTCCGGTGCGTTACTTAGTAGCGAAAAAAGCTTTCTCGTGCACATGCGTGCATGTGTGTGTGTGTGTGTGTGTGTGTGTGTGCGCGTGTGTACTAGGAAGAGAGGGGTAGGGTATTCAGGGTGAAAGAGGCAAAAGCAGTTTGGAGCAGTTGAATGCTCCCGTTTTATTGGCATATCAACAAAACTTATGCTTAGAAGTTGAAAGATTGGGTAACGGTTATTTGCTTTCTTACTCCCTGCTTTACTGCTGGCCCTGTTCCACCTTTCTACACTTGTAGGAGAGGAGCAAGGCATTGCAGGCGTGAATCCTTGATTGTTAGTGTTGAAGGGTTCTATTAGTTGGCCTCCTTTGAGTTTAGCTGTTTCTGATGCAGAAATGAGTTTCAGTGCTAGTTCAGTTTCCGTTACATGTGTTGAATAGGTTTCTTTTTTTACTCCCCTTTTTTTATAATTTTTTGCCTTGTTCTAGAACTGCCACCGGTGCCCTCCACCTTGGCTTATTGCCATGCAGCGGTATGGACCACCACCTTCATATCCGAACCTCAAGATACCGGGTCTCAACGCCCCGATTCCAGATGTGAGTGCATGTTTTTTATTATGTTAGCATAAGCTTAAACATGAGCATAAAAAAAAATCTCTGTATTTAGTTTCAAATTGTGGTGCAAACTTAATGTAAATTTTGAAACCTGAATCAAGCCACCGTTACTAGAACAATCTCATTTGAATGAACCTGAAAGTGTTATGTAGAATCCTAAATGTTTCTCTACATATTCTTGCTCTAGTAAATCGTGAAAGTGGAACACTTGTTGAAGGGGTTAAAGGCAAGGTGATTATTCAAATAATCACCTTTGCAAGAACATGTTTTTTATAATTTTTTGCTGTATATGCTTATAGAACATATGCAATTCATTTAAAATGTTATTCTTTACATCTCTTTCATATGTCAAGCATATGGCTTCCCTCCAAAAACATGTATACGAATGCATGAAATATGTCACAGTACAAACACTGGCTGTGCATACACGACTACTGATGCAATATTTATCAGCTGTGATTGAATTCTATTCTCTATTTTTTAAGCAAAACGGAGAGGCAAGTGAGTTGGTACTGACGTATAACAACGTAAATGTAGCGCGAAAAAACATGGACAAGAAAGCTTGTCGTGTACCCTTACTTGTCCGTGTTTTTTCACGCTAGATTTACGTTGTTATGGCTCTATTTTTTGTTGTTTCCACCAGAAGTTACTGAAAACACAGCACACGCTTAGTGATGCTAATTCTCGATGCTTTCTTTGCTCCTAGCTAGCCTACCAATAATATGAACATTCTTGCTGGTGGCATCAGCTAATACGACATTCCACTAATTCGAAGTCAAATCTTGAAGGAAAACTATAAAATTTTCTCTGCAAACGGTGATTTTGGGTTCTACATAATCAAAGGTTGTGTATCTCTGAACATTATACATATCTAATGTTAAAGCTTCTTTGTAACTACTTATTATTGAATCATCTAAGTGAAAGTCAGATAAGTGAACTAACACCAATGCTTAATGGGCACTTTCGATCGAAATCGGGGCAAATCTGGATTGTATTTCTTGATTGCAATCACCAATGGTCGTTTGCACATGATCCAGACTATTCCAGATTGAGCTTTGCGTTGACGTCAGTCAAATCACGATCTGGGAGCCGAGTTGCAATCGAACCTGATCACAATCAGGTTTGATTGCGATGAGGAGATAGTGTAGCACCACCTGATCCTGGTAGAGCATAATTCGTATCAGCCCCAAACACAATCGAGAGCACCTGTGTGACACCGGTATGAAATTCCGTATTCACCATTGCAAGCACAATGAACTGTAAATTTGTATTCATGTGCCGATGCTGTGTTCATCCTTCCCAGGGTTGCTCCTTTGGGTACCATGCTGGTGGCTGGGGCAAACCACCTGTGGACGAAATGGGCAGACCACTCTATGGTGATGTATTCGGCACACAGTCATCAGACGCTACGGTGAGTGTTGCTCAACTGGCTAGTCAGGCAGGCTGTAGACATACTGTAAGCTTGCATTCACTAGAGGCATTGTGCCTATACTGAATTTCAATTCCAAACTGAGCTCCACTAAACTCCTGGTTATGAACATGGTTTATGGATCTAGTGAAATGTTTATCATTGTTGCAACAGCCACATTTTAGTGTGCTGATATGCATAAATGCTGGTGTATTTAGGTATTGGTGGTCATTAAAGGACACCAGATAGTCGCATCTAATTCAGCCCCTTTCTCACTCTCATCGCTGTGTATAATCATGCTGTGGTTTTGGCTGGTAAAAACCCAGAGCGAAGCTGAATTGATTAGATGAGTTTTTACCTTACGGATAATATCGGCTAAAAGCATAGCTGCAGTAATTTGATTCTGAGAAAAGAAAAAAAGCTTATTGACTAATTACGGTAAGATTACTGTGTGAAACATCAGATGCCGCTTTCGCGTAAGGCACCTGTAGGCATTTGCTATTGTTTAGTGATCTTCTGGATAATGTATTCGTTTTTCAGCAGTCTCTATAGTGTGTAAAATGAAGGTGCTACTGTTACCGATCCACCACCTTGAACGATTAGCAGAGCCTTACAAAGTAGAAATGATGCTAACATTGTTTCCAGAACAACATGGTTGATGAAGAGGTCGATCGCACTCTCTGGGGTGAGCTCGAGAGTGAGTCTTCGGAGGAGGAAGAAGATGAGGACGAAGACGAGGAAGAGGGTGTTGAAGACGAGACGGGTCTGGTCACTCCAGCCGAAGGCCTGGTGACACCTAGTGGCTTCAGCTCGATACCCACCGGAGTTGAAACTCCAGACATGATTGAGCTACGAAAGCGCAAGATTGAGTCCGAGATGGAAGGGTGAGGATGACTGGCTGGTTTGCTTGGCATGTCCTAAGGCATGTATGGAAATTCGCTGCAGAAATCATATTTTGTCTTCCAACGCTCTAGCGTTAAATTGTTTGTTTCGCAGAAATTATGAAGAACTTTCTGGTTCCGAGTGTGTATCGAACCCAGCTCATTTGCGTGGCAAGCAGGTGTTGTACCATACAGCCAAAAGTTGCATACTTGTAAATACAGTGAAAATAGCTTCCTTTGTTTGGAAATGCAGTGAAAATAACGTTCATGCTTTACAGACATATGCATCCTGCATACAGGCTTCATAATATGTGTAATATTGCAGTAATATTGCGCGGTAAAAGTGTATCGGGCGTGATAACATGTGATTATCATAGCGACTTTGTGGTTTAAAGCAGGTCACTGATTACAAGAGTCGTACACCTTGCTTCGTGTATTTTCTTAAAACTACGCAGTGGGTGCATAGCAAGTTCGAAAAGATTTCATGCACAAATTTGCTCATGTTTTTAAGCATGCCGCCCATTACACAAAATGAAGCCATGTCAGAAAGCTTCACTGACAGCAACCACATTCAAGTAACATCATACTATGAAAAGTATGCCCTCAGTGGCTGAAGTACGCACTAGGGAATAGTTATCGCGTTCACCTTTTTAAGGCAAAGCTCGACAGTTGAATGCCCCCCTCCCTTTTTTTATATATCTGCGTATGTAACAAACATCTAGCAACTTTATTTTCATTGATCATTTTTTTGTGATGCAGCTGTCTTGTATAAGATTTGTTCTTCATATACTAAAGCAGTTGTTTGCTTCTAGCCCTCAGCATTCCTAGCTGCCTTTCGGTAGCAACATATTTTAAAGAGTTCGCTAGAAATTTTCTTTGATGTTCGCATTATATTGCATTGAATGTGTGAAAAATTGCTGCCAAGGTCCCCTTGATGTCACTCGTGAATTTGCGGTGAACTTCTTATTAAAGTTTTTTTCCTGTTACAGTAATTAAACAAAATTACTGCTTAAATAGAACAACTGCCACTAATATGTTTGGTTTCGTACTTGAATATTGTACCCGTGTGTATCTCTCGATAAAAGAAACTCCTCTTAAAGGAAACACATTTTCCTGGTCCCTTCAGGTTTCGTTCAAAAAAGGGTCTACTGTATATGGCTCGAGTTAGTAAAGGTAGAGCCCTCATTTTGGTGTACAGACAATGGTGAAGGATGAGACTTAAAAAATAGTGGCATTTTCTTGCAAAGGCTTGAGAGGTTGGCACCTGGTTTTGATAACTGGCCTGAGGCTGTGTTGTGACGAGTCATTCTTTCGGTGTCTGCAGTGGGGACACCCCAGCCTTGTACACCATTCTGCCAGAGAAGAAGACCGAGAGGGTAGGCGCTGCCATGATGGGATCGACGCACGTCTACGACATGAGCGCCGTGAGTCTTGCCACCTGCTCACGCTGCGTGTATTTGTTGATGGGTGTTAATGCCGTATGGCATGTGTTTGCTGGATAATCTTCCATTTGTTTGTGTGGCCTGAAGGCTTGACTTGCTCTGGTTTTGTTCATAGTACATGCAAACCTCAATATAACAAAGACTGATATAACAAAGCATTCGTTATAATGAAGTAAACGAAAAACTGTCTTGCAATGGGTACAGTGTAAGGGATAACCTTTATAACTGTAGTGGAAAGGAACGCCCACCGCTGCAACCACTTCGACAGCCTTGAATGAGTCTCGAGATGGAGCTGCCTGGCTTGTTGCTGTGCAACGCTGCTTGTATACCCGTCCAGCTTTTGCTGCTACTGTCCCGATGCAGCTACTGCCTTTTGCTCAGTGTTTACAATATATAACAAATTTTCAGATAGCGGATTTCTTTTCTTGTAAGATGCATGCAACCTTGTTATAAAAGAGTTTGAGTGTGAAGGTAATTGCCTCTGCTTATATTGTTCATTTAAAACAGTGTGCACACACAGTGTACATAGTCACAGCTATTGTGCACTTCGTGTTGGGGTTCATCCAGTTGATTTTATGCCGCCAGTCTCGCCGAGTACCTACACCAGTAAGGTTCTCAGCCATGGATGTGTCGGGGACCCCTTATGGACTGGTGGAAGTGACTGCGGGACCCCTTGCAGCGGAGGGGAGGGAGGGGGGCACGTAGGTAAATTAACACAACTGGAGTGTGAAACTGGTGCCTTTTATCGCTACCAAAAACATCAAACAAACGTGCCACATCACTTCATTTTGGACAGTTCATCAATGCGTGGCACAGTCGGGCTTGAAGAAAAATGCACGTGAGGGTTTCGTGGATCATAGAAATGGCTTCGCAAACCCTCATTTGAGAACCACTGACCTAGGTAACAGCATGTCAGTCTAATAAAAACTTAAAGAGCACATAAAATATATAAAGACCTGCATTGCACTTACTATTGCAGTCGAGCCCACATATAACGGCCCCACTTAAAACGAACTTTCGCTTAAAACAAACAACACTCATGTGGTCGTGGAAATGTACATTGTTTCAATGACACCAAATCGCACTTACAACGAATGTCTCCGAGCGCCGCCGATTGGTTACAGCGAACGGAGTTGGCGCTCTGCCGATTTCCCGAGAAACCACTTTACACCACTGATCAGGCATCGGCAAGATGCCGATAGATTCTTATTGTTAAACACCAACCCTGCCTCCGTGCCCCTCTAGTTGCCGCTCTGCCCGACCGCTTTTTGTTACGCACCCCTCCGTTCTTTGTCCTCCCGCTACTCTGAGCACCCTGCATCGCCAGACAAGGCCCGTGTTTTCACACTGCCACCGATCTTTCGAAGACCGATCTCCCCTCAGTTTTTTATTGCTGGTACTTTCGTTGGCGTCGCCGACCTGAAGTGACCAGACCATTTGCCAACATCGTCGGCTACCGACTGTGTCCGATCCTCTGCGTCTTGTCTTATCGTATCGTTCTTGTGCACGCGCGTAGACTACCCCACTAACTCTGATAATTCGCGATTTGTTTCGTGTTTAGGACCTGTTCTTGCTCGCTTCGCACTCGGCTCAGCATGCCCTCCGCACGCATGCGGAAGGGTAAAAATGGCTGCTGCGTGGAACCAATCGCGAATTATTGAAGTCAGTGAGGTCATGCAAACCCGCCGGCGCAACAAAACGATTCTTTGACTCCTGCGCGCGCAGGCACTCTTTCAAGTTTTGCTACGTGCGAGTTACGTGTTTCGCAGACCTTTCAAGCAAGCTACTCGACCTGCCTTCTTCCCACGTGTTTTAGTTTTCAAGGTCGCTTATGGTTTTATCCTCCCCTCGGTAAACAACTTTTCACCCTTCTCTCGCAAATTTGCTCTCCTTTCTCGTTCACAACTCCTTCACCCATCTTCACCGCTCCGCGTCGCCAGCCACGCTGGCTCGAATTCAGAAGTTTAGTTTTCTGACTAGAAATGGGCCCAGAGCAGTTTCACGCACTCTGGCACGTGTGTCACGTGTGCGCATCTTGCTCGCTCTTGGTGTGCGTGTGTGGTCAGGATAGCAGAGGGGAGGCCTTCTATGCTTTTTCCTGCCGCTCAACAAAACATCTAAAGTGTGTCCGCTTGGCTTGGGCTTAATCCGCCCGTTGGGTGCCGCGTTGTGGAGCGCTTGTCATAGCTGTTGACAACATGGCAGCCAACTTGCCGCTTCGGGCGTCACTGTATTCAGTTGTAGAGATGGTGAAGATTTCGGAAGCGGCGGTGACGGCTACTTTCTTCGTCGACATCGGGCACGATGCTGAGCCTGAAGCTTCTGAACAGGACCACACCGGCGGCGATTTGTGCCAGCGCGTCTACTCCGACATGGGAGAGCGGGTGGTACATCTGTTGTGATGGTTTCATTACGGCTGATGATAATGCCCACGATAAAACCGTGCACGGATTAGGGCATTGTGATTGAAGTATGCGAAAAGAGCGGTTTGGAGGAATCAAATTGCGAGAACGACGAAACTTTGGAGTCGGCGCTTCACGCAGCTTATGCCACGGGCCTCAGCGAAAAGCACGCTGCCGCTTGAAATAAACTTGAGACCGCCCTTATCGCTTCTGCACTTAGAAACATGTGCATCAGACTTTCTTTGGCAAAAAATTTTGTGTTTTTTCATTTGCAACTTTTTGAAAGCTGTGTTTCATTCACTACGAGCTTTGGGATACAGCGAACAAATGCCGCGTCAGGCTCAGGTTCATTATAAGCAGGCTCGACTGCATTTCAGTGTTTTTCCTGAGGCATTCTTAAAGCGTCCTTAAGACTCATTTGCGACTTCTTTTATCGGGAATTTTTTCATGATTGTGTAAATGTTTGAAATGCCAGATATGAATTGAATGGGCAATGCTGGTCAATTCAGTAATTGTCTATATGAAGTTAATGAAAACTAATGTCTTTCATAACTTACTGCAGTCCTTAGGAAGGACAACAATGAACAGTAAAACCCTGTTAATTCGGACCTCATGGGACCGGAGAGAATGTCCGAATTAACCGAGGGTATGAATTATCACGAGTACGAACAAAAACACTGGAAAAATGTCTTCTGCACCATCAGACTTTCATTTCTTAAATAAGTCTGTGATTACGGTTTGCTTCACGGATGCAATGTGCGACGAAGTCACAATATTGCAAAGTTCCTGCATGTGGCTTAGTCCGCGCACACTGTCCTAGGATAGCGTGCGTATGTCCTCCAAAACGGCCAACGCATGTCATAGTGTGGTGTGGATGCTCGTCGGCATCACTTGCAACCTCTTCAGCATATTCCCCTTCGCCGTCCAAGACATCGGCGACGACATCGCTGTCGGTCACTGTGCCTGCCATGGCAACATTGTTGTCAATTGCGAAGTAATCACCCAGGGGCACATCAGCTGGCATGATGCTCACATAGCGGCCATCTTGCTCTTCGCCGGTTTCCTCATCGGCCACCACCCCCGGATCAGCAGCGCCATGCACGAAGCCACTATGCTTAAAGCAGTTTACGGCTACTGCAAACGGTGTGTTGTTCCACACGTATGTCAGCATGTGGATTGCGCTTAGCAGGCTTACTTTGTACCGCTTGACTGACTCCATGCAGAGCAACATCCGCTCGAATTCCGCCATCGATAGCGGCTTTTCTCGGAACTGTATGATTCTCTGGTCCATCGGTTGCAGGGAAGCCGCTGTGTTCAGAGGCAGGAATAGCAGTTCAATGTTCTCCAGCCCGGACACCTTCGTGTGTGCACTACAATTGTCTAGCACGAACAACACATTCCGAGCCTTAGCTCCAAAGCCGCGGTCGAGTTGTCGCAGCCAGGCTTGAAAGAGTTCGGCAGTCATCCAAGCCTTTCTGTTGAACCTGTAGTCGACAGGCAGCTGCCTAATATTAAAACATCTTGGCTTCGCAGCATTTCCGATCACCACCAGCGGCAGCCGCTCTATGCCGGTCATGTTAGCAGCCAGAAGAACTGTCACGCGCTCTTTGCTTCGTTTTTTCACTGAGGCACAGGTCCCCCTTAAACGCGATTGTCTTGTCAGGCAGAGCCTTATAGAAGAGCACTGTCTCATCAGCATTGAAAATGTTGCACGGCTCGTACGTAGAAAGGCGCGCGGATAGTCCAGACTGCCAGTCCTGCACAACACTTTCGTCAACCGCACCTCTTTCATCACACACGTTGCGGAACACCAGCCCGTGTCGCTTCTTGAAGCGGTCGAACCAGCCTTCCGACGCATTGAAGGAGTCAATGTTTATGGTCACCGTGAACTTCTCTGCTTGTGCACAGATGAGGGGGTCACTCAAGGGCAAATGCACATCGCACGAAACGGCAATCCAGCGCAACAGCGCTTCTTCTAGCTTGGGAGGTGCTGCCTTTCAAAGCCTCTTCCTTTGGTCACCAAACATGTCCCCGTCATACGCTTGCATAATCTGCTCTTCGTTTTTCACGTAAGTGCTCAGCGTGCTTTTCTTCACATTGAACTTTTCCATCACTTCTTTTCGAGATGCTCTCGCTTGAAACGCCTTCAATATTTTCTCCTCCGCAGCCAAATCCTTCGCTTCGTACTTTTCCCTCTTCGCTGCAAGAGTTGGGGCGGTTGGGGTCACAGGAGACAAAGGGGAAGCCATCCCGGCGTCGCTCGCGCGGTGGTCACGCGCGCGTCTACTAAGTAGACAACACAAACACACAGGCTCACAAAACAAAAAAAAATAAAAGCTGGTGAACTTTTCAAAAAACAGCTAACGGAAAGACTGCAGATGGCACTGATCACATACAGAGCACACTAGAGGTGAGCAATCCAACTCAACCGTCACGCAAATGTGTTTGACACGCAAGAAAAAGAAAAGGCAAATCCGTAGGTTGCTCATTGATAATGACAGTAGCGATGCACTGCCTTCTATTTTGGTTGTTTAAATAGCCATGTGGTTTTTTTTTTGGGGGGGGGGGGGGGGGGTGCCTCAGAGATGTACTACCCGTGGATGAAGTTTTGAATCTCAGAGGCCGCAATCCGATCCCGAAGTTGTTTAGGTGCGCCGTCGATTTGGTTGGCAGAATCCGCTGCTGCTTCGCCGTCGTAATACGACCGCAGTCGGGCGTGCGAATTAACCGAAGTGCGGCCGAATTTGTCCGAGTTAATGAGAGTTTTCAGTCATAGAACATTGTACATTTTGGATGGGACCAGATGCCGTGGCCGCATTAACCGAAATTCTGAATTAACAGGGGTCGAATCAACAAGATTTTACTGTATATCTAAATAATCCTGTAATACACAGCATTACTATAAATACAGTGTATTTACTTGTATTAACTCGGCCATGTGCGTGTATAATGCTATATACATGTATGCTTCAATGTATAAGGCTCGATTTGTTTTTAAATTAGACAAACTTTGTTTAATTTTTCTTCAGAATTGTGAAAACATCCCACTTTTGTATTTTTCTTTCACTTAGCGAATTTGTTGTTTGCACATTGTAGTTTTTATTAGGCATTTGTAGACGAGATCAAAACATTCATGTTGCAAGCTTCATTGCAAGTGTTAAAACAGGGCATTCTTTGCCTAGCATCATGTGGCATTGTTTATTGGTGCTGTGCAGGCAATGGTGAAGGGAGGTCCCAAGATGCCGACGGTTGTGGCGGGCACGGCCAAGCAGTCGGGTGGCGTGGAAATTGCCCTGGACCCGAGCGAGTTGGAGATGGACTCTGCCGCCATGGCTGCCCGTTACGAACAGACCCTGCGCGAGCAGCAGTCTCACCTGGCCAAGGAGGACCTCAGCGACATGGTGGCCGAGCACGCAGCACGGCAGAAGGTGAGCTTTCGGTGTTCGTGCGTCATGTCGGCACCTTTCCAATTGGCCTCCTGTCTGCATGTAATGGGCAAAGTCGAAACTCCTACTTTCTGTTATTCAAGATAAGCTGGGGGAGCTGCCGTTACGCAGGTTTTATCCTGCCGCCCTTGTCATTTATCTACAACAATTTACTTGTGTGGATAAGTAAGCCCATTAATCCATCCAGTTCAGACTGCTGATTAAAGGAATACATCACCAACATTTCAGCGTTCTGTAGTTCTCACTCTCTAGACCTGAGTAGCTCATTGATTGAAATGTTGAAAATTTGCAAATTCATTAGAGAAAAAAAAAAGGTCACATTTTGACCATGTAGTGAACACATGTATCATGGTCCCTTGTGTACTTAACGAAATAAGCCTGAATTGCCCATGTCAGCATGTAATGAATTATAGTGGATATTGGATAAAATGAAGGCATCCTTGAATCTAACCTCATTATTTTGAGTTTCAACATTACTTCTTACTAGCAGAAAAAAAGAAAGGGTGGAATATTGTTTTTCCAATTGCCTTCCCTTTCAAAGGAAAAAATTGCGTACTAAAGAAAAAAAAACACCACAAAGAAGGAACACTTTTTTTTCCTTTAAAGTAATGAATCAACTGGCCCCTCAAGACGTCCCGCCTTCCCTTTGTTTATAAACTGCACTAAAGGCATTGATTCAACATTACATATTTTGTAGGCTTGTGCAAGTGCTTCAAATATTCGAACAAATATTACTGTATTCGAATTCACTTCAAATTTATATTGTTGAAAATTTCGAAGTATTGAAATTATTAATCCACCTAACCCTAATCCTAATCCACATAATATTAATCCACATGTAACCCCTGTAAAGGTGGTTTTGCTAAGGTAGAGGGGTGCTACGCCATGAAAGCACCTATCAAAGTCTATTTGATTCGTATGTAACTTGTTGTAAAGGTAGTTTCGTTGCAGTAAAGAAATGCTAAACCATGAAAACGTTTTTCAAGTGTAATACGCACTGCCGCGAATGCTCAGTTCAATATGTATGTATTACCCTCACATGAATTCCAAATTTTGAAAGTTTAAAAGCTTGTCATACGGGCTTGCTTATATGCTGTAGGTATAGTAAATTTTCAAAGGTAACATATTTTACAGGTTATCACTTGCATTCTACCGAATGTCAAAAGTTGTTTCCACTTCTTTGGAAAAAGGAATGGCATTTGTACGTGCTTTGTTTCAATTTTCAAAATATACTGTGCAGGTTAGTTGGGTCCTCAAAAATATACCCATTTTTCTTTATAATATTTGATGCATATACTCTTTGATCAAAATTCGATTCGGAATTATTTGAAAAAAAAAATTGCTATTCTCTTCAAACCTTTTCTTGTCGCTTAAGTTTGCTTCTTTGCCTGTATTTGTCCCTTGTTTTTCACGAATATTTAATGTACATGAATTTTGTTCTGCAGTGAATGTATACTGCAGCGGAAGTGTATGTATGTAGAATTTTGAACTGTATTGCCCTCTCCTGCATGGACCATACTAGGTCCGCAGTATGTGATAAATAAAATAATAAAATTCACTATTCGCACAAGCCCAATATTTTGCTCTACTTTTGCTTCTTGAAGGCACGTTTATGCCAGAAGAGTGTAAAAACCAAATGTTGAATTCTGTGCAACTCTTCTTCGTCAGTAAAACCATTTACTGTCAGTACAATTTTCAGAGCTTAATAAAACTACAAAATCCTTATTGTTGTGAGGCATCCTTTTGATGAAATGGCAATCAGGACGATTGATAACTAACTGATAGGGTAGTGCGTTTTTTTTTTGTCTGGGTCTTTACCACATCCTGCCCTCGTGTGTGTGCAGAACAAGCGAAAAAAGCAGCAGCAGGACACTACGAAGACAGCGAAGAAGTACAAGGAGTTCAAGTTTTAATGGCCCATCACACTCTCCCAGCACACCCTCATCTGTTGAAAATAAAAACTGTCATTTCCCACTGTGTAAAGTGCTGTGTGGCCGAATCACTTTTCAGGTGGACATTGCTGCTTTGCGTCCCCAGCTAGATGTACTATGGCGTCTGTGACAACCACGTACAGTATATAGATTATTGTAAGTCGACTCAAATGTAGATTGACCCCCTAAAATTGCTCTGTGAGAGCCAAAAAAAGGCTTATTTCATTTTTAAGACATTATTTACAATGTCTCTGAAAAAACACAAATTACGGTGTGCCAAAGTGGCTTCAAGGCAGAGCTTTAAAGCTGTGCAGGAAAGCTAGTTATGCAGGAATACACGAGGATTATTTTCAGAAAGCCGTTACAACCGAGACTAGTTTTCGATTCTAAGTTGATCCTCCTAACTTCGAATTTCAAATTAAGAAAAAATGGGCTGACCAGCATTCGTGTAAATATGGTAGTTATTTGAGGACTTAAAACACCAGATATTTTAATTATGTGCTACCAAAGGTGCCCAGTTGCACGAACCTCTGCCATGTTGTGCACCACATACTATTGTAGTGTTGCTGAGATGCACAGGCTAATAAAATAAACATATTTATTAGGGTGAACTTGTGCCCCCAACTCTATGCTGTGGTTGCAAGATAATGCCACACTTCGTAGTTGCAGCATCCAGGGGCAAAACAAGGGCAAATGTGTGCGACTTCGCAATGTATGAATGAAAAATTTGGACCATTTTCAGCAGTGCTGTTAAACCTCGATAGAATTGCTAATATAAGAAAGTAATGGACCGAGTTTCCATGGAATACAATGTATTTTAACGTCAATATAACAAAGCATTTTTACCAATGATTTCAGTAGAACGAAGTTTCACTGCATCTGGAAAGAAAGACAATAAAAAAAATTAAAATGTCCGCTGGTTCTAGTGATTGATTTGATGAATTTCAAGTTAACAAAATGATTTGCTCGTTTAGCCTACATTGTTATAATTGAGGTTTAACATTCATACTGACATCAGTTTATTGCAGCAGTGTTAAAATGAGGTAAATTGATGGCAGAACTGTGTCCAAGCCACCTATTTGGTAATGGCTCACAAAATTTTAAATTGCTGAAAGGCAGCATTGAAGACAATAAATGGTTTGTCTCTCTATAGAGAACTTTGCTTGCACTGCACGGATTCTAAAAAAATTTGCTGCACTCAATTTGTGAGGTTATAAGCTCCTTTAGTGAATTCATTCTACGGCTACTTCGGAACAGTGTTACTAGGCCCCTTTAAAATGCACGCGAATTAGGGTGGCGTCATTTTCACAGTGAAGGAAGAATATTTTTCGTAAATGCTTCTCCAACTTGATTTAAATGAGGACAGCGTAATATTTTGTTAGCTAGCATGGAAAGGTGTGAGTGGGAAAGAAAAACTTTCCATCGATGTCTCCCACTACTTCTGGATTTTGTAGCTGCTGGCACAGTTGCACTTACCCAGATTGACGCCTTGCTTGCGACTAAATGCTACCCAGCACTCCACTGCCACTAGGGATTGTTGTGCGAACCAAAGATGAGGGGTGGATGAATGGTGACCTCGTCTGTGACTGGCTTCGCTGATTTGGGAGAAGAGGCTGAGCACCATGTTGGCACAGCGGTCGATACTGGCGTTGGACTCGTTTCGAGGCCACTGCACTGACGCAGTGATAGCGCGCCTCGCTGACCACCGCACCGACCTCGTGATCATACCCGGTGGAATGACTTCCATGCTACAGCCACTGGATGTGTGCCTCTCAAGACTCACATGAAGTGTTCTCAAGACTCACATGAAGCCGTTCAAGACTCACATGAAGTGGCTGTAAGCCGAGTGGATGGCCGACTGCCGTAAGGCCCGGCACCGACTGGTCGCGTGCGAAGGCCAGACAATGCACTGCTGTGCCAGTGAATCGTGGATGCGTGGGGGGGCGATTCCGGCCATGGTGCGCAAGAGCTTTACAAAGTGCGCCATCAGAAATTGCTTGGATGGCATTGTAGACGATTTCGTCTTCGAGAGCAGTGACGAAGCCTCGTATGGCAGCAGCGACAGTGGCGAGTCGGGCGATTATTGAATGAACGGGAATCGGCGCTGTCAACGTTGCAACGATCGCTTCGAAATAAAGCTCTTTTGCGAACAAGATTGTGATGTGCTGTGCAGTTGTGACTTCCCAAAACAGTTTTTTTTTTTTTTTTTCAGGGAGTTCAAAGTCAGGGGTGCGGGTTATATGTGAGAAAATACGGTGTGTCATACTGAAATGTCATTGAAATTCGGTTTTGCTGGAATTTGGTCTATAACAGATCTTGCTTCCATTAAAACTCAAATCGAACTTTGGTGCTTCCTTTTTTTTTTTTTTTTTTCATTTTGCCCTGCCGCGGTGGTCTAGTGGCTAAGGTACTCGGCTGTTGACCCGCAGGTTGCGGGTTTGAATCCCGGCTGCAGCGGCTGCATTTCTGATGGAGGCGGTAATGTTGTAGGCCCGTGTGCTCAGATTTGGGTGCACGTTAAAGAACCCCAGGTGGTCGAAATTTCCGGAGCCCTCCCCTACGGCGTCTCTCATAACCATATGGTGGTTTTGGGACGTTAATCCCAACATATCAGTCAAATTCTGTTGTTTTGTTTGGCACTGCTACGGGGGAAGGATGAATCAAACTGTAGGAAGGAGGAAGCAACAAAAAAGGAGAAGGCAGGGAGGTTAACCAGAAAAATCAAACTAACTTCACATGCTAAATAATGTCTTCTCGTCTTGCATCATAACACAGCTCTAGGTATTGTTAGTGAAAAGCTTTGTGAAATGTGAAAACCTGGCTGCAATTCTGCATGCAAATCGCACACAAAGACAGTTTTTAAAATGGTGGCTTTTGCATTGATTTATGTTCACAGTATGCTTTCAACTGGCTAAAGATTTAGGATGTAAAATAGGCTATTCGATTAGTGGGATCTATTTCGAAGTTCTTGAGAGTTAAAATGGCAGTAGTTGGAGGCGGGTTGAGAATTTGTCTTCATATGAACGAGTTTGAGTAAGTACAGATGTTAGAGCAAACCTCCAACGATATTCATGCATTGAAAACTTTCCTCCACCATGTAGGGGTCAGCAGAACTGATTCACCACTTGTAGTACTGATGTCTTGCTACTGAAACTGTTGAGGTTTTTAATTTTTAGCTGTAATACTAAAGCACGAGCTACCCAAGACCATTTATTTCCAGCAAGTCACACCACTAATGCACATGTTAATTTTAAACAGCACTAATCTGAATTTCTGTGTGAATCACGGTATACAGACATGCATTCACAGTATACAGAATCATTTTCTGTGTGAATCACAGTATACAGACATGTACTCAACACACTTTACCCTGCATTGCCAGTCCATAACCTCAAACAACTTCTGTTGGTTCTTTTACTTAGTTAACTTTGTTCTTGCGCATTGCTCTTTGAATTTTATGACTGTCGTCCATAACATACTTGCTTTTTATATCTTTCAAGCTGCACTGGGAAATCCAGGGTTTACGCCAGATGTGATTTTGTGGGAAATGCGTCCTATTTTCTGGACACTGAACAATAAAGATGAGTAGTCAACTGCTTTCGACATAGCGATTTTTTATTAATTAAAACTCAACATTTTTAATGTGCAGGTTCGAAAACAAAAAAACTATAAACGCGTCATGCACTATGGTCCTAAAGAAAAGCATGTCTAGAGATTTCCAGGGTTCACAGTCTCTAGCGGCAGTTTCAGTGGCTTTGGAAGAGGCTGCATAAGCTCACCATCCTCAAGGGCTCAAACCTGCAAGAAATTAAGAACTGTTAGCAGTGTAACAAATTGAAAGCCACAAGCTTCTCTATCATAATTATTCTATATTCTCGAGCAACAGAAAAACTGCTGAACTAACTGCAGTGAGTCGTTGGTCCTGCAGCATTCTGTTCTAAAGACCAAACCTCATACCAGTGCTCTAACTGGGATCTCCATACTGAATGATGTTAAATTCGCGTGTGATGTCACTCCATCTAAGAAAAAAAATGATGATACAATATGAGCCCTCACTTTTTGATGTATTCTGCATATTTAGCCGATTATAAAAAGCAAGCAGGTTTTCAATGCCGATTTGTTACCGAGCAGGTTTTGAGCATTGTATCAATCATGTTGACTTGCTACTACTTACATGCTGTGTTTTTCATAAAAACGTTTTAGTGCGGGACTCGACGACAGCTGCTGCCGCCTTGGGACTAAGCGAATTGTGCAAAACTTGCATAAAATGTAATTATGCGTCAACACGACAAATTAGTTGCACAATTATGGCTCAGTATCTATGTGATCACTACAACACGAGACATGGAACCCACCAGTGATTATAAGCGCGGGCTGGAATGCGGCTGGAGCACCCGTGTGACTGCGACAATGCAAAATACAGGACTCACCAGTAAATAAAAGCATGGGCTGGCACTACTACAAGAAGGAGACTCCGATGCCAAACTGAAGGCCATGGTTCAACCTGTAATATGCCCATAGTCAGCGATGATGCAATATTTTGCAACCAGAAATTCTTGTTTTTTTTTTTTTGTAATGAATTTTTTGCAAGACGGCCACTAGACTTTTTCCAATCAGTGATGGTTAGGAGGCTTAAGCTGTAGACTAAATGAGGGTTGCTCGGACGAATATCTACAAAATGTATATATATTTTTCACAGCAGTGCACTGAGGCAGCAGAAGAAACGGTAAATTCAGCAGCTGACAAAAAAAAAGAAAAAAAAAATGCTGAAACGCAGTTGTGAAGGAAAATAAATGTAGCATGCTTTCTGGGAAAACACATTAAAAAGGCCAGCCAAGAATTTTTGTTTATTTTTATTCTATCTTTCAAATACATAATAAGCATCATGTAGGTGATTAATTATCAGTAATTACTATAATTACACTTACGAGGCAGCTAGTGGTAAATGTAACTAATTACATTTTTAAATGAATCTGTCACTTTTTTTTTGCCACATGCACATTATTTATAGATTGAAACAGGGCATTTTAGGAAGAAGTAACATGCTTTCGTTTCCAGTCTTCAGTTCAGGTCACATGGACATAATTTTGTCTCGAACGCATCGATCAGAGCCAAAATTATGTTTAAAGACCAGACTCGTTACAAAGTGACGTCGTTACCTCGAACCAATGTACATACCAGTCATTACACTAAAAAATTTGAAGGCGCGTTTGAATTTGTGAACGTTACAAAACTATAGTACCGTATATGTATAATTGCAAAACTATTGCACAAAAGTGCTGAGTAATGCTAGCAAACCACGATCTCATAGGCAAAAGAGGATTTGCACGACATCGTCGCCTGCAAAGAGGAAATGCGAAAGACTTGCCTGTCGCCAGACTTTGCTTTCATGGGAACGCAGTAATTCAGCTCAAAACGGGCAATGTGTCCGATGGAGAGCACGATGCCGGCACCAACCGACCACCGCAGATTTTGCGTGACCATCTCGAGGTTCTTCTGCATGTCATTAGCTGTAACAAGCAAGAAATCGGCGGCATAATTAAGACCTGGTTAACTCTACTTAAATCTTGGTTCTTCTGATTTAATTACACCTTATATGCAGTGAGGTGGAGCCTGTACAAGGGCTGCCAGGGTCCGATTGAGACTTTATATAATTTTTAAAAGGCCCCATAACACCTCTGATAATTTTTTAACATTTGAAGTAAATGAGCGCATCGAGTTCAGAATGCCGTCATGATCAACACCAAACGTAGCAGTGCTACAAACTGCAGGTGTGCCACAAATGCCAAAAAAGAATTTCTTTTATTTATTTATTTATTCATACAAGGCAAAAAATTGTTACACTTTGCATTGGAAGACACAACTAAAGGCTGAGTAAATGCCTGACTGTGTCGTGCCACCCTGGCAACAAAACCTAAACACCAAAAAGCATTTATAGTACAGAATGTACTGGTACATATCGATCCACAGTGGTTCCAAGAATAAACAGAATTATGAGTTGTGTGCACAAGAACATAAACACAGCTGTCTTCAGCGTGGTATCAGTACATCGAATGCGTACTCGTAATCAACTTCAAACAAAAAAATAGTGTGAAGCTTCTCACCGCTATGCGAGCGAACTCCACAAAAATATAAACAACACTCACTAGAGAGCTAGGAATACTAAAAATGAATGCTTACAAGGTGAGTTAATACCAAAAAGAAACCACATGACTGGGCACGCTTATGTCCAACAGGTGAAGGCAATAAAAATGTGCTGAAAAGAAATTTTAAAAGAAAAGGTATTACCTACTATTGATTGATATGTGGGGTTTAACGTCCCAAAACCACTATACGATTATGAGAGACGCCGTAGTGGAGGACTCCGGAAATTTTGACCACCTGGGGTTCTTTAACGTGCACCCAAGTCTGAGCGCACGGGCCTACAACATTTCCGCCTCCATCGGAAATGCAGCCGGGATTCGAACCCGCGCCCTGCGGGTCAGCAGCCGAGTACCTTAGCCACTAGACCACCGCGGCGGGGCAAGGTATTACCTACTAGTTCATACATGTAATTTACAGTTGTGCAATAAACAATCACATGCCTGATGAACAAGATCTACACAAATACATGACATATACGGTCACAAGATTTCAAGGATAAAAAAAAATTGTCGCTTTTTCTGTCAGGAGTTCTCTCATAATTTTTTTAAATTATCTAAGTTATGTTTCATCTTGCATTAAATGAACTATGGTAGGGTGTTTATTTAGGATGTCTCGCATGCGCGAGCTTAGCCGTTGCAACCGTTGGTCACCGGTTAAGCTCGTGCATACCAGATCACTGTTGGTCACTGGCTTCTCCTCAGCAGGCATTTTGGTAATCCTTACGGTAGACTTAGTGCAAATACCAAGACGAGGGAACAATGGTTGGAAGCTCAAGCTATTGGTTGGAAGGGGTTCTTTTACATTCGGAGGTTGGGGTTTGCGTCAGGTCGAGGGTTGCGCCAGTTTTGAGCGAAATCTTTCTGACTGTGGTGGACCGTGGCCTAGAGACTGTGTTGGACTCCGTTGTGATTGAAACCTTCAGATACGTGGGCGATTACAAGGTTTTAGTTGAAGGCTATGGGCGTGTGAGCACTAGGATAGATGTTTTGAAGGTGTTCGAAGAATTGGGGTCTGGGCTGAAGTTTACCTGTGGAATTCCTAACAATGGTTGCATACACTTCTTAGATCTGAGCATATTTTTTGGTGGAAGCCACGTGTGTTGGGTATATGCCCCCTGTAGTGTTGAGCCCATCAACAATTTTCGTTCGGGTATCTCTAATATATAGTAAAAAATGGTGTTGCGATGGCCTGCCTGAGGGCGCCACTCAAGAAGTTGTGCCCTCATCGCATGGATGATAGTTTTGCGCGGCAGGTTGAGAGGCTTCGGCATCTAGGTCCCCACGACGTCATTTAGCTGTGTTAAGCGAAAGGATCTTGTAAAAGATGAAGCTGGAAGGGCTGGGAGTAAGCCTAGTGAAACAGAAGGACGGGGCACCATTTGTGAGCGTTCCGTATGTTCACGGCATATCCCATAAGTTGAAAAAAAGTGGGTAATAGGTTCGGCTGCAGTGTGGCTTTTTCTGCTGCAGACAAGCTTGAACGGATTCGTGCGGCTGTTGGTAAGTGTAAGAAGTTATCAGAACAGAGCAAGCAGGACCGTGGGTGTGACATCAAGCACCGCGACAAATCGGTCAAGTGTAGCAGAGAGGTATTAATACACCATATACCGTTATCATGTGGAAAATGCTACGTCGGGCAGACGGGCCGGTGTTTGAATAATATATTGTTACATCATAAGGCTTCATTGAGGGGGACACTTTATTCTAATCTTTCTTTACATTGCGGGGAGTGCAGCTGCACGCCCTGGCTATCAGAAGCTAAGGCGCTCTAAAGATTAAAAAAGAAGGTTGTGCGAGAAATTGAGGGAGCCTTTTCATTGACAGGTCGGGCGAGACATACGTAGCGGGGCCATCTATTACGTTGCGTGCCAGTGAGATAGATTACTTAAGCACCTGCCACTAATCGAATTTATTTATTGCTAATGTGACTGTGACTGTTCACGTATATATATATATATGTGTGTGTGTGTGTGTGTGTGTGTGTGTGTGTGTGTGCGCACACGCTTTTCAAACAAAATCAGTTGATAGTTGGTGTTTGTCCTTCTCCTGTCTCGACATTTGAGCCAAGTCTATCGTAAGAATAAACCAACTCGCCCAACAAGTCACTCTATACTTTGGTAATTTCCAGCATTGGCCAAAACAACATTCACGTCTGATCATGTCATCTACAAAATGAACCTGTTTTTCTGCTCGCACGTACACGTGCTAACTGCTCTTCCTCCTCGCATGGTGAGGAGTACACAGCCAGGGCCTCTTTTTCATCAACGCATGTAACTCTTCTATTATGGCACTGTTTCTTGCGGTAGCGCGTTTTTTGAACACTTGAGCATAACTGCAACATCACAATTAAATTTTGACCTTTGGGTGGTTTAGCAGACCTTTAAAGGTTGTGGGAGCGCTCGGCGGCTGCGATTGCTTTGACCACAGTATAAGAGAATGATGATCCTGAGCGCACTTGTGGCACACATTTTGTGGCCGCTGGTAGCGCACAGTTTCCAACGAGGCTTCCTACATGGTTTGCGAACCAATCGTGGTGTCAAAGATTGAATAGACTGCACCAAGTGTTTTGGCAAAGAATGGATGCCAGAGAATTGGCTCCAGCTACTTATCCTGATCAATGATTTTTTTTGTTCATTGCATGTAAGCACTGAGGATAGGAAATCAACTGTAACTGAACACCCCACAGCTCCACCTGCTTATTCAGTAAAAACAAATGTCAGCATATAATGATGCAAGATTTAATAATTGTAGGCTACAGTAAAAGCTCGTTAATTCAAATATCACGGGAACATAATAGGTGTCCGAATAACTTGAATGCTGAATTGTGAAAAGTATGATGAAAACAATCAACAAATGTCTGTTTCATCAATGCACTTTCATTTTCTTGTGGGCTACATACATGAAGTAATTATTTTGCGTAAATTCAGAGCAAAAGTCACCATTATTGCTCTTTTCAACTTCGTTTGTAGTCTGAACGTGACTCAAGACCCTGCATCTCGAGCTAAAATGCGCTCTGAACCGACAGGTTATTAAATACCAATGATGCATAGCAGCCACATCTTTCTGAAAACTTGTGGCTATTCAGGCTGCCCACAAACACCATTTCCACTGCTTTGCATCGCATATTTGCAGTGCTTAGGGCTTGGCTAGCTCTAAGTATCGGCCAGATTAACCGGGTCACGGCCAAATGTGGCCGACTTAACGAGAGTTTGATGCCACTAAACAATGTATATACTGGACGGGACCAGAGAAAATATCTGTTTACAGTACAATGATACAACTAATATTTTATTATTGCTCATGCTTTGTTTCAGCAATAGTAATGACAAAAACATTTGATCGCTCGCAACTAAAAAGTATGAATTCGGGTAGCAAACATGTCGAATATGGTGTGCCCCTTGTCGACTCTGTCACGCCTAGCTATGTCACTTATTGTCTTTAGGCATTTTTTTGTATAGCTTCAATGAGCCATTGTACTTACTAAACTTGAAGTCATCCACATTTCCTGCAGTTGCAAAGGCATGCGTCCGGAAGTAGTCTCCGAGTCCACCTTCTCCCGGCCGGAAAGGCAGCGGTGTGTACAGATGAAGGCCAGCCGCCCAGTAGGTCTCTCCTCCAAGCGAATGGCCTAGAAACAGTAAAATGCGCAGAGAGTGGCCCCCAACTTGATGAAATACGGACTTTTAGGCAAGAATGACTTCAACAACAGCAGTAAGAAATAGTACTAATTAAATTACCTAGGTACATTGCTATGCGTGGTAAACAATTGCTATACAACCAGCAATTGTAAACAATTGCTACAGAACCAGAAAAAACATCTTTACTCAAAGTTCATGCATCAGAACATCATAAATGCTCTACTTTTTGGGATGCTAAAGCAGCAAAGGGCTTGCAGAAAACTATTTATGGCACTATGATGCTTGCCAGCACTTTCGCTGTGCTTTGGAGCTTCATTCAACAAAAATACTGACAAGTGATAAATGTTATCAATGCTTCTTCACTGATATCAGTCACACAGCCTTCTGATGAACTTAGTAGTATCACCATCATCATCGTTATTAGCATGACTGCCACTGCAGAACAAAGGCCTCTCCCATGTTCCGCCAGTCAATTCGCTCCTGTGCTTGCTGGTGTCACTTTATACCCACAAACTTCCTAATCTCAACTGCCCACCTAACTTTCTGTCTCCCCTTCACCTGCTTGCCTTCTCTTCGAATCCAGTCTGTGATCCTTAATGACCATCTTGCCTTCGCAGCACGTGCCCTGCCCATGACTATTCTTTCTTTATTTCGACTATTATACCCATTTGTTCCCTGATACACTGCTTTCTCCTTTTCCCTTAGGGTTACACCTATCATTTTCCTATCTATTGCTTGCTGCGTCGTCCTCAATTTAAGTTGAACGCTCTTTGTACTCCTCTAGATTGCTGCCCCGTAAGTATGTATATATTGGTAAGATGCAGCTGTTATATACCTTCGTCTTGAGGGATAGTGGATTTAAGTTGAACGCTCTTTGTACTCCTCTAGATTGCTGCTCCGTAAGTATGTATATATTGGTAAGATGCAGCTGTTATATACCTTCGTCTTGAGGGATAGTGGCAATTTACCATTCTTAGTAGTATATGATGCTTTAATTATAAACAACCAATTGCTGCCTTTGAACAGGAATTCGGGAGTTCTTGAGTTCCGACTGAATATGAATATGCCTGTCAAGTGCCTGCACATTTCACGTTAAACTGCACTGTCTCTAGTGGTTTAAAAAGCACCCGATCATTCCTCATGACAAGCACAGATATGCAATTAACAGACTGGTTGTTCAGATTTGCAGATTGTGGGAATCAAGGCTAGCTCGCCGCCTTCGTGCGGGCTTTGCCGCTTCTCTCTCCGTTCTCATGTCCCGACATGACTACCCTCCTCCGTGGTCTGCCGCGCTGGGGGAGCAACGAGTGACGTTTAACCTCTCTCACCCAGTAGCGGATGTCGACTGTGGCGCCGCGCGCAAAGCCTCCCGAGAGAAGTTTCACGCGCGTGCGTCGGGAGTGGGGGAGACTTCTCCGGGGACGACATAGGAGTAAGCGCGCTTTTCTTTTCCGTCCGTCGGCTTCCTCTGTATGGGGCTCGTTCGGGCTTCGCCAGCAGCGCCTTGCACCCGCGGTGAACGCTTACCTTATGTTACCTCCCCCCCTTTCCGAACGCTAGGCTGAAAAGTGGTGCGGCGTCCTAGAGCGTGGCCAGGCTGCGCCGACCCGTATCTCTCCGAAGCCAACGCGAGCGCCTTTGCCCTTGCTCGAGCAACCGGGCCTTTGTTCCCGTGTCTCCATGAATCACTTTTACCACGTAGACGTATCCGCGGCACCCCTGTGTAGTACTTCTCGCCCATGGCGTGGATAAGCCCATTTGCTTTCCTGCCGCGCTTTCGCAACGAGCTGTACTGTGTTTTTGGTGTTGCTGCAGGCCATGAAATGTTGCGGCCTTGAGCAGTATCGTGTTCTCACCACGGTAATAGTTAGCGCCTGCCCTGCGGCTCGCTAAGACCGGACCCACGCAAGTGGCTGTACTCCTTCGAGGTACGTATCACTACAAGCTGCATTAATGGTTCAAGCTTAAACATAGGCAAAGTAGCTTACAAACATAAAAATTTGTAAGCTTGGCCAGAGTATACAATGAGTTGCTTACATTCAAGCTGATGTACCGTGTAATGCTAGTGGTTTGCTTCCCGCTCAATGCCATGACGACAAATATGCCGAGTATGACTTCCAGTGCAATATTTGTACATAAATACTACATGATAGGGCCGATGGCGGGACAGTTCTTGCAACAGCTTCATGATAAAGGCGTATAGAAGCCCTTTTACCAAAACTGACGGGAGCCCCATAGGATACAAAAGTTGGCTGTTTCTAGACAGCAAAACAGACGTATGAAAAGGACAATGCGTTTCACAGCCCAACATCCTCAAATGTTAAAGGTACAACTCAATTGACTAAAGCTTTCAAAGGCTTGTTTAGGTAGATACCCTCTGCAGGCAGAAGCACAGAATGTGCTGTCCACACATACATCGAAAGCACCATCAACAGCAGTGTGGAATTATACACTATTCCTCATTTATTTATTTATTTACATTTCACCTACATTGCCATAAGGCATTACGTAGGGGAGGTACACATAATAATTTGACTACATAGTTTCAATCGAAACAATAGATACAACAAATACAACAACACTCAAGATATTTTAAGAGAAGAAAAAAAAACACTCGATATTGGTGAGTGAAAACAACGCTGCAGTCATGCATTTGTAAACACTCACACGCTTCAAGAAAACAAACCATTCTTAGTGGCAGTGATATTGTAGGCATTGTTACAAGGAAAAAAAAAAGGATTCATTATCAGTTTCATTGACGAGATCATCGGGTAGACGGTTCCATTCCTGTATTGTTTTTACGAAAAAAGAACTATCGAAAGAGTGGGTTTTGTAGCGGTATTCTAATATTTTTCGTGAATGGTCTTGACGATTAGAGACGTACGTTGGTGTGAACAGATAATCAAGAGGGTTAATGGCATTTCCATTATAATATATACAATGAAGAAATTTAAGCCTCAGTTTCTGCCTCCTCACTATCAGTGTCTCCCATTTCAATGCTCGTTTCATTTCTGTGATGCTTGCAAGGGAATTATAGTTGTTGCTAACAAATCTGGCTGCTTGGTTTTGAACTTTTTCCAGTGCATCAATGAAGCATTGCTGATGGGGATCCCAGATTACGCAAGCATAATCTAGAATAGGTCTTACATACATGAGATAAAGGGTTTGTTTCACGGTCTGTGAAGCTTGCCTAAAATTTCTGCGTATGAAGTATAGCATCCGGCCTGCCTTGGCCACAGTTATGTCAATGTGTTTATTCCATTTGAAATTGTCGGAAAAATAGACGCCCAGATACTTATAATAAGATTCATTGCTAATTATTGAATTATTTATTTCGTATGTTGCATCTAGTTTACTAATCCGGTTGGTGAATGATACCCAGCAACATTTACGGACGTTTAGACTCATTTTCCATTTTTGGCACCACGTTGATATTCGGTACAAATCATGCTGCAAAATTTCAGCATCCTTGTGCGATTTAATCACTCTAAACACTACACAATCATCTGCGAATAACTTAATGGGAGAGGTAATACTATCAACTATGCTATTAATATAAATCAGGAAAAGCAAAGGTCCTAATACGCTCCCCTGTGGTACACCAGACGTAATGGTTACCGCAGATGATTTTGAGCCGTTAAGCACTACGTTCTGCTGTCGATCGTTTAGATAGTTCTTTACCCAATTGATAACTTTAAGGTTTATGTTTGCAGAGAGCATTGCAAATTCTAAAAGATTGTGCGAGACGGTATCGAAGGCTTTCCGGAAGTCGAGGAACACTGCATCTACTTGAGCGCAACTGTCTATAGATTGTGCGATGTAATGCTGAAATTCGACTAGTTGAGTTACGCATGAGCGTCTATTTCTGAAACTATGCTGAGATGTAGTGAGGAAGTTGATTGACTCTAAGTATTTAACTGTTTCACTGTATATGATGTGCTCAAATAACTTACAGTAAATTGCTGTTAGCGAAATGGGCCTGTAATTTTCGACAAGCTTTTTATCACCTGATTTATGAACCAAGATAACGTTTGCAACTTTCCAGTCATGTGGGACAACTCCAGTATTTAGTGTAATTTCATATATAACACACAAGTACTTTGCAATGACGCTGTGACAGTTTTTAAGAACAAATGGTGATAGACCATCTGGTCCAACTGCTTTAGTTGTATCTATCTGCCGTAACAAGCAATCAACACCAGTAATGTCAACCTCCACGTCTTTCATGGAAGGCCACGTGACTGAAAGCGCCCCTACATCACCAGGTGTGATTTGAGTAAAAACTGATTGGAAATAGTTGTTGAAAGCTTCAGCTTTTTTTTTTTTTTTTTTCTACGCCTTGCCAAGGTGGTCTAGTGGCTAAGGTACTCGGCTGCTGACCCGCAGGTCGCGGGATCAAATCCCGGCTGTGGCGGCTGCATTTCCGATGGAGGCGGAAATGTTGTAGCCCCGTGTACTCAGATTTGGGTGCATGTTAAAGAACCCCAGGTGGTCAAAATTTTCGGAGCCCTCCACTACGGCGTCTCTCATAAACAAATGGTGGTTTTGGGACGTTAAACCCAACAAATCAATCAATCAGCTTTTTCTTCATCAGTGGACAAAGTATCACTCTCCACGGTCAAAGCAGGAATACTCATATCGTCTTTTCTAGTTTGTTCCTCATACTTCCAGAACTATTTCGGGTTTTGCTTTAACCTATCGTTTAATTGGGCAAAAAAAGTATCCTTCCTTGCTTTTATTGCCGATTTCAGTGTGAGGTTCGCATGCCTCAGCTCTTGTTCATTAGACGTGGTACTCCTATCGCAATATTTTCTGTACGAACTTCGTGCTTTCCTAATTAACATGATCTCTTTCTCACTGGTATTGGTAGCCACAGTCTTTTTCTTAATACCTGATTCAAATTTCCGCACCACTAAAGGTACCTAATGGCTCTCTATAAGTACTCTGCCTAACCAACACCATACAGTGCAACAAAAGTTATGCATGACATCGGCCAACCAAAAAAGAAAGGCTCCTCATCATCTCTCCACGTCTAAACGCCTTTTCGGCACCATTTGAATAAATTCTTTGGAGAAGGATCAGACAAGGACGATACACAAGTCATCCTTGACATTTTTGGCGCATCAAAGACACTTTCATTCTTTTGTTCCGCATTTATAGTCGCCATCATGTTAGCATTCCAACTTGCCCAGCTTTCGATGGTTCACTCAATACCAAAGTCATCAAACAGCACAGTCATTATGATTGATTCCAGCAAATTCTGTTGAACTCGCTTTTGTGATCATCATATATGATCATGCTTTTCAAGGCCACAAATATGTGCGCACGCAACAAAGTGTAGACCCACCTTCTGTGTGCGGCCCGACACCTCTCTGTTGAAAACCTCGCAAACCGAGAGGACCACCCAGGAAGAACCGGTCGCAAATGCTGAATGTCTTGTTGTGGCCAAAGCCCATCATGTGGCCAGCCATGCAACACCCCTGTAGTACCTGCACAATTTCCATAAGAAAGAAAAAGATGAAAAATTATGATCATAACAGCAAAAAAAGTAGTAAGTGACGACACGTACAAAAAGATTTGTGGCTGAAAGGTGAGCGACAATATTGCAGATCACATTCACCAAGGTCAATCGCACAAGACGACAGCACGAGGCCCAGAGCTCTTGCTCTTTTTCGAAAGCAGCAGACCAGATCTGGCTGATCTAATAGGAGCACAGAACAAAGTGCTTTCACAAAGTATGAATGCCAGAAGTGTGCATAGCTCACTACTGGCTAGCAGAGTTGCCAGGTCGAAAAGACGAAACCCAGCCAAGAAACTGAAAAAAACTAGCCACAAAAGAGCCGAATTGGGCCCAGGGCAGTATAAGTAGGCATGCATATGGGAAAACTACTGCAAAATTTTTTTAGATGCAAAGCATCTTTTGCTCAAGGCTGTGTCTGTCCCTCGGCAACCGTACTCTCCCCCATTGTGCATGTGCTAACTCTTCCCCCTCTCCTGGCGTGAGCGCGAGGAATCAGGAGGAGGTGGAAAGTGCTGCCTCCGCTTCGTTTCTCCTCTCCCATTTATCTTTCTGCCACAGCTATGCGCTCGTACAAAATGCTGTGTACACTCGCTTCGTTGCACTCTCCTAGCAGAGCTGGGTGTTCACTTTGCAGTGCACACACAGCAATACACACGAATAGTAGGGGGTAACATAAGCGGAACACAACATATACACAACTCCACACACAAATGAAACGTACACAGAAACATACAAATAAAAACAACAAATGGCAACACAAGTGAACACCAGCGCATACCCACATGGTTCCCTTCAGTAAGATATGATGTGATTTTTTCAATTACTAAATGCTAGCCTTTTGATGAAAACGTAAATAATTATAGCAACAACCCTTCCAAATTATAGTTGCTAAGATTAAAGCACCGTATATTGAATATAAAAATTATTTCAAGCAGGATGACAGAACTTCTTGTGTTGTACCAGAAATGATTCAATTTGGGTGTCTTGCATGATTTTTCTCGAAAAGGCAAGGAGTACGAGCGTTGTGGCGACAGTGAAAATGAATAGTGCACAAATGTACTTAAAATTATGGTTGCTGGGGTTAAAGCATAACGTGTAGCCACTTTTGTAATTGTTTCCTACATGACGATGAAGTCTGAGCAATGAATATTTCTGAGTCACAGTCTGTACCTAATTCTATAAAATAGTACGGGCATATTTTCGTACATCCAAAAATCAATGAGCGCAACGAATCCTGGATGCAAAGCCCTCTTGATATAGCTGCTCACTGCCAATTACAGTTCGAAGTAGGCAATAGGAGGTTTTTAAATTGAGGCACCATCCTTAAGGCACCATCCTTTCATTTTAACTCCCTTTCTGCACCCTCATACTCAAAAGTTTTTTCAGTTTTGTTATGCAAGCACCAAGCTTAATTTTGGGTGCCAGAAACGCATTTTGGCCGCCATGTTCTTGCATAGCATTTTGGAGCGCCAGTGGCGGCAACATCGCAAGATATTGATGATTTGGTTCAAACCGAGGAAAGTATCCAAGAAGTAGCCAACATGCTTTTTCTCTCACCACTCACCTAAAAAAAAGTAGCCAAATTGACACAAGGTAGCCAAATATGGCAACCGTGCTAGCTAGCAGATGTTGCAAGTAGCAAGTCCACATCAACGGGATTCCATTACAATTCAGCAGGCTAGACGTCATGCTGAAAAAATGCAGCACAGGTGACAGTAACATTGAATAGTGTGCAAGCACTCACAATGTCTCTTGCTATCGGCACATTGAGCTGGTACTCTGCTTCGTGCTTGACGAAGCCAATGTCGCCACCCAGACCAGCAAACTCCTGCAGGCAAGAAAATAAAACAGCTCAGATGCCAATTTACAGCGGCACCACGCATTACAATATTAAGCTCGATTTAATTACCATGCTTTGAAAAAGCAAACGCACGAGTGCGTTCCGAGTATGTACGAGCATGGGTCTGTTTCGAGTATGTCTGACACGAGAAGATTGCGTAAGTGTGACAGTGCGGCGAGGCTCTGCAAGCCTAGCACCAGTTACTTCAGTTTGCAGACGTTTCTAAAGTGCTCTCTCGATTGAGTTAGTTCAGAGTTGCTTGAGTTTGCAAACGTTTCTAAAGTTTTCTCTGGATTGAGTTAGTTCTGTTGATATTCAAATGACCAGACAAAAAAAAAAAAGAAAAGAAAAAGGCATGGCAAAGGTATTAGTAATGAAAATCAACAGCCGATAATTTCCACGGCCTGCTTTCTTCAGAGTGGTGCACTTATGTCATTTGAATAAAACACAGTGTTTACCATGCAAGGCTCTTTATTTTGTCTTTAAGTGCATCATACTTTACTGCGACCACCTTGACTTGGAGAGTGCCTCAGTCACAAACTGCACGCCACATCTTACACTGCGTGATGGTGTGCCACACAGGCAATAATTTGTCAAGAAGTGATAGTGAGAATGAGCATTTGTATTGAATTTGAAGAAGGAATAATGCAAGCATGGCCAGTTCTATTGGATATTTCCAGACAGAAACTAACTAGTGTTATAGAGGAACTCGCTAGCCATTCAAAGTTAGGATTGGCAATTGGAGACCTTTTCATAAAATTATATAGAAACGTGCAAATGAGGATCTGAAAATCAGGGGCCAAATTTAGACCCCTGCTGAAAGGCTGCTGGATAAAATAACAGATCTGTATTGTGCTTGTTACTGACGGCTCTCTTTAGCAATTAAGCTTTTCAGAGCAATTTGTCACAAATTACTGAATAAAAGTCAAGCAGACAACCTTAAAATTTTCTTTTATTTACTGATTACACACTTTTGCCAACCAGCACAGAGCCTGTGCCGTGGAGAATTAGATGAAATGCAATTGACCAGGCCTACCTGATGCAACCTGAAGTAACCTCCTTCTGTTGGCAAGATGGAATTGTCTCTCCTGTCCATGGTGACTATGTGCTAAGAAAAAACAAAACAAGGATGACTTATAGGACCAACTGAATGAACCCAAAACAGCAAATATGTTACCATACCTTTATTGAGGACTTGAGAGAGTGTCCCATCTCTTCTCGGACAACAAAGGGAACCGTTGGCCCAAGACAGGATAGTTCCCGCCACAGGGCCTCCCATCGTAGACTGTGGTGTACTCCAGGTGTCGATTCAAACTGCGTAGGTCAATACGGAATGGCTTGTAGGGGCAGTTTGCAGGATACATATGAGACGAAGAAGTCACATTGCAATCTCTTCCCTTAAAACCTTTGTTATACAAGCACTTCTGTCACAAGTGAAATAAATTCGAATTTAGTGAAACAACAAAATTGACTAGAATTCGTGCGACTTCCTTACGCACCCCTCTTGACTTTCTTGCAATTTTTAAAAAGTAAAACACAGTCGAATGCGATCATCAATCGTGCTTGAGTTTCTCGAGTGCGAATTAACTATGAAGTATGAACTCGGTGGGATTGCAATGAACTATGGTTTCAGATTATCTTTAGCAGTTGCTCTGAACTTGAACTGACATGCGAACACTTAGAAGTGTCCATGTGCACGCCGTATTTTAGGAACGAATGCACTCAACAAAGCCGGTAGTGGTTTGAGCAAGAAGCAATTGTCTGCTCTTTTTGCAAGCACTTCTCAGACATACTAGCATAAGTACAGGTGACAGTAGTTTCATTAGATGTTTCTCATATTTAGAAATATTAATGACCTTGGATAACAAGGTTTTAGCCACATTTAACTGCCCTTATGTTAAACTCATTAACTTAATTATGAAAACATATTAGTTCTGATGCGAAGCAAGCTAACGCAAAGTACAACCGCAAAATCACACATCTGAAAACAAATCAACGGCAAATGGCGCATACCAAGAGCTCTGTTAATAGGCCACGATCGATTTGCCTGAAACCGCTCCACGTGAAGTCTGCTGCTTGTTGAAACACTGCTCCCGTGATCCTGCAAAGAAAATTGTACAAGTGTGAAAAACTCGAACGCGAGGGCCATCCAAGGCCTTACCGAGGGTTGAGCCAGCCGAGGAAGGGTTTACTGACTGTAATGTTAAATCCGCTAGAGTGCTTTGTGCCATAGTGGTACTCTGTCTGCACGAATTCTCCTCGGCCCCAGGTATTCGGAAACTTGAGACCTATGACCTAAAAAGATGCCCCAGAAACGGGCTTCAAAACTCGAGAAAGCATGCACACTAGAAAGCTTTGACGTATCCAGACTTGCACAATGGCATTTGCATGCTGGACGATGGTAGCAACATGCTTAGACGCTTTGCCTAGCCACGATTATAGGCACATTTAGTTTGTAACTGATGAATACTTTTGTTAAAGACATATTGAAAAAGGTCACATGATCATAATTATGCCACTGCCAAAAATCCACACCTGTAGTGTAGCATAGTAGACTTAATTGCTGCAAATAAACTTTTTCTTTTTCTGGTACGGCTCTGCCATCACACTGGCTGCTCGTATTCACATGCCTGATAGTTCAGGAAGCTGAAAATACTCAGATGTTTGTAAAGAAGGATTAGTACAAACAGATCAAATATCACACAACTGTTTAATGAAATGAGTAAAAGAGATGCGACACACATTGCATGGCCATGAGCCAGATGTCGCCAACATATCCTAAAAATTAGTATTTGTGATTGCGTGATATCTCCAGCATCATTACGTGACTTTGAACGACAGTTTCAGGTTGATCAGCGCATGTGTCAGTGGTGCACGTGATACCAAGTGACCGCTACCTCACATTTCTGCCACATAACATGAAGCCCTTGCTGGCCCGTTTTACTCAACAAAGCTGTGTAGGTGATTACACACATAATGAATGGGTCACATTTAACATGATGTTATTGAAGAATTCTGGCACCAGCACTCTGTTACACAGCTGATGCTGTTTAAAAGGAAGGCATCAAAAGTCAGATTATAATTTCTTCTGTCAATGCTCTTCTAATATAAAATATGACGTATGCTTACCATACTTCCTTCATTGTTGCCAACAAGAGTGTTGATGCCTCCGACAAGACGCCGGACTTCTTGTACTTTGAATGTCACTTCTAAACCACTAGGGCTCGCATCTGGGCCTAGAAGTTATGAGGCAATGAAAGAGGCTAGAAAGAACCAGCTGCTGCTCTGTATGTCATGGCAAATTCAAACGTCTTTGCGCCCATCTACTACCATGGTTCTAGTACCTACCACGTGCAAAATACCACCTTTTGCAAATCAAATGAAGAGGGGTCCCATTATTTTTCCTTCATGCGACATCTTGGGAACATAGGAGCTGAACACTTGATATTTAAACATGCCAGAGTACATGCAACACAAGGGAACATTTACTACTGGTTTACAGACTCAGCGGAACTTTGGGCATGAACTTGTGCCAAAGGTATGTTTATTCCCGATTAGCTGCGACATATCTTGGTTGCTGCTCTTGCCCGTACCCATAGTCAGCCACCACTAGAGCAAGTTACTGGGGGTCCCTTGGCTAAATAGCAAATAGAGTTTCCAGGTAGCTCTCATTCCATCTTAACACCATTGGTTTGAACGCAATAATTATATGTGGACTGGCTTCGTGTTCTTTCTCGTCTCCATTTATTTGCACCACAGAAACTTAGTACTGTTATGCACAAGGTAGCCCATAAACAATAGTTTTGAACAGCAGACTGAATAGACGCACTTTTTATATGCCGCATCTCATCTCTTCCACTATATTTCCCGCTTGTAATTCAATCATTAGTTTCCATCTTCACCAGTGCAGAGCAGCCAAGTTGGGGGAATGCTGCTCAAAGCACTACCAGTTTTGTTGATTGTGTGTAAACTCATCGCGCTTTCAGTTTTCATACAAATTTTCCCAAGTTTTCCTGAACAAAGGATTGTCAGATCACTTTATTTTAAGTTGGAGAACTGTACTAGATGGTGATAAAGCATGCGGAAAGGATAAAACGTGTAGCACATCCCAACGAAAATCATCAAGATGGCAATTGTTCATCCTTATTTTGTTTTTTGAGCAAGTTGAATTAGCCAGAAACAAAATGACACACAAAAGAAATACACGATTTGATGGGCACAACAGCCTAGATAATTAACTGTTTCTTGAAGAAACGATTTAAATCCTATAATAGCTCTTTAGTGCTTTGCCAGTGAGTTTAACTTAGAAACAAAGCGTTTCAGCTTACCTGAACTTGTATCGATTGTCACGGAGATCTGTTTAAAGGCGCCCAGCGTTTCCAGTTGTTTTCTTACATAGCGGGTTTTCAATATCACCTAAAATATGGAAGAGGGCGAGGTGGGTGGGGGTGAGGGTCGGTGTGCTATTGTATCACCTATGAACAACATCAAGGACCGCCACTGGGACGGGGTTCCACGCTTACGTCTTGGAAATCTTTCGCATTGAAGAGGTCGTTGACGGCTTTTTTGAGGATATCATCCTTGGTCCGGACAACGCCGTCAATAAATACCGTGTCAACACGAGCCTACAATAGTAATGTCCTTTACAAATGATGAACATAGAACAAAACTTCGCACTGACCTCTATTTGATCCAGAGGAACTTGCATATCCTTCGCCTCCTGCCTCTCAAGCGACTGCAATACGCACGCGAGAAAAACACGAATCAGTTTCACACGGGATCGTTTGTAAGTTGTACATGAACGAAGTATCCATTAAAACTTGTCCGATCCACGCAACGGCTAAACATAAGTGACGACCCAGCTCGAGTGAGGCTGGCAACAGCTGCGAAATTCATCACGGAATAAATAATGCAATAAAAGGCGGTAACGCAAACATGCTGTACCTTTGCTTGGACGGTTCCCATTTTATTTTGTCGCAGTTCAGCGCGTCACTACACGATCCTCGTCGCACCACAAACCCTTAGCCACTCTTCGCCCAGGAGTCTTTGCATAAACATAACCGAAACGGCATGAAGCGCGCACTTTAGCAAAGTTCTCGCGAAGTTCTGTGAGCGGAGATCGTCTACTCCTCAACAACTGGGCACGGTACCGGCATGTTTGATGACCTTTTCTTAGCGGAGCGGCTTGTCTTGGATGCTGACTTTTTTGCAAGCTCAAAGCCTAATTACTTTAATTTGTTTATAAATCATTTTTTTAAATACAGATAATGTTAAATTTAGTGAGGTTGTATTTAAGATAGCAGGTGTTAAAAGACGTTTATTGTTTATTTTGCCGGCAATATGACTAAACAAGTTACTGCGTTTAGCGCAAAAAGCGGGATGAATAGTCAACCATGGAATCGAAACTGTTGAAATTTATCGAAACTCCGAGAATCTCCCAGAAAGCACGCATGCTGGGGCACGCGTGTAAGCAACGGCTGTCGAGTTGTGATTGTTCGTAAGCGTTGATCCCAATCACGCCCTAACGCTTCGCAGCTGTCCGTACACGGCACGAATAGGGAAATAACGAGATCACCGTGTGTCCGCTACTAAATTACTGCCGCAATCATGAGTGGAGGAGACGACAACGCACGAAACCCAAAGAACCTTCCGGCCCTGCTGAACTTCTGTGTTCGGAACACGGTCGCGGAAGATGTGCCCAGTTCATCCACGGCAACGATGGATCCCGAGGTAAGCTAAGCGCCTCTTGGTTCGTGTTGGAACAGCAAGTGCGTTGGCACGGGTACAGCGAGAGGCGTTTCTCTTGCCGCATTTCGAGCTGTCACGCTCGCGAGTCGTTCACCGACGCCTTTAGCGTCACTTGCTGAATATACGTTCGAGTTGCTTGTCACTCAAACAGTGTTTCAAAAATTTGTATCTCACACGTCTTCTACGCCGTTATACGCTACGAATCAAAAGGACGCAGAGACTTTTCTGAGATGGTTGGCAGCTTGCTAGCGAAATAGCACGACTCCGTGAGGCGCCAATTTTGATGGGCTGTCTGCAAGTGTGGCAAATTTACTCGACATATTATTCCAGTGCACTTGTATTTTAAGAAAGAAAAGGAGGCAACTTGTTTTGTGCAAGCTTATGCTATTATGCTTATTCTGCAACCAGTCATGTTCTATTTTTGCGTAAAAGCAATCAAAGGTAAGGCTCGAAATGCATGTGCAAATTGTTTCTGGTTGTATTCGTTCCACGCAAAAAAAAAAAATTATACTGTATTGCTCCTAGAATGCATGCAGCATGTCGAACATTGTAGGGCCATCACATGAGTGATTGACTGCACTTGCAGAACATCGAGACCAAGCGAATACGCACTGACTATGCAAGAGGTTCAATTTATCATATGCGCAACATCATATGCACCATGCATATTGCTCTTTCATGGCCACTGACTGAAAGAACTGGCGGAAACAAGTTGGGTCCACATATGCAGACACTGCACCTGAAAAGGATTTAAATGTTGCCTATGCAGCACAGTGAATCATGTGGTTCAAAGTTTGTCTCAAGTTCTGTTGAGCATACACCGTCTTGCTTTACGAAGGCACTCAGGTTAATCGCAATTGAAGCAACCCTTTAAAGCACCAATAGGTTTCACAGAACTATTATTGTTGTATACCAGCAGTAAATGTTTAGTATGTTAGTATATATTGTCGAGAATATATCGTTTCCTGCATGCTGTTAGAAAGTTCTGTAGGTGTAACATAAAAGTGGAAAAAACGGCGCATCTAGTGTCAGCTTCCTTTGTCCTGTGTGTGCAGTTTTCCCCGCTTTTGAGTTATGTAACAACTAGCCCACCTTTCGTCGCTTGTCCAGTATGTATACATTGTCATCTTATTTGTCCCAGAGGCGGAAATGGCTGGAGGAGGCAATGTCCGACATGACGGTCTCCCCCGTGGAGGAGATGCAGAAGAACCTGAATGTGATAAAGGAGACGCTGAGCCAACACCGAGAGAGTGGACAGGCACCCACCGAAGAGTCCTGCTGCACCCTTGAGTCCGCGCTGGAGAGCATCACCGATTACGTCGGTTCCATTGACTACGCCAAGGGTGATTATACTGCAGCATTACTCCCTGCCTTACACCTTCACTGGTAATGGCTACACCTGAGGAAGGGAGAGTACGCTTGTCCTTTGAATAAGATACGTTGCAACACTTCTCATGCCACTGGGAAGTGGAAAGATTCTATGTGCTGTTACGTAGGTGATGAGAATCATCGTGAAAATGTATAGCTGTCCAACCTGCAGTATTGAAGTGTTTTTTCGATTTTTTTTGTTTTTTGCCTTATTCTATTCTTTCCTTACGAGTGACTTGTTTGGGCAGTATGGTCAGCAATTACTCTTGAAAATCAAGTGTAGCCAAAATATCACAGTTGCTACTAGACAATGTGTTTTCTGTCTACTACATATATAGGTATGGGCACTTTCAAAGTTGTATTGAAGCAGGGTTACAGCTAATGTGCCAGTGCCAAGCATGTTTGTACATATGCCAGTCTGCACATGATGCCAAGGATCATGCGCAGACTGCTCATGCGTAGTATCCATATGATACTAAACATGACGTCGAAGGACATTGTGGTGGTGCCAGCATTGTCTTGTTTTTATCTACCTATTTGATAATTACTACATTGCCTGAGCAGCCATTGTCTTTGTCCTTCCCAACAGATTTCCATAAGATTGGCGGCTTTGACGTACTCGAGGAACTGCTGTGCTTTCCAAACAGTGAAGTCCAGTCGGGTGCCTGCGAGCTGGTTGCAGAGCTGGTGCAAAACAACCCTTACTGCCAGAAACAGGCCGCTCAGTGCCTCAAGTTTCTGCTGCGTCTTGTGGACTCCACTCAAGAAACTCTCCGCCTGAAAGCTCTTTACGCTGTGTCATGTGAGTGATAAGACAATTGACAAACAACACTGATCCAAAAAACATACAGGGCATTCTCATCTGACACACGTCCTATCACAAAGCATGAATGACGGGTTAAAAATTTTAATTCAGTGTCTCTTGTGTACTCCTCGGTTTACTCGAAGGCACAAACCATCTTCTTGTTCTTTTTCTAAGTTCACGTCTTAAACCTCATGTGCCCCCCTCCAAAAACTGTGATCTTCAAGGCAATGTAAGCTTTGTGTGCGTCACTTTATTTTGCACTGCCTTTGTGATTGGCTCATCTCTGACGAGGCATTGATGGCATTTGATGACATCAGGTTATGTGACGTCCCAATATGTAAAACCATTATGCTTTCCTCTTGATGTCTGTTAGTATACTGAGGTTTGACTTATGTACTATAAAGCACTACCTTGTGCTAGTCAGTACTAGTTGAACAAAGGTTGCGGAAATTCTGCGGCTCCATATGTTTGTGTGCCCCCTTAAGTGTCTCTTTTCTAACGCCCATTCAGCACTAATTTCCGCAACCTCTGTTTGATTTACAAACAGTTGACTGCAAAAGTTTGTTGAATCTGCAGCTCATGCCTGAGTGGCGGAAGACTGCATTGCTGCGCCATCTACCATCATGCAGAGTCTTATGGAAGCTATCAGTCATAGCTTTCGCGATTAGTTTCGGCAATGGTGCATCGGCTGTGCTATCATGAAGGCTATGGCTGATAGCCTCGACACTACAGTGTGGCGGCAGGCGGCGCAGCAGTTCAGTTCCTCATCGATCTACCATGCACTACAGATCTTGCAAACTTTTGCGTCTGACGGTACACCTCGAACATAATGCTGATGTGGCCGCTGTTACTGGAGCTCTGTATAAAGCCGCTAGTGAAAAAAGAGCAGCCTGAATCTGAGGCCCAGAACTGAATTTGGTTTACGACTGGTGCACTCACAGTTTGTGTCCTTTTGTTTTTCAGGTCTAGTGCGTCACAATATCTCTGTGTACTTGGAGTTTGAGAAGTCGGACGGCTTCTCGGCATTGTTGAGGGCCCTTCAGTCGGACTCACTGAGACTGAAAACCAAGGCTGGTTTCCTGCTTTCATCTCTGTGCTCCCAGCAGGAGAGAAGCAGAGGTCAGCGTTCTTGCGTGGTTCTTTTTATTTTGCAAAACATGCCTTTACATGCCCCAACAGAGCGGATAATCTTTTGAAAGTACCATGCAGCAGTTTAACGTGAATGGGAACTAACATACAACAATGCCAAGGAAAGCATAGGCGATGTTATTTCTAATAATTATGATATAACTGCGAGAAAAGTAAAGTGGACGGCAAGATAACTTGTTGCTGTCAAGGACCAAACCTGCAACCTTTTGAATTCGAAGGTTGAATTCAAAGGTTGCAGGTTCGGTCCATGCCAGCTGAGAGTTATCCTACGTCGACTTTACTTTCTTCACATTTGCATTACGAGTACTACTCATAACATCCCCTGTACTTTTCTTGGCATCATTGTCTGTTAGTTCTCATTCGAATTGTGTCTAGCAAAAAGAAATTAGACCTTACCAGTCCCCTTCTTTCCTTCATGCAGTAGTTTTTAAGCCTCATGTCCACGTGGCCTTGTGCTAGCATATTCACGCGAATGTGTTCATTTTGGGGGGGGGGGGGGGGGGGGGTGTCAGCTGTCATTTTATTGTTTGGCAATATCATTGTATTTCTATACTTTTCTTCGAAATGACAGGAAGCTTTAGAAGTTATTATTTACACGCTTACTCACATCTCATTTGGTGTAGTAGGTGATAGCGTGTTGAAAACGGACACACTAAGAATCTTCTGTTCTACGTAGTGTAATTATGTTGCACCGGCTGTCTTAGCTGTAGAGGCAGGCATAAATAGTATGATAAATTGCACTGCAAGAACAACTGATTGACAATCTTGCATCCTAACATTGAAAATTTTGGCACATTTGATTGGCTGGATTAAAGCCTAGTAGTAGTGGAGTCCTATATATTGTAGTTGTATTTGCTTGCAATGATTTCTGAAACAAAATATTCATTAAATTCATGAGCTGTGTTTCCTTTTTATTTATTTAGTTATTAATTTTTTTATGTCACACAGGTATCTGGTATGAACACTGGCTCATTGATATGAAGAGCATAACCAACTAGACCAACTTTTCTCTTATACAGTCAATTATGGACGTGCAGTTATATGGATTATGTTCCAGCAGTCATTGAAAGCATGTTTACTGTCCACTGTTTTATCATTAAGCAGACATCCCTCAATTACAAAAGCGAGTCCTTTGCATCTATTATTAAACGCATTCATCTTCCACATGCCGCTCATCAGCACGCGAGTTTTTTTAAAGGGCTGATAGATCTGACAGAGTAAATAAATTTGCTTAACTTTGCTTCAGACTATCGATCTCTCTACCAGACAGTGTACGCAATTCCGCTTTCCTCTCTCTCATTTCAGACACGCTCATTCGAATGGGCTTCGTGGAACAGCTGGCCGCGATGCTTCGCCACGAGCCAGGAGCCCACCGCGAGCACTTGCTCTCCACTCTGGACACACTCGTGAGTGAGTGCCCCAGTGCACGTGAGGAGTGCCGTCGACCTGAGCTCCAACTGGAGGACACGCTCTGCACTGGTCTGGCTTCGAGCCGTGGCCGCGAGGAGCTGCGCGAAGAATACGACCACAGTGCCCGCATCCTGGCCATGTGCTTTGAAGATAGTGGAGCCGGTAGTGGCCATGCCGAGATGGACAGGTAAAAAGCTGGCCAGCCGGTCCTAGACCAAGCATGTGACTTTTGGGGTGAACGAGAAATTCATCATCGGGGGGAATACCGCAGTGCGAAGGAACCAACGCCGTCACCTGCAGCGGTGCTTCCATTCAGAGATAAATTAATGGATCAATTGCATAGCGTCGTTCTTGTTTATGTGTGGGAATGCATTTGGTCCTGTGGCCCACTGAGGGACCATAGGCACATCAAAGTTGTTTTCCACACAATTTGTAAGGTCTGGCATTTCTATTGTGCAGTTTAGTTTATTGTTTAGTATGTTTTAGTTCATGTTGGTTTAGTGGCAGCTCGAAAGCTGTCATGATGGTTTGCTGAGCACATGTCAGGAATTTGGCTTCTAGTTGCGCACATACTACAATTGGGTAAATGCAAAAATGCTGTTGATCTGACCCTCCTATTGCATACCCCAAGCAGTCTAGCAGTGGAACTATTCATTAAGACACCTTTTGTAGCCCGTGCTGCCTTATGATGCGATATCCTGTCACTAAGAGGATCAGTTGATCTGTGCTACATTTTATTGCTGTTAATCAGATGTACTTTTAATTATGATTTATTGTGTACTTTTCATGCTATCTCTACACTGAAACTACTGGTTTGCTCGCAACTTTCTACAGCATGCATACCGTGTGTAGCCACACTGCAGCAGTGTATTTAGAAGTATTACATCTCTTTAACCATATGGTGTAGTAGCGCGAATTCGACGGGGACGAAAAGGACAAGAAAACACAACACTCGCTACTCTCGCAACACTCGCGTAGCGAGTGTTGTGTTTTCTTGTCCTTTTCGTCCCCGTCGAATTCGCGCTACTACACCATATGGTTAAATGATGTCTCACCTACTAGCCCAGCTCTCAACCCTACTGAACTTCATATTACATCTCTTATCCTTGGTGCGCGAACACTGAGCTTGTTACAATGAACAGTTCATTTAGTGTGAAATACTGCCACCGCCTTGTAGGGGTATGTGAAGTGGAAATGAAAATGAACGAAATCTAAGCCTGGGGGGTGCTAGGAAAACTCAGTGCAAATGCTCCGTGTTTTCCCAGTACTATATATAGTATTATCATTTTTTCAAACAAGCCTTTCAAGCTGCTAAAGTTTCCTATTTTAAATAATCTGAGTTATCGTCGTGTCTAGAAACTAATAAAAAAAAAATCGGCCTTTCTGCTTAGTGAAGATAGTCAATCAGTGTGTAAGGTTTCTATCACAACATTTACTTACATGTCGCATTCGGTGCCCCTTTTATGTGGAGCTTCCAGTGTTTGTTCTTGTGGGCTTTACATAGTCACAAAGAAGGAATGCATTGGTGCCGATATTAAGGAAGACGAAGTGTTCTGGCAGTAAACTCCGTGCTCTGTGGCTCATACACGAAAACCTCAATATAAAGAACGCGGATATAACTTGTCATAGATACAGTACTAGTAGGTTTATAACGAATTTTTGTATATAACAAAGTTAGTTTCAAGCCGGCTGTGGCTTTGTTATAATGAGGTTTTACTGTACTAGGGCTTGCCCATTTTCTGTGGCATACGTGCTTAGAGTTTTCTGTGAAGGCTGCGGATTTTCAGGCTAGTTATGAACAGCATCACTGTAAAAATAATTTGCAGCAACATCGTGAACTTAGCAGGAATTTTTTAACTTTACAATAAATTCAAGGGCTGACAGTATTTCCAAGGTATCCTCATTTTGCCATGACAATTTGTTTCTGTTGGTGAGTAAGGGCAGGCCCTTACGTTACTCAAAGCTTTTTGGGAGCATGGCGAATGCTGTTTGGAGGGACTGTGACAAAGCAAAACACAACTTTGTGCTGTACAACTCAAAAACATATGCACTTTAATGCTGCGAGTACAAGCGACGACGGGCAAACTGGCGTCACGTGCAAAGAGAACCGGCGCTGGATGACAACACTGGTGACCTGGTCTGGAAAAAAAAAATTGTAGTGATGAGATGAGCAACAGACACTGCATTATTTTGCGATTGTTTGAAGGGGGTTGGAGATTAGTGCTTGAATGATGCATGCGTGTGAGGAGGATGGGTGCAAGACATCACCTTACAAAAGCATTCGTTATTGCAACATAAGTCCAAAATGCTCAAACACCATTCAACGCCAAAGAGGCAATACACTCAAACTCTATGTAATGAACACCGGATATAACGAAATGTCGGTTATAGTGAATTAAATAGAGCATACTCTTGCACTATATGTAGTGTTGGGAATATGCTTTAATAAAAACTTATTTTTGTGTAGAATGTAATTTTGTTATAATGAGGTCTGAGTGGATAGCACAGCTGAACACTTTCATTAGGGACACTCACTGGGAAGCAGTTCTTGGCCTTTTATATGAGCTGTCTCTTGTAAGCAGGCTACCATGTTTTCATTCTATGATCGCACTGGTGTCTCTTACACCCATTCGTCTCTTGCATCTGTCTCTCTTATAAAGGGGTTCAACTGTGTTAAAAAGATTCAGTGGGTCTCTTGCACAGTCGCTCAGACAATCACGGTGCGACAGCCTTAGTGGCAATGCATGGAAGAACGAAACGTCGCGTCAGAATCCGACAAGCCATTTGGGGCGCTTCGTTTCATGGCGTGTTTGTCAAGCCCTCTACGGCCTCGCATACTTCGTCGGCCTATCACGTAATTCACTAACTGCCCTAGCTCAGCGCCTTTTATTGCATGCCCTTTTTACGTTACTCCGTTGCTGTCAGTAGGCCTTGTCACACGAACACCACAAAGACTTGAGTGAACGGATCGCTCAAGTGCCTTGGGCCACTCTTCAAGTGACATTTTTCATACCTCAAGGCCTTGAACAGCCGTCACTGTTGCGATAGAACTCGCGTGTTTCAGGTGACCAGTGAAGCACCATAACCATTGCTGCACCGCAGTGGCTAATGCTAATGAAGGTGCAAGCAGCTTGTCCACATTAATTTCATGTTCAGGCTGCGGAGAGTGCGTCTGTGAATAAAAATTAGCGAAACATTTGAGTTAGAAGTTAAGTAATTATGTGATTGGCTTGCCGATTTATCCTCATCTGAAAATTTCACCTCAGTGTGCCAAATATGTTATCGTAGGTTTCGCATTCAGCTATTCGTGCTTTGACAGCTTATTTATGTACCGAAATCTGAAAATATGAAATAATGAATTTGGTTAATTATGTTTGATAAGGTTGATTGTTTACACATTCATGCACGTGTCAGACACGAGTGCTAGTTTATCCGCTACATTGAAAGTGCCGAGGGAGAACCGGGAATGGGTTGGGAAATGCTATCAACTATAACTGAAAATACTGCACTGTAACACTAGACAGATGCAAGAGTGAACACGCACAGCGCAGAATTAGAAGGTAACACTCAACCATGTGTCTTCAGTAAGCTCTTTTGCTGCCACAAGTGTTTACGGAAGCACGCCATCATGCAAATAATGCTAGCTTAATGCAACAATTGTAGTTCCCATAAGATCAAAGGCAGAGCACAGGCAAGGAAGGAATGGAGCCAGCAGGGGTTACGCAATGGGACTGATCGGTCGTACTCACCCACGTGACGTTGGACAGCTCTGAAACAGCAACTTTTTCTTGCCTGCTTTCCTTGCTCCTGCCTTACTCTGTCTACGTTAGTTCCTCTCCGTGGGTTTGTGGTGATAAACTAAATTCACAGTAGGTACTGAGTATACTCGACAGGTCAACAATGCCAGAATATAAGCATAGCTCGAAGTGATGGACTGGCGTTTTCAAGTGTGGCACTTTCCCAGTAAAATAACGCAAGCTGAACTACTACTGAAGTAAATGCAGCGCCAGCTTCCATGGCACCGAAAGGTGCCGTTTACTGTGAACAAGTTTAGAGTTGGTAAGATCAATTGACAGGTCATCTACCAATGTAAAATTGAACCATTTGCCGCAGTAATCAATTTTAAAATGAGCTTTCATGCTACAATAAAAATGTTCCCTACGAGTCTTTGCATGTTGCTCAACTTGAACCAATAGCAGGCAACTCTTGCATGTTAAATTCTGGTAGCAATTGTGCTGTCAAAAAAAAAAATGAAAATGATGAAGTGCAAAAATAGCTTGCATAAATTTACACAAGCTATTTATAAATAGTTTACAAGAAATAAAATACCTCGTTTACTTGTCTTCTACCCAATTATGCATAAAGTTATCATAGCAGCTACCTGTATAATGAGGCGATTTTTGCAAGAAGACAGACAAGGTATTAGATATTCCTTCTGGCGCTTTCGAGATTTTTTAAAAATTTTTGTGTGTGTCTTATTTGCAAGGCCCAGAACAAGAGTACACAAATTGCCTTGAAAGATTTATTTTGCAGTGCTAAAGCAAAGGGAACTCAGTGGATTGGGGTATGAAGAATAGGATGATACACAAGTTTGTAATACAAGGACCTACCTACACAAAACCAATGCCTCTCATTATTCATTTGTAAATACATTTGGCCATAAAAGCACCTCTTTTGTCTCTCATTACTGTGTACAAACATGTCATGCAACATTTCAACAATCATTTTTTAGAAGAGACTTTTTTTTTTATATCTCTTCCCATTCGTGAAGGAGTGTACAACTTATGGCATAATTTCTGGAGATTACAATACAAACAGTGAAGTTTGGGTGCACACAATGTTCTTAACACATTTCTCAACAGCGCTTGAGTATTGGTGTGCAATGTTAAAAAAACGAAGGAAGACTTCGATGATACTTATGACACCAAAACTATTATTTTTGTTCACGAAGATGGGCAAAAGGGAAAGCAAAAGAGCACCGAAACAGCCAGGGGTATATTTTGTAGACTAATACTGGCAAATAAAACCCATAACTAGCTAGACACCACTTATACCTTTCAAAATTTACATAAAAGAATACTAACCGACAAGCATGAAAAAAAAAAAAAAACTGCAGCAACTGAGACATGGCATGCCTAAGACAATACAACAGGTAAATGTTCTTTAAGTGAAACTAAAAAGAAATGACAGTTCACACACAGGTGCATTTCTGAAACCACTTAGAAAAATTGCTTGCTGCAGCCATCCAAACTGTCGACTTCGAGTTCCGGATGTCATTCGTGCCCACTGAGACAATTATGCACTCTATGGCACTAATACAAAGAAGTGTACAGCTGTAATAATCTAACATACACATTACTTTTGACTGTAGAAGGAGCAAATATATCTCGCGAGATCTGGTATCTTTGATTCCTGTGATTAGAAGAAACTGAATCAGGACAGTGAGGAGCAGGAACAGACAGCATTGAGCACACACAAGCTCAACATGAAGGATACAAAGAAAGGTGGGAAGAGAAGAACAGGAAATGGGACAAGTGCAAGACAAGAAGTGACAGTGGCTGTGGACAGCAACGACAAAAAGTAATAGAAACTGCTACCCTGGAACACTAGCTCACAAGTAGGAACACCACGGCAAGCATTGCCGTAGGCGACTACTGTAGTCGCCTGGGTCTCGAAATAATGAACCAAAACTTCTGAAATACCCTGGACACAAACACTATTCAGCACTTCAACGTTGATAAAAGGCCACAGTTGTAATGACTGCGGAGCGTGGTTTCACCACACAAAAATACTACTAATTATATATATTGCATTTGAGATATGGCACAGCCGTGGCAGAAAGGGTATAGAAATTAAAATGAACCTTCATGCCACAGAGATGTGGCCGCCGCCATGAGGGCATGACCACAGGGGTGGGAAGAGTAGCGATTAGAAAAATGCCACCACCAAGGGGAGTTGCGCACTGGCTTTGAGGGAAGCCACCGATAAAAGCAGATTCCAGCACGTTGTACTGGTCGCCTTGCTCGTTAGGTAGCGAGCGGATTGCTCTTTTATCTGCCATCAAAATATTTGTTCCAAGCATGACACGACTGAACCCAGCTCTGGCGCTCCCTCGTGAACACAGGTAAAACTGAATGAAGTCACGGGATGTGATTCACAAGGGGGAAGTCGTGAGCAGGGCAACAGAGACTCGTTTTGAAGTGGCAAACGAAACAGTAGCCCTATTTGCCTTCCTCTTGGGGCGGGTCCTCTAGCCTTCCGCTTACTCACACCTCATGGAGCGTTTCCGATCGCAGTGCTACAACGAGGAGGGTGGAGAGGGGACGAGAAAGTGTCGCCGGCCTATTTGCTGCTGAGTGCGTCTCGCTCCACGGCATCAGCGTATTCCTCGTCATCCTCGTTTTCCTCGTCCTCTTCGTCGTCTTCGCTACCGTGTTCCGAGGGCGCTGGCGTGGAAGTGCGCGATGCCGATGGCGATGGCGGTTCCGACATGGGACGAGGATACCGCATTTGCAGCTTGGGCTGAAAATATGTGCAAGTACAGGAGGGGAAGAGAATGGGACAGGAGAGTTTCGTTAAATCCTTATTGGAGAGCTTTTGGAATGGAATGCCGGGGGAAAAGGTATGACCATCTCATTTTACTACAATATTTGAGTGTTCAGGAAAATCATTCACAATTCCTGCATGTCTGCCAAAAAACTATCCGGCCAGGCTCATCTCATCTCACCACTACTGATGGCACCATACTCCACACCAATGTTAGCCAAGCTCAGGGGAGGAAACAAGGCAACAGTGTGGTCACACACCCTAAACAATTCAATCCACACAAGACAAAAATGTGGATATAATATCTCTCTATACACTCAATGCTTCACTATAAGTGCAAATAAATTAATGTTGCTGTGTCTCTTGACAGCTGCACAAGAGAGATCCCGTGACCTGTTGTGTGGTATTAGGCCACAGTGGAATTCAAATTGAAACTACACGAGACGAGTTCACGTTTCATTCCAGCCTCAATTATGAATTGCATACTCTGGTATAGCAAATAAAGCAAGCACTTAGTGTGCTCGTTTTTATACGTGTATGCTTTGGCAAGCACAGCTTGCTAAGCTGTACACATAAAAGATTGTACGAATATTACCAAAAATGAACCCCACTATTTCACTGTACACTTTGATTTGTTCTTTGTAGGGGCACGTGAATATTCAAGATTTTGATTATTTTTTAAATATTGTTTGCCATTTGATTTGATTCGCACTGGAATTTTGCTATTTGAACTTCCTGAAGACAAATACAGTCAATGTCCGATCGGCAGTGGCCCCTTCAGATTTTCAATATGCCTAACCCCGTGACATTCTCGTATTGCGGCATAGCCGCTTTTCAGACTTTGCTAATGTTGCAATTTTGTTAACTCGAGAGAACGCTGGTCAAAGCATGGAGATGATAGTTGTGGCAGAGTTGGGGGCTCAATTAATGCCCCTTTGGTCCTGAACTTCGGGCAGGAAGTCCAAAAAGTCGAACGCCGAAGATTTTTAGCAACTAAAATTTCAGATGGCCTTATATATTGACATCTACAAGGCAGATTAGGAACTCGGGACTTGAAGGGAGCACCCCGTCCGCCACATCAGTTGGGCATTTGCAGAAGTTGAAAGAGGAGGAGATGCTGAGGAAATAGCATCTTTTTGCCTTTCACGTGTAATCTGTTGTTGGCAACAGTACAGTTGCACCAAATCATGTACATAAATACAATTGGGCCTATGCAGTGCCTTTTTCTTTATAATACAACTATGAAACACCACCTCATTAGTGCTTCATCAACTTTGCTCGAATGAACTCTTTAGTGTTGCTATCTCATGAGAATATGCTTAATCCTCTCCTACTGTTTTTGCGAACTCAATTCAAAATATAAAACATTCTAGAAATATTTGAAAATTATTCTCTTAGACTCACACTACAGTTCAATATTCAACCCAAAATTTTACTATTCGCACAGCTCCGAGTCTGTGGCAGTGAGTTAACACACAGCAGTTTATTCCACAAGTTTCTTCTGCATTGTTCACTCAAGTGTATTATATTGCAGCTTCATGTATTTCGCAGTCATTGTCAACTAAAAATTCACTGGTAGCATCCCACTTTGATATTTCAGTTGAGCTGTGGGTATAAATCATATTCTACAATATATCTGTTATAGTGACATTATACAGTTTTCCATAAAAGAATTTGAGAGTTAAAAGAACAAAGTCACTTATAACAAGCACCCTCCGAGTGCACAGGCTTATGCTGAGCCCGTAGCTGTGCAAATGTTTATACGTACTAATAACTAACAGCTGTGGCACAGACCAAGTTATTCTTGAACACAAATAACTTGTAATGCTGCAAAGTATCAACTTACCCCAACGTCTCCTTCTAGGAGTTCGGGATGTGTCCTGTGCAGGGCCATTTGCCGTGCTTTCCTGTAGTACTGCACGAAGAGAGAAGGCAGGATGTCATGTGCTATGCTAGATAAGATTAGTGGACACGAACGCGTCCATAATTTTCTGTAACACTCAAAATTGCACTTTGCAGTAGGCACAGTGACAGTATATACAGTGAAATTGTGAAATGTATTTTCATTAAGGGCCAACGTGCTTATACGTGTAAAAAAAGAAATATGGCTCCAGGCATACATTTATAATAAGAAAATTCAGTTCAAAATTGCAGTCCCTGAACTCCTCTCATCAACAATGAGCATATCGCATGGCTCGTGCAACCATATCCACAGCCACTGTTAAGTCATTTTGTAACATTCTGCCAATGTCAAAGCCTGCACACCCACAGACAGACCTATGCCACAAATATAGTATACCCAGAGCACCATGTTTCCAGAACTGCATTTTTAACACTCGTTTGCTTTAAAAAGGCTCAAAGATTGTGGCCCTTAGGCATCAATTGTTTGCCAAAGAAATAACGTATTGCTCTTTTCTTGAGCATGTGCACGCAAAGTAATGTGTTTCTACAAGTCTGCCGACGTAAAAATTAGAGACGTCCGCAGGCACATCGAATGGAGCACTGTGCCAAACTCTCATGTGCGCTTCATTGCGCACATTTTAACACGACCAAAGTGGAAGTTTGTGGGACATTATAGAAACTGAAGGGTCACTGTAGAGAAAACAAACTTTCTCATGTTTGTAAATCACCCTGTTGCAGTACTAAAAGCGCACCTATTGCTGCGACAAGGCACTTAGTATTTCTAACAAAAAGCATAAAAAGTGCAATTGGTGACACTACTCTGAAGTTCCCGCATCAAATCGCTGCGAGATCAGATTTTAATGGAGTCTACTGCAGCCTGCATAATTGCTGAAGGGACACTAAAGACAACGTTGATTGTTAAAATAAGAGTCCAGAAGCCTCGTAGTGTTACTTTTGTGCCAAGGAAGTGCTTACTTTGAAATGAAATAATGTTTTAGAGGTCCGCATTGGGCTAGCACATTTCAAATTACCCGCCTCAAGCGGAACGTGTCACGTCACTGTTGCCGAGAAGAACATTGACCGGCTTTACTGCGCGGCAGCTGACACTAGCAGCAGCAGAACCAAAGTAGCGAAAGCCACAGCAGCAACAACGACCATTGCACAATTTCCTGGCACGGCCTGCGAGATGGCAGATGTGTTTCATTTAACTAGGCCCCACTAGATGACACGACCTGTCCAGCTTAACGACACGAAAATTGAACTTTTGAACCACTCGCACTATTACTCATAGTAAGGTCCGGTGATTCTTCTTTCCATGAATCAAACAGAAATGTACGAGTAGCAATTTATAAAGTCTTTCGAAGCACAGAAGGTTCTTTATTTAGTGCAGCTAGTTCGATTACTAGTTATTAATTGTAGGCGGTACCTCTCACGTCATCGGGACCATTTTGAGAATTTCCTATCATAGCGCGCATTTACCTTAATTTCTCGGTAAGCGAGGCACTGTTATTGATAATATTGCCATTTTAGATGCTCTCATACATTGAGCTTTCATTCTGACATAAATTGTTATTTGACTTTAGGGTCCCTTTAATCAGCTAACATAAAGCACATTGTCCTATAAGTACTCCAAGGACTTGAGTACCAACCTTCAAAAAGTTTTGGTAGACCAATGTGGCTAAAATACTAAAAAAAGACACTGAAATTTTGTGACACTTGCACTCGCATTCATGTGAAGATTACATGTGCTCACATGTGAAGATTACATGTGTGACACTGCGTTCACATTCTTGTCAAGGCACGAAATTTAAACTTTTACCTTAATTTGCTTTTTGATACAGAACCTGCAATTTCGTAGTTAATGAAAATAATGTGCCTAAATAACTTGTTAGCCTGAACTGATTCTTGCAAGGCAAAAAACTGGTAGCACGCAATCTAGACAAGGACGCAGAAGAGGTGGACAGTGCAATGTTTTGTTTGCTGCATCCTTGTCTAGTTCGCGTGCAACCAGTATTTTTCTTGCAAGTTTGAGCCAACTAGCCCAGCAGCAAGTTTTATTGAAACTGATTCATTCTTTGTGTCCTTGTAATAGCTTACCCCAATGTCCCTGTAACCCTGTAACAGTGTCCCTGTAACAACTTACCCCAACTCACTACATGCAGGCTGGTTGATATCCTGCTACCTTTTCTTCCTCTCAACATCGAAATTCAACTCAGACACGTGGTGAAGCCCGCTTACAGAATCAGCACATTGCAAGAAGCAAGCTTACCACTCCCAGGTTTTTCCAGTCTAAAAGGTCGCTGAGGCGTTCCGTGCGGTTCCGTTGGATTATTCGTTGCCTCCGGGACAGGCAGGAGAAGTCAAACATGTACTGCATTTAGAAAAAAGTTATGGTGGCATGATTATTTGGTGCAGTAATGTACATTAGTGCTTATTCATCCATCCCTCATAACCAAATATAATGCATATATACCGGGCATCTCAAAAATCGAATGGTGGTGACCATCCTTCTAAATCAATGCATCTATGAGGTGGCTGGAAAACGGCGCTTCAAATTAAGTAAAATACATGGGATTAATGTGCAACTACACCTAGGTACACGTGTGCTCTCACATTTTGTGCTCATTGAAGTTCAGCTAGAAAAATAAGATGCAAGTTGATACTGAGAAGCAGAATGCTTCAGCCACATTGTCTTAAACACAAATACTGCGATGTAAACAAGAGAGGCCGAGGTTGACTACGGTTGTGAATTCAGTACAGAAAAACAAGAACTTGAGAAACCACCTCGATCAAACGAGAACTAACCTTGGAATTCAATAGAAGAAAGTGGGCAAAATAACAACTTCATTTCACATTTCACTAACCCGTTGATATTTTAATGAGAGCAGCTCGTTCCAAAATGCCTAAATATTTTTTAGTATCATTTTAACTGCACCTAACGTATCAAGGTTTTGAGGCTACCAGCTTGAAGGAATTGCACGTCGTTGACGGTGAAATGAACAAAAGTAATGCTTGTTAGCAGGAACAAGGAATAAAACAATGCGAAACGCAGAAGACGGATCAGGTAGGGTAGCGGTACACACCTGAGCCAGCTGCTGTACCGACTCCTCGGCATTCTTGAATCTCCTGTCGACAATGTAGATGCCGTAGGACATGGGGTCGGCTACGTGCTCGGCTATGAAGCAGCCGAAGCCAGACAGGTTGGTGGTGACGCTGGGAATGCCCATGACTGTGCACTCCGCTGGAAACCAGTGGCACGTTTGAATGAGGTGACGCATCGGCGAGTGTTCGTACAAAAATTAAATGGTTCTCCGTTTGCTAGGTTTTTGTTGTTACCCATTGAAATCGTAGTAAAAGACTTTTAGCTGCCGTCTGCATTGCATATGTGAACAGTAAGTTGTCAGAATTAACCAATTTTTTTTTGAAAAATATGAATTCCACAAAAATTCTGGCACACGCTACATACTTTCGCATAGTTGCAGTTATCAACATATACAAATTTCAATGCAAGATGAGGCTCGGTACAAGAGGGCATAAATGCGCAGGATGTTCACATCTGTGCCAGTAGCCATGTGTTCTGTGCTAATGCTAATCCGAAGCAGCTAACACTGAAAGGAACCGAATAGTGGTGGCCTGTGACGTGACATCACCACTGCTGGCAAGTCTGTCTAAGTTGGTCCTCAAGAATGAAGCACACTACGCTGTGCTGCGCTGCCATGCACATGCATTGGTTCTTGTTTTGCATTTGCTGCCCAGAAGTGCAATCATTTGCTCGCATTAGTGTCAACAGTCATACATTATAGGCATCACATGCATGAATGCTAGAATTCAAGGCTATCTAAAGACTTCACGCATGACATTTGTCAACTAACATTAGCATGCTAACAGCAGTAGCAACATTTGCAGAGCACTAGCTCGAATTGAAGTCTTCCAAACATCTTGTGTCAAATATGGTGCTATGAGTGCCTATAAATTGCCGAGTCTCGCATAAAGAATGAGAGCTCCAGGTATTTACAACACTTTCTGCTGAGTTGCTGGCCGATATTCACAGATTTTGTAAAGTTCCCAACAGCATAATACCACAGTTTCAGACATCACTTGCCAATTATCCACTACAACATCTAAAGCAACATTTACTCATGAATTTTGCCCTACCCCTACGGAATGGTGGTGTTATATCTCTTGCAGCCGCAGTGAAGTGCATGATTTCTCTGTAGAAGTGACAAAATAGTGCTACCATTCCAGAGCAATAAAATATAAACATGTTTTGAGTGCCATTGCCGTGGACAACACCTACTTTGTGATAATTATTCTGGATGAAGCTGGTGAGTAGCGTAGATGATGAATGCACATGCTATGTGCATGAACAGTAAAGATCGCATTAACATTGTGAAAGAGGCCAGTTAAGGCAATGCAGTTCCAGCTTTTTTTTGTTTTCTGAACCGCTAAACTCTTTCATTTTTCTGAACGAAGAAAAACTAGTACTAGAAAATGCCATATTATTGAATGCAACTGGTATACATGAGTTTCGATAGCGAAGTCGTGGGTCGTGCAGATGGGGAAATATTGTTTTGCTGGGAGTGTCTCGAAAAGCTGGTTCTTGAGAAAACACACTTGCGTAATAGGAATGAAGAAAAATGAACACATGTACACAAACATTTAGTCTGTGCTGTCAGCGTCTGCATTAATAACATTGCTCGATACCGAAAATTGGCAGGAGGCCTCAGCACACATGCACTGCACCGTTTTGGTGTTGTGCGCCTCGCAATCAATTTCGTACTGCTGCACAACGCTATGAATATTCTTTGCAGCAAACTTGGCCCTTACCAGGCGTGTAGCCCCAGGGTTCATAGTATGATGGAAAGACACCCAAGTGGCAACCCCTTACAAACTCTTCATAGTCCATACTGAACAATGGGTTTGTAGATGACAGGAATTCTGGATGGAAAATGACCTGCAAGAAACACCATTTTGTAATGAAGCCCAGCTTCAATTATGTACAGAACTAAACAGGACGATTTAGGGCCAAGTAACGCACAAGCTTTAGTTACCACCGTCTCCATTTTGGGTCCATCAGCGTCATTTCCAATAATTTAAATCCAAATCAAAGCAAGTTCGAATATGTTAATATTCGCTTGAATATTCGAAGTGCTCGTATATTCACACAAGCCTACTTTTTATATTTTTTACGTCATTATTCCCTTTATTTCCCTCTACATTTCTCTTTCTATCTCTTTGTACTTGTGTCTCTTGCCCATTCGAGTTATTGCATCCCACGCCAGGCAAATTGGCGCATTCATCCTGAGAATGAAACAGAAAGTGAAAAAAAGCGTGCGTGCCCATCAAGTTATTGCGATCATGGTTATGATAGTTTTTTACACTACTCATAAAGTTTCTGCTCGCGAAAAAATTTGATTTTGTTTTCGCACGATAGTGGGGCTTCCCAATTCCTGTGGCGCATACCCAACCAAGTTTTTCAGTTTACCGGACAAGAAACAATCCACGGGACAGCTTCACTTCTAAAGGAAAAATGCCAGACCTGCACGGAACGCGCAGCAGTCGTAGCAAAAGCTCGAAGAGCGGTCTTTTTAGAGCCTGTTGTAAATTCTGTTGCGGCAACTAATACAAGTAGACTTCCAAGGTACCCACTATGCCATAAATCATGTTTTTTGTGAAGTAACAAAGCACCCAGTATGCCATTATTTTTGCTGTGCCATGATTCATTATGTAGAGGAGTGTGGTGCAGGTAACACACCTGTAAGGCATTACATAGACTGTTGATGCAGCGGTTGAATACAATGAAGAATTATGAGTGAACCCTTTGTAATGAGTTGGAAACATTTAACTTTCCACTTGTTGCAATACGCATTGTGCAACACCTGGATGTCATTTTACTCTTCTGCCACGCTATATTAAATATGTTAACATGATTCCTAGCCCACCATGACTCCTGTTTAGGATCTTACTGCGAAGAAGTTCCAAATACTGGAATTACTCTGTGGTAGGTTACTCGGCTGCCATGCAGAGGACCTGGTTCTAAATCCTATCTGATGCTGCCTGATATTTTGTCCCAACTTGATTTTCTCTTATTTTGTGTGATAGTGGTTACGAACACTGGTGGCGGTTGTGGCAGCCGACAACTGCACAGTCAATATCTGCTCTTGCTTGCAGCCTTGCAACAACTTTCACTGTGACATGTTTTCGAGTCCATCGTGTGTGCTACTATACCAAATCCAAAAGGCATAGTCACCTTAACACGGTCCTCCCTTCGGTTGAACAGCTGACATCTTCTAATATGGCACAAAACAGGGTCGGAGGCATCATCCAGCATGTTGTGAGTACAGACTGGCGGTAGCGTCGTGCGCTGGGTTGCGTAGATGCAGCGTTTCAACCGCACCAAGTCTTCTGGGTAGATGAGTTCATCACCTTTGGGGATCTTGCCCCTGGAAGATGTCGTCTGCTTATCTTCAATGAACCCTTGCATCCTCCCTTTCTGGCCAGTTATAAGTGAAAGTGAGCCCCCATTTAATTCCTATCGTGTCTGTATAGTTACCAGCATTTCTGCACACAACAAATGCAAATAAGTTGCCATGGTGACTAGCTTTTGGATCAAAGTTTGGGTGTGCACACTCAAGCTACAAAAGGTAAAGACAGTGTCACAAAGTCACATAACATGCTGAAACAAGCACTTTCCACAATGGGTAGGCAAAAACAAAAAAGAAAAGCTCACTTACGATAGGCAGATCTCGAACATGCGCTTCCCGATCGTAGACTGCATTTGCTGGACCGTGTCACGAAGTTGTTTCGAGATCGCCTGGCCTCGTAACGACTCAACGTTGAAGTTGTTTGTTTTGGCGGGGAATATTAGAAAAGCAACGACAGTGACTTCACTTCCTGAAGCCTGTAGAAAGGGTGAACAGAAGCACATCAAAACAAATATTGTGCACCATCGGACATATCTTTATAATGCAAATTAGTGTTATTGCTAAAAAAATAATTTCATGTCTTTTCACTTATGCATAAAAAACCATCTATGGTCCCGAGGACTGCATGCATCGCTGCATGCAAAAGAAGTCAGTACTGCCACATACCTTCAAGTAATGATTGAGGCGTGCCAAGGACTCTATAAACATATCTGCTCCCTTGTTGGAAAACTCGTACCTTCCTGCTGTGAAGCAGTACAGCGTCTTGTCCAGGTCGAAGTCGTAATGCCTGGAAAGTTTTACGTCTCAACCGGCATCTCAACATAACAAATCTGCCCTGACAGAAATACTCACCCATAAAAGTGCCCTCTGACGAAGTCGTGAATCTTCTCCTTGGCTATTGCATGCATATTCTGAAACTCGTGGAGGGCACTGAACTTCTTGACATTGAGCCCATTTGGCACGATGGCATCTGCAAACGAGACACGGCACAAAAGTAACCCTTAAACTTAAATTTATTAGTTAAAGGAGCCCAGCAGTACCTTTCTGAGTAATCGTTGAACGGCTTTATTAAAGGAGCACCGACACAAAACTTAAGCACCTTGTTTTTCTTGTTGAAATGGATATGTCATGACCCACCAATCACTGCCGGAAACCTTGTGCACATGAGTGCACGTCGGTTATTTATTTAAAGACTTTTTTAGAGTGCCCAGTCGCACTTTTGGTTTCAAAGAGCACTGGGCTGGGCAGTAGTAGTTCCGATAGCAATGTAAACACAGCTGGCCACGTGATCACGCACAAATTCGACGTTGGCATCACACGCGAGAGCATGCATGAGCGGGCACCCCACCGACAGCCACCACGGCCAACACGCACAAAGCTGCAGACATGGAAGAGGAAGTTGCAGGTAGCACAAGCCCAGGGCTCATGCCAAGCAAACAGCCAACACAAACTCGTGATGTAGTTTTGTTTACGCTCCCCCCACATTGATGTTGGTGTCACAAGGGACTCCACATCTCGCTCAATCGCACGGCATGCACTTTAAAACTGATTTTAAATATGTTGTAGGCTGTTTGCTCGTGATATCTTCTAGATGTTGTGTATGCCTTCAGATAAATCTATCTCATTATCTCGCTTTCGAAATTTTGTGTGAGTGGTCCTTCAAAGGAGCTTATTGCCTCACGAATTGACTGCCGCAAGCATTTGTAGGGTCCATTAAATACGAGCAGAGTTACGGGATTTGTCACACCCTTTAAGTGCTTTCCCTCTCCCCCTCTCCTTCGTACCAGAGTGCACTGAAAACTACGCAGGGGGGATGACAAGCGGGCAAAAAGCTACATTTGTGCATCTTGAGTGCTTTTTTCTTCCCTTTAATGCGCAGGGTGATTTCAGTGTGATCACGAGCATGCTGATGTAATTCTACACTGTGTGTAAATTTGCACTACAAAGTGCAGCGTGACCATGTCGCAACATCCCGCAGCAGCCATGGTAACTACACAGCTTGCGACGCTCAAATCGGCGAGTGGCCTTGGGTTTTGTGTACACATCGCAACCATTGTGGATTGTGAAATTATTTGTTGAGAAAAGAGCAAGCAATTTCTAACTGGCTTTTGAATATATTTCCGAATTCCTAACCACGTACTGCACTATAGCGTGTCGCTGTCCTCAGGTGCCTTGACTACTGATCAGTGTTGTTTTCCGACCATGCACAAAATTGCTGCAGGGCCCCTTTAAATAAGCAAAAGTGGCGAAGTGTGTTTGCCCGCGTCGAAATCTGCAACAATGAATGAACAAGCCAGCACTTGCCTGGCTTTCTCTTGAGCAAGTGCTCCGCTTCCATTCCTGTCACGTCGGAGACCGTGGCGAACACATGAGCACTGTGGCAGGCGGCTCGTTCCATGCAGTACCGGTGATAGATGCCTCTGTCTCCAGCCTCCTTATCTAAACTGAACTGGGGCCATGGAAAAACACTTGTGAGAAAACACCTGCATGGTTGTTTAGAGAGTTGTTAAAACTGTCAGAATTAACTAGCAAAAAGAAAAGCTGACTGAGGATACTGCCGAGTTTTCACATCACTGTAACCCAAAGTGCAAGAAGATTGAGGGCGATCAGAGCTGCTATTTCCTAATTACTACAACCAAAGGAGGCTAAAGAAAGCCAAGGGAAATAAACCTTAATAGAATTTGGAAACAATAAAACAGAAATGAAAGCAAGGATCAGTTTGCCACCAATGGGAACTAACTACATTTATTTCACATTGAGGTACTTTCTAATAAGCTACTGTGGGCAGCCACTGTCCTCATGAAAAGCTGCAGTTGAAAAAATGTTTTACTTTTACCCTCATAGCCAAAAACGGTGGCACTAGCTAACACTCCCAGACATAGACGAAATATACGTAACAGCTTAAACATGTTCTGTAATACTGTTTAAATACCCTTTCTTTTTTGCCATAGACAGTAAGATATGTGTTGTGAGCAGTTAAATTGTGGCTTCACGTCCTCCACCCAAGTAATAAAATTGGCAACTTACACACTGTTGTCAATCCGTCTCATATTAAGATTTTTGTAAGTTCAGACCTGCATTGCCTTTGTAGTTGTGTCGCACTACACAATGCCACACTTGACTGAATTATTTCAAGTCTACTGTTGCTCTTGTGTAACGATGTTCAATCAGTCGGCATACAATTTAGTACGAAGTATTTTTAGGCAATCGTGGCACTAAAAGGTGGACTACATGAAATTTCACTTCAGTTAAATTGGTTATAAATCAGTGTACTATACAAGTTATTCAACTTTAGAAAAGCTGCGACATTTATACAATTTATTAAAAGCATTGAATCCATGATTGATTTGCGGGGTTTAACGTCCCAAAACCACCATGTGATTACGAGAGACGCCGTAGTGGAGGGCTCCGGAAATTTCGACCACCTGGGGTTCTTTAACGTGCACCCAAATCTGAGCACACGGGCCTACAACATTTCCGCCTCCATCGGAAATGCAGCCGCCGAAGCCGGGATTCGATCCCGCGACCTGCGGGCCGGCAGCCAAGTACTTTAGCCACTAGACCACCGCGGCGGGGCAAGCATTGAATCCAATCTGATAATGCATGCAGTTGTAAATTAGTGCATAAGCTACAAATGCTATGTGAAAGAACATCAGTTTTCAGATTTTCAACAAGCTTAAATTTAAAGAAGGTTGTCCATGCACAGTACCCAGGCTTGTTCTCAACATCCTGACTGGTGCTGTGTCATTGTCAGCCAATAGTAATAACAAATTTTATTTGCTTTGCATTGAAAATGGTCTTTTGCAAGCTTTATGCATCTCATCCTCCCTTTATGAGGGTTGCTGTTCGTCTACATTGTATGAAAGTTACACGTCCTAGCAAATTGTTACGCACTATGCATGTAATCTAAAATGTTGCTTCTTAAGCAGTCAAAAATTTTGTGGCCTTTGACCTTTAAGTAAAGTAGTCTTATGTGCACTTGTCAGCCTAGAAAAATAGTATGCGAGGCATTAAGCTCACCTTGTCGAGGTTGTTGTAGAAGTCCACATTCCCTGCGCACAAGTACCGGCCCAGCAGGGTTGCGTGCGTGATGAATATGGTGGCCACGTCAAGGTGTCTGGTGCGACACAGGATCAGCCCGATGCCGGCGAGCCACTCGTGGAACTGGGCCACGACCAGCGGCGGACCCTTTTCTGCATTCACTGCCTTCATGAACTGCATGCAATGCAAATAATGGCAATGTTTTCAGACAATGTAGTGCCTACTTTATGCGGTCGTCAGAATGGTTAACAAAGAAACCGAGTAATAGCACTTCACCGTGACTATCTTTCTAGCAGTGCGCTGCTACGTATGAAGAAATATATCAAATAAAATATCACAGTTTTGTCAAGAGGTCGAAGCAATGAATGTGATAGCAATATATTCGAATGTTTTACGAAGCAAGGCTAGCATTTTCTGGAGCAATATTAATTGTAGTAAACATGCACTTAAGCATGCTAAGTAACCAAGTTTTCTGCGGTGCGGTCACAGTAGATAACCACAACAAGGCTCGTGAGTAGTGTTGGTATTGATGAGAAGCACCTCCCATGAGCAGCGCATGCTGGTACAAAGGGCTATGTGTCGTGTGCTGCCGCTGCTGGCTGTTTGTTAGTTTGTTATGTGTAGAGTAGATCTATATGTGGGTGGCCACTCCAGGTACACTTTTGGCACCGTTTTTTTTTTTTCGTGTTGAGAGTGCAGCCCGTAGAAGCTCTCGCCTTCTGTGGGGGCAAGAGCCGCACGCTGATCGTTGCTGCGACAGCGCGGCAAACATAAGCACTCCCCCTCCTTGTTCGGTTACGAGATATGTGCGCATGCAGACAACCCCAGCCGGAAAGCCACTGTTCGCTCCGCAGAAAGAGGAGGCGAGCACATCCTTTCCCGTGCGTGCGCGTGTGTGTGTGTGTGTGTGTATATATATATATATATATATATATATATATATATATATATATATATATATATATATATATATGTATATATATATATATATATATATATATATATATATATATATATATATATATATATATATATATATATATATATACTCGAGCAGTTTTCGAGACAAGTTGAAGCACGAGTGTTTAAGATTGCAAACTCGACTCTCTAAAAAGAGTGCAAACTCACGTCTTGTAGAAACCATGCGACGAGGTAGCCGAAGATGATGGCGTCATTGGACTCCCGGTCGTGCCATGGGACGCCAATGTTGCAGGTGTTCCACAGGTCGCGCTTCCACTCGTCGAGCTTCCAGGCGGCCGAACCAATATCAAAAAGCAGGACTTGAGGGTAGCCATCGATAAGCCACCTTCCATAGACAACCTACACACAAGCAAAGAATGAATAGCCTAGGTCACGAATGCGCACAGATGATGCCATATCACCTTTACTTGTTTGATTGTAAACTCGTTAAATGTCATGCATACTGCTAAAACCATGAACAGGAACAATTATTCGGCTTCTAAGCAAAAGAAGCAGGCGTCTAACTGATTCATTGCTGCAGTTCTTAAAATCAGTATTTGAAAGCTGGCTTCACCGCAGTTACATTGTCCATGCAGCAAAGCAGCCTTCAATATGACTAGTTGTGCAATCATTTGCTTATGCTAAACAATGATTTTCTTAGTGTGAACTTTAATATAGTATGGTGTTGAGGCAACATCATTTTTTGTATCAATAGCCATCACTGCCATTGATGACAACAATCCTTCTGATCCATCCCAATGCACAAGGAGTCTTGTGTTGTAGCCATGTAGGTATAAACAGTCATGCACTCGTATTGTTTGTGATCACGAACAGAAACAAAAAAAATTACACCATCTTTCCGAAGGGGGGACAATGGGGTCATGCGGGACATTGCGGGGAGTTTCAACGGTGTTTTCAATGGCAATGTGTTCAACCGCGGTGTTTACCGGTTTGCGATGTTACCTTTGCAATGAAACTTGTGTGTTATTACGTTGTTAACTTGGTTCGTTACCATGCATCGCGTGAACGCCCTTGTGTTGGAAACTCCTGCGATGCTCCTCATCACCCAAAGGTCCCCTTCAAAAAGATGGTGTAATTTTTTTAGTTAACGCACGCATTGCAAATATTTATTGTTGAACAACGCACAGGAGAAATCTCCCACCGGCACAACACAGGCACTGCATCGGCATATAGGCACTGGATCTTGCAGGTCAAGATCCAGTGCCTATATATACGGGGTGGCCAGTGAACAATTGTGTAACCCGAGCAGTCGATTTTTTCAATCAAGAAATGCTCTAGCAGACACTGCCTGCATCAGCTTTGGGAGACGCCGCGGGGAGGAATGCTTAGAAGAGTGGGGGGGAGCGAGCGTAGGCTAGCAGATGCTCCCTGCGTCGGCGTTGCGAGGCAGGAGAGGGGGAGCATAGGAGAGAGAGGGGAAGAGACACGCATGCGCGTCGGGGGAGCAAGCGCAAGGAGGTGGTAGGAGAGAAGTGGAGAGAGAAACACACAGTTGCTGAGGAGAGGGAAGGAGAGTGGCGTGTGAGTAATGTGAGCGTGGACAATTGACGTGTGACATACCCCAGAGCGAGAGATGCTCCACATATGAAGAACATGAATGTTGTTCAATACTGTCAACCAGCACAATGCTAAAACTTGGGTGCCTGTGTTCATGCATGCAGCTTCTCTGCAACACTTGGCTGCTTTGTGGCAGAGCTTTCTAACTGTTAATAAAAAATTTAGCAATAAACTGTACATATTTTGGTCATAGTTACGAAATCATCGTGAACTATATTTTTCCACTTTGTATCCATGAATAGATAGTTCAAGCAAAATGGCGTGCTGGATTCACACCAATGCAACATTGACATGGCATGCAACAGATTCTATGCAGAATATTATGTTATATAATAGCTGTTACCAATTTCTGCCTGGCAGTTTGAGTCTCTGACCTTGATGCCCTGTTCCCTCAGGGCCTTGATGCTGTTCCAAAAGACGTTGTAAGGTGGTTCCAGGACTTCGACCTCGGTGCGAACCAGGTTCTCATTCAACGGGCCCAGGAGGCAGAACTGGTCACCCAGTTCTTCCACACTTACCTCGGCCTTGGAACGGATCACTGTGTAAATGCCTCCAACTGCACAAGCACATAAAAAAGCCACTGTTGAAGTATTCTGTGGTAGTACTTTTTTTTCACCCTACAGGTACACGTGACAGCTGACCCAGTGCATGATGCCCCATGGGCCATCTTAAGATGTGACATGGTGTCCCTTTATAGAAAACATGGGCAGCTACTTCAGTGCTGCTGTGTCTTCTCAACTTATGTGGACATTTGAAAAACAAATTCACCTGCTGGATTAACTTCAGGTAAATGCTCATGTACTTCAAGTATCTGTGTATAATTATCGAGGGAGCATGAAACAGTACTAAAAAAATGCAGTGTAGGAAGCCAATTCTGAAGCCAAAGCTAATGCTTCATGCAGACACTGTAAGAATACCATAAGAATCCAGAAGCTGCCTGAGACTAGTGTAAATTTAATTATCATTTAAAAAAGTGGATTTCTGTAAAAGTTTGAATAATTTGAGAAAATGGCTGGACATTAGTATTGCTCTTGTGGGCGATGCGTACATCTTGCAAGTTCAATGAAATTCAGTGTGATTATATAGGCCTGAACAATACCTAAAAAAAACCAAAGTGGTACACATTAGACAAATGAGACTAATGGCATATGTTGTCTATAGTCGTAATGAGTTATAGAAACATTTTTTAAGGTTTTGCAAAGATCTAAAGAAAGCCCTTCGAATGATGTCATTGTGTACTTGCACTATGCACCATAGAACTTTAAATACCATTTCAAAACAAAAAAGTCCACACGGTTCTTGAAAACTGACAAGGGTGTGTATGCTATCCGCGTTCAGCCGGTCGCGAATTGTTCAGGACCGAGTTGAGGACTGTGGTAGACCTTGGTGTTCACAATGAAAGTGCCAATGAACCCTGTAGCTGATCAACATTATTTAGAACTAGCATGCAGGATTTTTTTTGATTAATTTAGAGCACTGTAATGCAAAAGCATGCGGATATTATAATTTCATGTATCACAGGCTTTCTTCAGGAGCTACAATAGAGAGAAGGATAGCAAGTAATATTTATGGTGACACCACAAATGCAACTATACTAGCTTTGTCTGAGCATGTTCTGCAACCTTTCTAATACATCTCATGCCCTTAAGTAAAATATATTAAAATTATACATCATGAATTGATGCAACAAGATAATTATGTGGTCAATTATCAAATATAATTATGTGGTCAATAGATCATTATTGGTACATTTTCTACTGATTCTATTTTGAAAATCAGGTTCAGCTTAAATGAGAACACTTGGCATATTAGATTATCAGCATTTTGTGCAGTACACTGCAGTCATATTTACACTAGCCAACTGTATCTTCATTCCCCATACACATTTATGTACTGTGTTCAACTCTCTGCTTACAGCAAATGCACAGCTTGAAGAAGTCCCACGGCACAGTATTACTGTTTATAATCTATTGTTTGCTCTATCAGTTCAAGAGAAGGAGCAATATTACGAAGCTATGAATAATATCACACTTGCATATGCGAAATTGTGTACTCAAAGCACTGTGCAGAAAATTCTTTTTGTACAGTGCACAAGAGGGTACCAGTTCAAAGACATAATCAGTTCACCACCAGCACGTTGTCTACACGTGCATTATATCTGCCACAATTGTGTCATCCTCGGCGCGGGACGTCCCAGCCGCGCTATGGCGCGCTGCCGTCGGCCACGGGGGATGACCCAGATGCATGTGCGCACGTTGTCGCACTGTGCGATCGTTCCGAGCTACGAGTCGCGCAAAATGTAAGGGACGACCTTCGGAGCGACCTTCACGACGGTTTTTGGCAGCGATGACAACTGCAATGGGGGCGTGTCCAGTGCCTCTGAAGTGCCTATATAGTCCGGCGTGCTTCCGAAACAAATAGAAGCCGCCGGTGCATTGCCCCGTACCAGCCGCCACGGTCACTTTGAAGCGCGGCGCACGCTAATAATCGAAATATGCGAGGACGTATAGTACGTGCGCATACAGTCTGACATTGCGTGTGCCGCAATCGTAACGCTCAAGAGATCGCAGGACTTCGAGTTGCTGCACTGTAGCGGATTAGTACGAAGAAACCGCGGTTGACAACCGCGTGATCCGGACACCTGACGCTGCGGCAAAGCGTTTCGCGGATGGTCGCACGTAATTAGATAGCGCTGTTGAGCTCGGTAGTTGTCAGCCGAGAGATACGGCACATCTATCGCATATCTGGCACTGGATCCCCTTGTAAACGCCGGTCTTGACCGCGGCGATGGCTCGGTGAGCTGCCTACGTGCAATTAATAAGCCGGCCGTGCCCCTTGGCCCCCCAAAAATGCGGACTGGCCAGCATGCCGGGCTCACCTTTATTGACGACTTCCCAGGCTATTTCGAACACCCATCGGTTCTCGGCCTCCGCGCTGGCGCCCCTGTCGAGCACCAAGTCTTCGGTGCCTTCTAGCCGGTAAAATCGGCGAGAGATGCGGGAAGACATCGCGAATTAAGACGCTTTTTTTTTCACGGCTCCCCGCGGTGACCTTCCCGGCTTGCGGGTAGTGACCGGCGGCTGCCGATGCTGCTGGTCTGAAAGGGAAGAGGAAAGGATCGCCCGCCGACCCGCCCACCCGCTCGTTTCAGTTTCTTGTTTCAGTTTTGTTTTTAAGCCGGAGACGTGCGTCGCACCTGTAAGCACACTGTGAAACAAATCTAGTACAAAACACCGCGCATTCGGCTGCAGATAACATATTGCTTGCTATTTGCAACAACATGAAGGGAGGAATACTAGAGAAAAAACTACAGATACTGCTTTTACGCTCACGCACGTGAGTGCGCTCCTTTTCATTGAGTAATAGTTAAAGGCCGACAAATATTCGACTGTGGACCTACTATACAACGCAAATTGTCGTTCTTGCATTTAATTTTTAAAGTTAGACCCACCGATCTTGTCTGACTCAGTCTTCTTAAAACGTGCGCGATAAGCTTGGCGCGGTCAGCGTCGGCATGCTAGCAACTATCGCAAGCACATGGCGAGCGTGGGCGCGCTTGATCTTGTTTCTACACGTTGGGCATTGCATCAAATCTGCGCGCGTGCATCGGCGCGCACTTTTTTTTTCCGCGTCGCGAATGGATTGAACCGAAAGTAGCCTGCCTGCGCCTCGTTTGCGCGAATTCACCTGCCATTCTCGCACTCGTCAGTTACGTTGCGCTTTTAAGGGCGACGGGTGAGGCGAGAATCGGCCTTCTCCACTGCTTTGTTTACACTCAGAGTTCTTCTACCATCGCCGAAAAGGTGCGTAGTGGCCTCGGATACTTGCTTGCCAACATTCCCCTGTCTTAATTTAAATCTTACTCGTCAGTTTTAAACGCACGTGCTGCTAAATGCGAGGGTGTAAGCATCAAAAGATGCTGATCAGCTGAGAGATACCTTTACACTCCGCTTTTAAATGCCGCCTTCGGTCGGAACAGCTGATGTGGTTCTTATAACAGCCAGTGGTGCTGTACACTCGGGACCTGCACGGAGAGATTCACGTTCTCTTCTTATCACTGAATTGTGCGAGAGATACATGCTAGGAGCAGTATCTGCAATTCAGCGCAGCAGTTGTTTAAGATACTCCTGTGGATTTAATCATTTGTGGCACGCGCGTTATTATAGACTGCGTAAAATTTACAGTGGATTAGTTGCCATGTGCTGAAGACCGCATTTAGAGTGAGTGAAGTGTTAGAATTAATTTCAGCACATTTCACCGCAGTTAGTTGTGATTTATGCTAGCGTGAGTAATTATCCGATTGTGTAATCAATCATTCTATATTTCTTCTTAAAGCTATTTCGACGGCTCCCAAAAATTAAATATAATAGCTATCTGCTGACAGAGCGCATTCCTAAAAGGACACAGAGGGGGAAATATTTTAAACATTCTAATTTTAGTTTATCACAATTCTGTTTTGACCAAAGCAATCATGTATATCAATATAGTATTTAAACTGGAAGTGATATGACTTAATGTCTATCTCTTGCCACACAGAAATGTCGACACTTACTCGCATCTCTTAATGAGGACATTGCGTTGCAAAGAAATAAAGTAGTAACGTATAAATGCACCAATATTCAACTGATACAGCATTCGCAATATTGGGCTAGTCATAATAATTGAAGGGGTTTAACCTCCCAAAACCACAATATGATTACGAGAGAAGCCGTAGTGGAGGAGGGCTTAGGAAGTTCTGGTCACCTGAGGATCTTTACCATACACTTGAAAAGAAGTACACATCAGGCCTCGAGCATTTTCCACTCCATTGAAAATGCAGGCATCATGGCCGAGATTCGATCCCCGTCACTTCCAGGTCAACAGTTCATTACTGTAACCACTAGACCACCGTGGCAGATAATATGGATTGACTCATGGAGTTGCGTCATGGGCGTACAATATACTCAGCCGTTTTTTTCGGTCTCTATCACTGAACAAAAGCCAACCCTATGTTCTTTGTCAAACAACCTCATCGCCTCACACTCACAAACAAAATTAGCATACTGCAGCATTAATGCCCTTTGCTTAGTGACTTTGTTAAAAATCATATGCAGAGATCTCATCGATGTTATTAGCAGTCACTCTTCGTCTACATACTTGTCAACTGTGATGCATTCTCACTGCACTTTCTTTGTTTATTTTCTGTCCTGTTTGTCTTGCAGAAAGGACCCAACATCGAAAAAACAAACCTGGCAGGTATGCTGAGACATGGCCGGAAAGTTGATGCGGTATTCCTCTCTTTTGACGAGGTGTCCTGATACCAGGTCTGCCGACATGGCAGGCATGACTACTGGCATCTGTGGAGTGTCTTACGGGCGCTACAACTACATCATGAAACAGCTGCATGGTAAGACGGTCATCATAGCCATGTTCAAATACGATGATTTGTGCACAGCTTTGCTATGCTTTTTCCTGTGGTCAGAATGTTGTGATGCTATGGCATAAACTTCTGAAGCGTATTGCAGATAGGCTTCATTGAGGCCATCAGGCCTGCATTATTTGGGTAGTTGCTAATCAGGAAGCTCTGTAAACAAGAAGCACTACATCACAACAAGCTCATCTTGCTCCAATCGATGAATCAATAAGTAAAAATTTGGTGAGAATCTCTGTTAAAAATCCAAATGATATGTTTGTGTTAGTGCAATGCACAGGTGTCATCATGGCTGCCATGTATGGGCACTAGTGCAAAGAAGTGCGGTATCTCTGATGCTGCTTTTCCGCTAGTGGATATGGTGCTGTTGAGTGCAACACACGGATTTGATTATAGCTATAGTGGATGCATTTTAGTAAGAGCAGATTGTAAACCAACTTGTGTATCATCAGTGTGCATTAAAGGGAGACTAACGAGCAAAACGTTTTTTGGCGTATGAATGAACAATACAATCCAGAAAACACTACTCTTACTACAACACGATGCTTAGTACGTGAGAAAATGCCCGAAATAGAATGCGGGCAGCGATGCCACTTTGAAATTCCTGCACAAGACACTGTAACGTAATAAAATTTGAAAGCGCCTACTCGTTCCTGCATAGCTTCCAAATCAATGAAAATGAAGTACATTGTAATCTGTGGGTGCTACAGGGTTATCATAGGAAGTCTCAGAAAGTTCTATGAAGCTGAGGCCACAAAACTACCAAAAATACAATTTCGAATTTCTTACGTCACACGCAGAGATTTTAGCATCAAATTTAAAAATTAAACTTCAACCTTGATTTTTACCATTAAATATTAACTTATGATAGTAAAACATGGCATTAGAGCTCTCAGAGTGCAGTTTGTCAATATAAACCAAGTCCTTGTTTCTCTTGAGTGTCCCTTTAAGAGAATTCAGTTTGTCAAAAGTAATCTGGAGCCTTCCGCTGTAACATTCTTCATAACACAAAGTGCAGTGCAGAGACATCTAAACTCCACAGTTCATTTGAATCAAAAGTGAAATTCAGCATGTTGCATTTGATTGAGTTTTGCTCCAAGGGACCTAGTTAAGATACAAGGTCTCATTATTGAGGTCCAATGCCATCATCTGCTTCACCAGTGGCTGATATGTTGTGCATCTCCTGACTGAAGCCCCAACATTCGAACTCATGTTCTGGAATGCAGTGGTAGCTAGTTAAAGCCAGCGAGTCAACATTTGCCAGGACCTAGGTTTACGGAATGATGCCCATTGTAATGGGAAGATGCCAGCAGAGCAGGTATTGATTGGTTCATGCTGATTTTTAGAAAATAAACAACTGAAACATAGATGCAGGCTTAAAGGATAAAGTGCACCTTGTGCTGTGTACCGGTGTGTCTGTACCATCAACACAAAATCTTATAGTCAATGACGGCTGTAACCACATGCTTTTTGTTGTTGTTGTTAATGTTTGCTGATAGTAAAAACGTTTCAATTTCAGGCATGCAGAGGTACTCTCTGGCACTCCCGAGAAGCTTCATGCAGAGGCGGGCCATGGCAACCATACTTAGCACGAATGACGTTGCTCCAGTGACTGTGTCAAAGATCAAAAAGGTGCTGAAGGACAACGCAGTTGGATTTGACGAAGGATACACCTGTTTAAAGATCACGTGCCCCATCTGTCAGCACGATCCTTCTATCGCTGAGGTTCACAAGAGTTTGTCTCCAACAGCGTTTATCAATGTCAGAACAGGTACGGTGTGGCCTGCTTGTATTGACGACCAATAGCCTCGGTGCTCGCAGAAACACTTTCGCTGTGTCGCATTTACTGTGCGTCGAATGTTATTCTTCCTGTGTTATGTTGTGAGGTGTTTTTTGGTGTTCTGGGCTCCTTTGAGTGATCTGATGTCTGTGCAGAACTACAAGAACAGGGTGTAAAAAAGCAAAACATTCCTAATTAGTGTAAGTGGGGATAAAGGCTTATGGCCCAGGTGCTGCTGGACATTGAACACACCAGCGACTATCCCGCCTTGAAAGCTCACTTTAAAAGTGTGCTCGAAACACTCAAATAATTGACCGTATTAGTAGGCAGTTAGTGACAACTTTTTTTTGAAAATATATTTATAGTGTACTCACGACTGGAAAAGTTGACATTGACTGGTGGTATCATGACGTTACTAAGAAATTCCTTGGCCAAGAGAGCGATTTGGTGCACAAATTAGTATTCTGACATGACAAGGTAATTTTCTTCTACTTTGTATGTCTTTGTGCCGTGTTGCCTTGCAGATTCCTTTCCCAGAAGAATTTCAAGAAAACAAAATCTGCTAACATTGAAACTGTTTTAACCTAACGACACTTTTTGCATTGATGCCTATCATCATCATCAGCCTGACTACGTCCACTGCAGGACAAAGGCCTCTCCCATGTTCCGCCAGTTAACCCGGTCCTGTGCTTGCTGCTTCCAATTTATACCCGCAAACTTCTTAATCTCATCTGCCCACCTAACCTTCTGTCTCCCCCTAACCCGCTTCCCTTCTCTGGGAATCCAGTCAGTTACCCTTAATGACCAGCGGTTATCCTGTCTACGCGCTACATGCCCTGCCCATGTCCATTTCTTCTTCTTGATTTCAGCTATGATATCCTTAACCCCCGTTTGTTCCCTAATCCACTCTGCTCTCATCTTGTCTCTTAAGGTTACACCTACCAATTTTCTTTCCATTGCTCGCTGCGTCGTCCTCAATTTAAGCTGAACCCTCTTTGTAAGTCTCCAGGTTTCTGCTCCGTAGCTAAGTACCGGCAAGATACAGCTGTTATATACCTTCCTCTTGAGGGATAGTGGCAATCTACCTGTCATAATTTGAGAGTGCTTGCCGAATGTGCTCCACCCCATTCTTATTCTTCTAGTTACTTCAATCTCGTGGTTCGGCTCTGCGGTTATTACCTGCCCTAAGTAGACATAGTCTTTTACAACTTCAAGTGCACTATTACCTATCTCGAAGAGCTGCTCTTTGCCGAGGTTGTTGTACATTACTTTCGTTTTCTGCAGATTAATTTTAAGACCCACTTTTCTGCTCTCCTTGTCTAACTCCGTAATCATGAGTTGCAATTCGTCCCCCGAGCTACTCAGCAATGCAATGTCATCGGCGAAGCGCAGGTTACTAAGGTATTCTCCATTGACTCTTATTCCTAACTGTTCCCATTCTAGGCTTCTGAAAACCTCCTGTAAGCACGCGGTAAATAGCATTGGGTAACTAGCCACCCTGTTTACGAGGTGTCTCCTGACGGGAAGAGTACCAGAGTCTTGGAAGAACGCTAACATCATCTTAATACATAAGAAAGGAGATGACAAGGACTTGAAGAATTACAGGCCGATCAGCTTGCTCTCTGTAGTATACAAGCTATTTACAAAGGTAATTGCTAACAGAGTAAAGAAAACATTAGAATTCAATCAACCAAAGGAACAAGCAGGATTTCGAACAGGCTACTCAACAATTGACCACATTCATACTATCAATCAGGTAATAGAGAAATGCTCAGAGTATAACCAACCACTATACATAGCCTTCATAGATTACGAGAAGGCGTTTGATTCAGTAGAAATATCAGCCGTCATGCAAACACTGCGGAATCAGGGCGTAGATGAAGTATATATAAACATTCTGGAAGAAATCTACAGGGGATCAACTGCTACCATAGTGCTTCATAGAGAAAGCAACAGAATACCAATCAAGAAGGGTGTAAGGCAGGGGGACACAATTTCCCCAATGCTATTTACCGCGTGATGCCTATACTCATTGGCTAATGTACTTACTAATTACTAAAGGCCTAAATGGATTTGTTTTTTGTTCCTACAATTTCTCACTTTAGGCCTCTTCACATGCTATAATTGCCATGTAGTGACCAGTTGGCGGAATCTTCAGGACTGCTTTGCAATTGAGAAAACTCCAGAGCTCAGGTTAGTATGATTGTTACAACTTTGTTGCCTTTGCCTAAGAGGTAGCCTTGTGTGAATATTGATTTTCTAGTCCGAAGCAAAAGCTAATTATTATTAAAAACTCCACGCGTCTCCACAAAGTGAAATATGAGGAGTAGACAAAGCTGTGGGTATCATCTCAGTGAGTAACCGCATGTTACCCTAGGGTTGTCACATAATGTGTATATAGAAAGGTAAATTTATTTTGCCTTCCGGCCGACTTAGGCGATTCGAGGAGGATTTAGAAAATTGCTGGAGTGGAAGATATGCCTCCAACATGAATCCAACGACCTGTCATCTTACCGGTGACAAGATAACATTTTCATATAGGTAATTTGTCGGAACATATAGTGCCTGACATGTGCCTTTGTGTTAAAGGTTTGAGAAGCCTCAACGTCTAGGCACATTTTAGTAGAGGTCAACACATCAATATTCTTCTAGATAAATTATGCTCGCTGGGAACAGTGAACCCTTTTATTATGATTAGCCTATGTCTACGTTGAAGTGTATTGTAAAACCTTTTTTTTTTTTTGTGTGTGTCTCACATATGTTTTAACTATGGCAGTGGTTATATACCGTGACCACAATGGAAGACTAGGAGTTTCGCCCCTAAAACTTAAAGGCGAACTTGATTAGTTGTAAAATTTGAATGCTATGGCAAAGGGGAAGTAATGAGCAGTAAAACACATTAATTTTTAAAATTTGCCATGCTTTGGCCCGCATGAGCCCGTAATACAAGCTTTTAAACTTTTTATAAAGATTCGGTCGGCGTGCAGGTAACATGCAGGCCTAACTATGAAGTGTGGCTACGTGGTAGTGTGGTTTTTTTCCCGACTAGATGGTTGTACAGCAAAGTGATGCCACACTGACAGTAAACGGGCATTTTCAAGTGGGTAAATGCATAAATATGTGTCCATTTGTTGTGAATGGTTGAAAATTTGGCTAATATTGATTTGTGCCAAAGTGAATTCGAACAGTTTACTATTTGTTCGAATAATTCAAGTGCTCAAATATTCCTGTAGGCATGCTGTGAAGTCAGGTTCACAAACATATTAACCTGGTTTATACATTATCCGAGGAAAGTCTAATCTGCAACTCCCTGGAAAACCGTAAAATTCAGCCCTGCTTGCCGTTTCCTAAGGAAGCGCATTAATAAATGCAGATGCTATAAAGCTGACTCTTGATATTGTGTATTGCGGCGAATGAAGAAAGGTGAATTGGTACTGCACTTGTACTACAAAGGCTGATGACAGTAAGTAGCGACGTCGTACACAACGGCGCAACTGTTCGTGGAATCTACTTCTTTGATTATATGCCATCCGCAGTGTTCATTCATAGAGTTGTCTAATGTGTGCTCTCCCCTGTTAGTCTCGGCTGTGTTTTTTCATTGTTTTTTTTTAATATGTAGTCTTATCTAGTCATTTGTGTAGTTATTCTTTCTTGTTTAGATTTTTATTACCTTCTGTTACTATTATTAATTTTGATCTTTGGTAGATGTGTAGTTAGTCTCTGCTGTGTTTTTTCATTGTTTTTTTAAATATGTAGTCATATCTAGTCATTTGTGTAGTTATTCTTTCTTGTTTTGATTTTTATTACCTTCTGTTACTATTATTAGTTTTAATCTTTGGTAGATGTGTAGTTAGTCTCTGCTGTGTTTTCTTCATTGTTCTTTTAATATGTAGTCCTATCTAGTCATTTGTGTAGTTATTCTTTCTTGTTTTGATTTTTATTCCTTCTGTTACTATTATTAATTTTGATCTTTAGTAGATGTGTACACATGCAGTAACAAATCTGTATCCTTTTGAACCCACACCTGTAAGATCCTATTAAGGCTTACAGTATGAATAAATAAAATAAAATAAAAAGAGAATCTGGCAGCGTTTCTCTTCTCCTCTTCCTCTAACTCATCCACGCTTCCCTTTCCCACCCCTTCCAGCTGCGTGAAGCTATGCGAGGCTCAGCGCTGCATTGCGAAGCTAAGTGCAGCTTGGCGAGGTGTTTTTACTAGGCTTTTGCGAGTTGTGAATTTTAGGTTCGAAGTGAATAGTGATTTTGATCGAATAATTTCGAATCAAATTTTAATCGTATGTATGACATAGAAAAAAAAGAAATATTTATCATGAGTTAATTAACCTGCACAATATTTTTTAAAAATTGAAATAGGGGCTTTATGCAAATACCATTTTTTTTTCATTCCTTGAGCACCTCTTTTTTTGCTTCTAGTACGCGGCTTTTCAGTGCGATCGCGCACGTACTCGTGGACAAGCGGCGGCCTCCCGCTGCGGCCTCAGTAACTACGAGCGCGCCATGCCCAAATCAGCCAATGGCTGTGACCAGAGCCGTATATTCCTTTTTGGCTGCGACAAGCGATTTCTGAGCTTGTAGTGTCATTTGCCGAGGGAAGAAAGCAATTTTTAGCTTTGAAAATTTATAGTGAATTACAGGCCGCGTGCTGCACTATATTTGCCTCGCGTGTTCTCGGCAGCGTTTTCTGGCCATGTTCAGCAAGTGTTAAGGGCCCCTTTAAATTTGAAGGGGGGGGCTTTGCGGCAAAGCGAATTTTCTTTGAATAGGTGCTTTCACGGTTTTGCATTTCTTCAGTGCAGTGAAACCACCTTTACAGGCGGTGGCATGTGGACTAATGTATCTATTCGTTCATTGCGAATACTTTGAAAATATTCGATAATTTAAATTCGAATCGAGGTGTATTCGAATAATGAACTATTGGTTTGAATATTCGCACAAGCCTAGTTTTTACATCGCGCCATAGCTTTTTCTGACAGACTAAACAGCTCCGCTGTTAAAAAAGAGGGGCTAGGTCTGGTTGGTTTAAATTAGGTTATACAGCGTGCATTTACTTGAAGCTTTGTGCAAGAGCTGTAGTTTACCTAAAAATAAAAGGAACAATGTCTGTGCAGAAATGGCATGATGAGTTCCAGCTGAATATACACGAGTGTCACAAATATAAATAATGTAAGACTGACTGAATACAATAAAAAAGAAGGAAGCGACAGATCTTTGGTGTCAAGTCTTAATGCAGTTTAATGGAGCCCGCTCACTGTGCTCTGTCCAGGGAACGGCTAGCAGCCGACTGCCATGCCTTTCCTAACGAGCAAGAAGCGAGGGATCTGCAGTCTCTGTACGAGTCTTCCACACGGTTAGCAGACACAGAGTCGTCACTGCTGCAACAGATAATTAGCAGGTTTGGCCTACAGGTATGTACCGTTGGCTGTTCTTTTTTCTGCTGTGCCATACGCGTTTAGTTCTGTTTGCTTGCCTGGATCTATAAAAACAGTGGTTATGCAATAAAGAATGCATGCCAAGTCACAGCATGAATTGGGGCGTACTATTATGTATTGGTCTTAAAGGTGGATCTTAAAATTAATCTGTAGAAAACGAAAGTAATGTACAACAACCTCGGAAGCGAGTAGCGCTTCGAGATAGGTAATAGTCCACTTCAAGTTGTAAAAGAGTATGTCTACTTAGGGCAGGTAATAACCGCGGAGCCGAACCACAAGATTGAAGTAACTAGAAGAATAAAAATGGGGTGGAGCACATTTGGCAAGCACCCTTAAATTATGACAGGTAGATTGCCACTATCCCTCAAGAGGAAGGTATATAACAGCTGTATCTTGCCAGTACTTAGCTACGGAGCAGAAACCTGGAGACTTACAAAGAGGGTTCAGCTTAAATTGAGGACGACGCAGCGAGCAATGGAAAGAAAAATAGTGTAACCTTAAGAGACAAGAAGAGAGCAGAGTGGATTAGAGAACAAACGGGGGTTAAGGATATCGTAGTTGAAATCAAGAAGAGGAAATGGACATGGGCCGGGCATGTAGCGCGTAGACAGGATAACCGCTAGTCATTAAGGGTAACTGACTGGATTCCCAGGGAAGGCAAGCGGGTTAGGGGGAGATAGAAGGTTAGGTGGGCAGATGAGATTAAGAAGTTTGCGGGTATAAATTGGCAGCAGCAAGCACAGGACCGAGTTAACTGGCGGAACATGGGAGAGGCCTTTGTCATGGAGTGGACGTAGTCAGGCTGATGATGATGATGATAATTATGTATGGGGCCTTACTTTTCTGGCAGTATTTTTTGTGTGCTCTTAATATGCCTGTGCTCCTCTGGTATTGTCGATATCTGCTGCAATATATATGAGGGTCTGCTTTGGTGATGAGGTGTGTATTGGAGAGCTGCTAGTGCACTTTGTACACTAGCACATTTTATGATGTATATCAAGAGTAACTGCTAAGCATAGCATGAGGCCCACCTGTGCATTGCAATGCACAGGATTGCAAGAAGCTATGACCGTCTCCACTGTTCTCTCTTAAACCCATTCGGTTCTTCGTACGCACCGATGCACACACACCGAAATGTCGAAGACACATAGTTTAAGCGTCGAACCTGTGTAACTGGCACCTTTACGACACAGGCTTGATCGCCTTGCTGGATGTATGTATTCTTGATAATATGGCTTGGTAACTGCGGTCAGTAGTAGTTGTAATAGTAATAATAAAAACAAAACTGTTTTTGTTGTTTAATGTCAGAATTAAGAGCTGTGTTTGCATTGTGGTTTATTACAGAGGATACACCCGGTAACGATGAGTGCAATGGACAGTCCGCCTGTCTGAAGACAAGTCCAGTATACTGTTCCCCATTTACGGACCAACGAAAAAGCTGGTAGCACTGAAGTCCATAGAAATGACGGAGGAGCTTGAAGCAACAAACATTTTCCCCAGGTAATAATTGCAGCTTGTTACATCTAACCCTTTCGATGATGTGCCTTTTTTTTTGCTTGCCATAATTTAATTGATGGCCTCATTGCTATCATAATTGAATGCTTATTTAGCAATAAAGGTTGTCAGTCTGAGAGAGTGTGAGTAGGCTGTCGCAGCTTGTTTTCCAAGCTGTTGGTTCATAATGGGGGGGGGGGGGGGGGGCTTCAGGTAAAGCAGGATGCAAGCTGTCGTGGCATTTTCTGATTCTTTGTGGGGGAAGAAGGTTTCGTGGAAGTAAGCCACTGTGGCAGGACCACTGAGGATAAAGGGTCATCCCTCGGGGAGGGGGGGGGGGGCACATGTTCAAGCTATGCGGCCGCAAAGACCTGCAAGTGGAAACTACCGTATTTACTCGCATAGTCCTTGCACTTTTTTTTGCAGAAAACCGAGGAAAAGTTGGGGAGTGCAAGAATTATGCGGTAAAAATTTTCTGTGAAAAAAACAAAAAACTTACAGAGCGAAGAAAGAAAAAAGTGGTTCGTAAAGCAGTATTTTCATGCCAAAAACTAACAAGCTTTGAGAAGTACTAATATAGACTTAACAGTAAAACCACAGCTGTTTTACTTCACACTAAAACCACAAGTTCGACACAAGGCTAGATTTATTTGAGACGCCAGAGCTGCAAGCAAACAGTAGAGTAGAGAAATATCGTATTTAAAGCTTGCGGGTGTAGCGTTAGCGTTGGCCACTCAACAAGAGCCCACGAAAGGTTAACACACGACGTCAACCTTGGGCTGATGGCCATCTAACACAGAATTGTCTGCAGTTGCCTTCTGACAAAATAAAGTTTTACCATCCATCAAGGCACACAGAAGGCCCAACGCCTTTTGGTGGCTTTCAGCTGCTCGAGCTGTCATCGCCAGTAGCATACGTGCCAAGTCTCCCGGATTTTCTGGGAGACTCCTGGATAACAACTGTTCTTACGTTAGTACAGTTAGCTGGAAAATCTTCTGGAAATCGAAATTACTGTGTGCGATATCGCTGCATTGCGAGAAACTCGATCCAGGTTTCTTGTGAAACTGCTGGACTATCTCATTATAATTTAAATTAATTAGGAGGTGTTGATGTAAACCTACAGGAGAATGTCGGTTATACGAATTTGCCAAATTCCCTAGCAGAGTTCCACTGTGTCCAATGAGCCAAAATTCAAATGTTCTAAACACTCGGCGCATCGCACAGTGGTGATACGAACTTCGGTTGGAAGCTTCAGAAGGACGCTCGAGGCCAACGAAACCACCACGATCATGTACGATGACGACCAAACTGACTGAACTCCGAAAAGTTCATGCGCATTCAACGCTCACCCAGTCAAAGTGGCGCTTCTTTTCGTAAACACTGTGGACAAAACTGGGACAGATGCTATGATAACAGATAGCAACAAGCGACTCATTTTGAAAGGCACGTGCACGGCTAGTGCACATTGATTAAAAACAGAACTACCGTTTGCTGCCATCACCGTGAATGAAACGGCAGTCACTGCAACACAATCATTTATAGCGACTACGAGCTCCCAAGTTACGCGGCTAATGCAGCGGTAGATTGAAGACGATAAAGGCGTAAAAAAAAAAAAAAACACGATGCGTTCGGTGTCCATGTCACTGTTCGCTTATGACTTCTGTGGAGTGGACTTTAGCACTAGCAAAGCTTTGACGTACGCTTCTGCGGCAGCCAGCTGTACCTTACCTTATTGGTTTGTTCACGTGTGCCCCGCAGAAGGGTACCTGAATTCTTTTTGACGGAAAGAAATGTTGTAGGGCATATTTCGTGGTTTGGAAATGGTTTTGGCTAGGGGTTTTTTTTTACTTTACTATTTTAGACTCCACCTGCATTGTTTATCAGGTGTTATAAGATCACAACGCCAATGTTCACACTTTTGAGCTGATTCATACTCCAGCCCCCCCCCCCCCCCCCAACCCCTTTGCCACATTGTTTTTTTTTCCCGGTGAAAAGAAAAAAGGTGGATAGAAAAAGTGTATTTTTCCGCCCACCCACCTCTGGGTCATTGCAGATATTTCGTGGATTCAGAATCCTTGAACATGGCCGGTATGCAGTAGTGAACACATTATTCATTGACTCCGAAGTGCCTACCGGTGGCGCTGTTGCCATCGTTTAGTGCGTGATCAATCACTTTCAACTTGAGAGCAGCTGTGTTACTTCCGTATCGCCTTCTGGCATAACCACAGAACGAACACACATGCTGCAATCTGCACTCGTCACTTTGGCTTGAATTGGATTAGATCGGGGCTCGTGCATTGATAGCACGCATGATGCTTACAGCCTGGCATCATCTTTTGATGGAACAAGGCTGTTGTGTGCTATTATCATGAGTGGTTAGAAGCAGCAGACGGCATTTTTGCTGCAATTTTAGGCAGTGTGATGATTACTCTTGGAAAACAAAAATCATATTTTTGCGCTGCACAATGTGGGGGGGGGGGGGGGGCACGAAAAATTACTACACAAGTAAATATTGTATGTCTCGCGCATGCATATTGGATAGCACCAATTGTGTTTGAGGTTTCAGGTGCGTTTCTCTCCCTCTGAGCTAGCTTTTCAGTAGTCCCCATATATGCCTGAACATCCCATTCTTCTATCCTAACAGGCCGGCAGTTGTGGGCCTGTTTGGTTGGCACAGGATCAAGAGGGGCCACCAGGAGCTCATTCTGACTGCATCCGAGAAAGATGCCCTGGCTGTTGTACAGGAGACCAATCTTCCGGTAGCATCTCTTCTATCAGGAACTTCAAACCTGCCTCTAGAGTTTGTTACAAGCCTGCCTTGTTTCTTTTTTTTTATTATTTTACTTGCGCAGTAACCAACATGTTGTCAAACGAGTAATTTTAAGTTTCAAAGCTTCAATCGGTTTCACTCCAGGACATGATTACTAGCAAAAAAGGGGACGGGGAGGAGAAGAAATAACAGACTGTGTTTTTACACCCAGTAATCATGTGCCCTTAAGGTCGATACCAACTAGCCCAACTTTTTAGTTAGTGCATAGAACAACAGCGCAAAAGACAGAACCAATGAGGAATGACACATATGGCACTGTCTTCCCTGGTCGCGTTTTTTGCACTGTTGTTCAAGCACCATAGATTTCAGCCAACTTGCTTTGTCTCCCATGCTACTTCGTTAGTTAGTAACAAATTAGCAGAAGCAAATAGATGAACCGGATGATGTCTGCAGCTTCGCTTGTGACCAGAGCACTAATATCAAGGGACTACTAAATGTTGCTGGAAAACTCAATTCCTGCAATAACTTGAGATTACTATGTTGCACTACGGTGAACCTGATCCCTAAAGGTGATGTGGTCTCTGATCAGTAGTGTTAGTCAGAATTGTGTCAGTGTCACATGATTTCCACAAGATGAGAGACTTGCTCTATTCAGCACTAAATTGATACATCCCATTCTGTGAGTTCCGAACGTAAGCTCGCTAGCTCCGGGTTTATGCAGATGAGCTTGAGGCCGTTTGGTTAGATTGCCAACTGCAGCAGCTGTATTCAAGGGTGGGATAAGTGTATGTCCAAATTAATTTGCGGCACTCTACATGGGTGCTAGTATCTTTAAAGGAATTTTTCTGTTGCTTTTATATTTTTAACGTCTTCACTCAGTTGATCAAATGATCAATTGAATGCATTCACGCTCTCTTGGAAACATGAAAAGGCCGGCGCACCCACCATTGTAACTTGTTTCATGCTCCCTGTTTCGGTAATTTTTTTCAGGTGCTTCCATTGTTTGAGCAATTTGACAAGATCACCCTTTGGTTTGGAAACCGTCTCCAAGACTGGGAATCCGTGAAGGTCTTTGCAAGGAAGCTTTCCGAGAAGAGGTGCTATTACGTCAGGTGGGCACTTATGTTGCACATTTTTTCTAGCTTGCAACGTTATTGGACTCCCTTCAAATGATTGATTGATTTGACAGTCACGAAACCGAGTGCGAGTGGCACAAGTGATTTAACGGATATCTCTTAAACGGAATTGCTGCTTAATTGGAACGACTACCTGTAGTATGATTGCTTTCTGTTTGAATTCTGTGCCTTTGTTAGTCTATCAGTAAATTACACTCCTGTTGAACAGGACATGTTTTTTTGGTCCCCTGAAGCTTCGTTCAATGATGGTCTACAGTATAGCGACCTTCCTTATTTATGTCTTGTAGTATTTACGTTGGGCATCTGTGAGATGAACTGTCCTTTAAAAACTGCCTTGCACACAGTGTGAATTGGTTCTCACAAGCATGTCGTGCCATCTTGGTTGCAGGCCTAAGGAAGGTTACCCGCTGGCAGCACTGCAGGCAAAGCCACAGAGTCGGCTTCCAGATGTGCTGAAGCGGTGTCAGCCAGTCAGCCACCGAGCCATCACAACGTTCCACAGCCTGCGAGCTGCGGTAGCAGACCTCCTACAAAACGTGGACACATTCATGGGCGTACCCTGGCAGAGGTTGGTCACGCAATTGCCAAATGCTGCTTGGGATGGAAGAAGGCCTAGATGGGTATTTTAGACTGTTTTATACCACTAGCTTGTCTGCACGTAAATTTAGCTTACGAGGCGTGATCCGTGACATACTTTTGATACAGCATACCCTGTGTTTTTTGTCTTTCTTAATGACAGGGAAGCTTAGCTAGCCTTGGCAAGCAGTTTGAATGTTTTTTGTGACAAATTTGCACAGATCTGAGGGTTATTGGGTGAATATTTTCAAAAAATAAACCAGTTGTTAGATTGTACCTGTTTGTGTATCTATTCAGTGTCGCCATGTGCCTGCGCAATTATTTGAAGATGGATTTGTTCCAGCAAGGTCGAGCAGCAGTTTTTCTTAGCAAGCAAGTAGTAGTTAGTAGGCTTGTGCGAATATTCGAGCACTTTGAATATTTGAATGAATATTACAGTATTCAGATTTGATTTGATTCCAATTCGAATTGTTGGAAATTTTGAAGTATTTGAAATAAACAAATCCGCATGCAACTTTTCTGTAAAGGTGGTTTCACTGCAATTAAGGAGTGCTGTACTATGAATATGTCTATCAAGGGGAAACCCGCATTAGTTCAAAGCTGCATTTTAACGTTTTACGAGCGTATTACCCTCATATAGAATGATCATCCTTTGTTATGCCGGCTTATATCCTCTAAGTAATAAGACCGCCAAAGTAACGAGAGGTCAGCGGAGGCATGAAAAAGGGTATTTTTTTTCAATGTTTCAGAACATGGCACTTCGCACCCGTCCACATTTGTGTGTTGCACTTTGTTCACGGAATACGTATCTGCTCAGTGTCATCACTCACTTTGAACTTTTTTGGATCAAGACTGATTGTTGTAAGCTGATTTTGTCACAAAATCTGCAACACGCTGCTCCAAGTCAAAGTGGTGGCCGAGAATGAAAAAGGCCCAAAGAAACCTTTCAGCCATGTTTGCACCTGGAAAGAAGCTCTTGCTAAGGCTGCCACTTGCAGACGGTCATGTCACTCATGTAGAGGCTTCGGGAAGCAGCCGATTTCTTCAGCCATCAAAACAGCACACCCCTTTGAATGGTCGTCATACAAAGCATGCCATTTTCCAATGCAAAGGGAGCCTAAGCGTAGTGGAAACAACTAAGGGCAACCAAAGCCACAGAGACCACCACACATGTCAATACAAAAACTGGATGTGCACAATGTAGTGAAAAAGAAACAAACAGAATGGTTGTTGGCTAGTAGTGGATTTAAATGGCTTTAAGCTGGTGCATATTTCTAATGTAAATCGTGAGATGGCCAAAACAATAGGCGTTCGGTATTGGGTGCATCATTTCACTTTTTAGACAACTTTAATTTTGCTATTCCATTGTAACATAAGGGTCCACTTCAGGTAGGAAAAATTTGAAAAAAAAATTCGTGTTACATATAAGTGAATATGGTGAATTGACTGGTGAAAATATGGTGAAAAGGATGCCGCTTTCCTCTTTTAGTGCAGGCATAATTTTGTGTGAAAATCCACTTGAAAATTATAATGAAGTCACAAGACGTAGACAGCACGTCTTGATTTGTGTGCGTGTTTGAATTTGAGTTGTACTATTCATGCTTTATGTTTTGTATGTTATTGGCATACAAATTTGTGGGTTTGTTTTTAGCAGAACAGACTCCAAGCCATTTGCTAGAGCTTGCTTGTCTCAGAACAAAACAAAAAAAAGGCATGATTAATACCGTGCCCTGATTTTCTTCTTCAGGTTTCCTGGGCTCGTGCGCCTACTCAAAGGTTTTCGGACGGGTGAGCTAACAGTATTTACAGGACCTACCGGTTCGGGCAAGACCACATTTATGTGCGAGTACTCTTTGGACCTTTGCATGCAAGGGGTACGTGTAACCAGTTTCTTTGTTTTTGTTGTTATTACAGTTTCTTTTTAATATGAATCGGTAGCACCTAATACTTCTTTGAATAGAAGGTGACTGCGAGATTTTGAGAAATTTCACCAGTAAATAAATAGTCATCCAAGTCTCATAAGTACGATGTCTTGTTTCTTTTGCTCTGTAAATGTGCTGCAATACAATACAGAATAACCCTCTGCACATTCTCGTCTTTGAATTCCTTTGATGCATTGTTTTTAAGAATGTGGCTGCTAAAATTATGCTCTATTGGTGTATTCTAATGTAGTCCGGATTTTTTTTATTTGATCGTTAAATATTGAACTCTCAGTGAACATGCAAACAGCGCTTACAGTTGATTAATGCAAACATGGCAAATGTATTTAATTGTGCTTCCCTTCATCTTGTGCAGGTCAACACTCTCTGGGGAAGCTTTGAAATTCAGAATGAAAAGCTAGGCCAAAATTATGCTAACCCAGTTTGCCAAGTGAGTGTACCCAAGTGAATAGCACAGAGTTTCATTGAAATTCTATTGCAGGAGGTAACCAATTGTGGGCAAGTTGTTTTTGTCGATATCACTTGTTTTTGTCTACATCGATTGAATGTGTGAAGTGAATTTTAATGAGACTACATGTGTAGACTGAAAATGAAGAAGGCCTTATGAGGCATTTATTTATGTTGACTTGTTTTCCTTTCCCATTGCATCTTTTATAGTTGTAATTATAATTGGTAATTAAGGATGCTTATGTCATTTGCAACTTTTCATATTTTGTCATTATCATTTTATAATGTTTGGCATTAACTAGTAAATATCTCTATAAAGAGAAATTTCGTAATTGCAATAAGAGTAAACATGCATTATCATTGGCAATTAAGGATGCTTATGTCACTTATCACCTTCCACATATTGTCATTATCTTTTTTATAATTTTGGGCGTTGACTAGTACTTGTTTCTATAACGAAAATTTTATGAGTATGACAGGAGTAAACATGCATTAGGTAATACACACTATTATTCGCTCCTGGGCGATTTTTTGCTATTTCGAACTTGCAGTTGGAACAGCCTGTACTAAACAGAAATGTTGAATTTTTGTCGATGCAGTGTGAGGAATCGCATGCAAAAAGTTGCGACTCCCCAATCCTTTTCAGAATGTCGCTGGAGAACAATATGGAGGAATTCGACTCGTGGGCCGACAAATTTGAGCTTCTACCTCTGTACTTCATGACTTTTCACGGGGAAGAGTCTATGAAAAATGTTATGGATGTAAGGCTTACTTCTTCTTTCTATCTTCTTTCTATTGCTCTTGTGTGAAACATCGATTTTCGAGACACAGCCTCGCAGTAATTGTAACTCACTGGTTTCATTACACTTTGTTGTTAACTGTAGTACAGTTGAACCCCTTTATAGGAGACGTGCACTGGGCAGCAGATACTTGTCCCTTATAATTATGGAGGTGTCTTTTATAAGTAGAGCATCACATATGCACCTTCTTATGAACCCCTGTTTTAATGTTGGCCCGATTGGCCTGTTACATCAGCGTCTTTTATAAATGGGTTCAACTGTAGTTCATTGCTGGATGAAGGGCAGCTATGCTAAAAGCTACACTTTTTTACCCAGAGGTCAGCAGATTACACTAAAAAGGATGGAAGGAAGAGGAAGTGTTTTGGGAGGGCTTATGAATATTTACCGTGGCAGTATTAGCTCGCTTCTCTAATATTTGCAGCGTCTTTTCTAACAAGTCACTCCAGTCTTTGTGAGGTTATTGCACTTGAGTTTACTATGCAGGAGGGATTAGTAGGGGTGTTACATAATGGTGGAAGTGAATTGGCCCTGTTTAGAGGGTGTTATTCATGGATTGACGAGCCTAGCTTTACCAATAAAAAACAACGGAACTGGGAGGAAATCGTGGCAGTAAGTGTAACAAGAAGCGTAAAAGATGGAGATTAGGCACAGAAGGAACTTAAAATGCAGAAAGTTGTTTATAATGTTTACTTATAATGCAGAAAGTTGTGTAATAATGTTTATAACACTTGAAATATTGCTGAATTACCGTAATCAGAGGAGCAGGTTTGTCATTTGATAACTTGTGCTGGTAGTTTAGTGAATGTCGGCAATCAGCAGTTTTATTTCAAGGAATCGGTGAACTCTAGTTGGTCATATTGAAATATTGTCACGACGTCAAAACAGAGGTTTGGCAGCAGAGACAGAGGTCTGGCAGCAGAAGCAGGTAGGTCTTTTTTAATAGAACGCACAAGCGAGTTTTTCTTTTTCGTCCATTTTATAGTTCTACATGGCATATGCACAACTGCCATCATCTTTCTTGAGCAAGCACGTGACAATATATGTGCCTTTGAAGTTCAGCTGTTGTTTTATGCTCTCGTTTTTAGGCTATGGCCCACGCTGTGTATGTGCACGACATTCAGCATGTGGTGGTAGACAATGTGCAGTTCATGATGGGTGTTGGCATGGACAACTCCAACGTTGATCGTTTTTGGAGGCAGGACCTCTTGATTGCCTCTTTTCGGCGATTTGCCACCCAGCACAACTGTCACGTGACACTGGTCATGCATCCACGTAAGGTAAGTTCTTTAAAGGGACACTAAAGGCAACTATTAAGGCGACATTGATTGTTGAAATGGCGGCCCAGAAACCTCGTAGTGTTACTTTTGTGGCAAGGAAGGGCCTATCTTGAAATAAATTCACGTTTTAGTGATCCACATTGGGTTTGCGCATTTCAAATTACCCGCTTCATGAAGTGGACCGACTAGACCGACTCGCGTCACTATTGCCATGCACAACGTTGCCCGGCTTTACTGTGCTAGTAGCAGCAGACTGAAAGCAGCGGGAGCCACAGCAGCAAGCAACAGCCATTGATCAATTCCCGCCATTGACTTCGAGATTGCACACTTTTGTTTCAGATGATGCCCCGCTAGATGGCACCACGTTTTCGAGTAACCTACGCAAAAATTGAATTTTTAAACCACTAACGTCATTTCTCATGATAACGTCCGGCGGTTCTTTTTTCCATGAATCAAACAGAAATGAACAAGCAGCATTTTATTGCGTATCTCGATGCACAGAAGGTTCTTTATTTAGTGCAGTTAGATCGATTACTAGTGATTGATTGTAGGCGGTCCGTCTGATGTCATAGGGATCATATTGAAAATGTCCTTCTACGGCAGTTTGTGTTGTTGCGCATTACCTTGATTTCTCGGCAAGTAGGGCCCTGTTGTTCATAATATTGTCGTTTTAGATGTTGTCATACATTGAGCTTTCACTCTGACATAAATTGTTATTTGACTTAAGTGTCCCTTTAAGTGTCGAGCGGTGACAGTTGTTAGTACGTGCTCACCCTCTGTATGCTAATTTAGAGCGTTCTTTCTGCTTGAGGTGTGCTCTGCAAATATCTAGATGCCTGTCGTTTCTTACCTGACTTTGTAATTTGTTCTTGTTGCTGAAAAAATGCAGTGCACCATAAACGCTCAACTATCTTCGTAAAGACGGGTTTCACTTTCATGTTATACCGATTTCTATTGAGAGGGATCAGCCACGTTTATTTCGAGTGTGTTGATGCAAACACTTCTGTTCGAAACTAGGTTGAGCAGAGCGTGCCTTTCAATCTCGATGCGATTAATCCAGTGCCTGCTTTGGCTTTGGCACATAGCCGAGAAAAAAAATCGCAGCGTATCCACGAGGTGAATGATCATGAGTGGGGCGAAATGTGTGGACAGATGGATGTACAGACAGAAGGACGGACGAACAAATGGATGCACACACGGCCGCACGGAAGCATGGATGGACGCTTCGTCCCACTCATCATCATTCACTTCGTGGATATGCTTTGGCACCGTTTTTATTGACATCCAATGCAATGCAACTGGTTATTACGACGACTTGGGACATACGACCCACGGCGTAAGGAGCTTTGCCCCTAAAAAACACGTATGTTTATGAGCAGGCCGAAACAATATTTAAAATGCAGCATTTGGTGTTGCTTTTATATAAGCAATAAGAAAGGCACCTTATCTCGCAAAGTACACTGTTCTTTGTCAGAACGAAGTTTTTTCGACCAATGTTGTGCAGTCACTGCTGCTTGCGCAAGCCATCCCGTTTACCTTGGGGTATCATAAAAGCGCGTAACCATTTTCACTGTCGCTGTTGCAGTCATAGGCAAAACAGCACACTAAACCCCCGCACGAAGCACAGAAAACAAAGCACGTGTTACGTTTGTGACGCAGAGCGTCGGCGAAAAATGGCGCGAGCAAAAAAGAAAAGCACGAGCAAAGTGCAAGATCCACACGTCTCTAAAGACAACGGCAATGGAGACCAATCAACGTGCAGAAAAAGTGTCGGAGACCGGGAGGTCGCGAAGGGGGGGACGAGGAGGGAGAGAGGAGGGTGAGGGCGCGGCGGCAAGTACAGTGAATGGCGGTACTTTCTCAAGATCAAAGGGGCTTTAGTCGCGGCCTTCCGCGGCGGCCCCAGTAACGACGAAGCTGCCATGCTCAAACAAGCTAATGGCAGATAGAATTTTTTAGCTCGTGGTGTCATTTTTCGGGAGAAGAGAGCAAGTTTCAGCTGACTTTGAGAATGTATTCAGAATTGCAGGCCGCGTGCTGTGCTATAATATTTGGCTCGCGTGTTGTCGGGAGCCTCTACTACTGATCAGCAGTGTTTTCTGACCACGCTCAAAAAGTGTAGCAGGGCCCCTTTAAATAAAGGGGGGCTTTGCGGCAGAAGGCAATTCTTTTGATAAGGTGCTTTCACGGTTGAGCACCTCTACACTGCAGTGAAACCACCTTTACAAGAGGTTACATGCAAATTTTCAATGATTTGAACTCGAATCGAAGCAAATTCCAATACTTTACTATTCGTTTGAATATTTGCACAAGCCTAGTCGTAACAGCGACACTGTCTTCATTAAACTGTATTCGAACGATGCTCTCACTTACTCAACAAGACAAATTGGTTCTACCCGGCTCAACTTTTTCTTTCATTGAGGTGTATTGTAACTACCCGAACCACACTTTTCTATGAATGTGATGTACACCCAATTTTTGTTGGCTCAGTTTAAGAGATTAGGATGTTCTTAAGTGTAATGTACTTCCAATTTAAAAAAATGAAAAACATTGTAGTTTGCCCTCATGTTAGGTATAAATAAAAGAATGAAATGTGACGGACTTACTTTCACACAAGGTTTAATGAGCATTCATTGTTTGATAGTCGCACTTTGTTGAGCACTCATACCATACACATTGGGGCAATATTATCAAACAGTTATTTTGCTAGCTTAACATTTCGCGACACCTTTTCTGATGCTGCATTGAGTCTGTCTAAATATGCGCATTCACAGCATTCCTGGCTCTGTGCCCAGATCGGAAACATGACGAAAGTGCCAGAAACGCAGGAAGCTGTGTATGCTGATGTGTCCGTTGCTAAGTTGTGCGAAATTTTGTGGAAGTGACAGCACCTCTGATGTGACTGACTGACAACATCGCTGAAGATCACAAAATGTACTCTGTTGCCACCCTTCAACGGCGATTTGTCTGCCTCTCACAGTCAGCGGTTGCCAACACCACGAATATGGTTGTGGTTATGCATTTAATTATGATGCACAAGGAACTTTCAGACCAAAACCTAGGAAAAAAAAAAAAGCATGTGCACTAAGGCAAATATGGTAGCTTGTAATGTCTTTTGCATTGTCAAAATTGTCAATAAACTTCTAGCTAGCATGAGAAGCTATCTCTGAGAGCAGGGCAATGTAACTACTCTAGGAAAAAGACTCCGAGGAGCTCAGCACCAGTTCGATCTTCGGCGGGGCCAAGGCAAGCCAAGAGGCCGACAATGTGCTCATTCTCCAGGACCGGAGACTCGCATCTCCGCATGGACGCAAGCATTTGCAGGTGATCGTCTCTATGTGTCCGCATAAATGAGGTGTATTGATCCATCATTGTCACCAACCTAACTTTTGGGTTAATAATACTTGCGACATATAACTGGCTGCAAAGTGAGCTTCAAAGAAGACTGAAGTTCCAGAAAAGGCATGAGCCGTGAAGTGATGATAAGCTCAACAAGGACAACTGCTGGAGCTTACATTTCAATAAAGGGATTTTGTCAGGGCAGCTGTAACGATAAATACTGAAGTCCCCTTGTTGATACGCTGAATTAATTGTCATTCTCACAGCTACAATGTAGGCAGTGCTTTGCCTCGAGATTTCTGCAGTAGTCGCCTTTGCGATTTACATGTTTACTTCACATCCATAGCTGCAACTCTGGCTTTTTCAATCTTATACTCCAAAATACATGCATAAAACAGTCACCTATTTTGAAAGCGGATGTTAAAAAGATTCTTAGGTTCGTGTGAATTGTGAATTTCAGGTTCGAACTGAATAGTGATCATGATCGAATAATTTCACATCGAATTCGAATACTATACAGTTAAACCCCTTTATAATAGGCAGGCCCTGGGCAGCAATTCTTGTCTTTTATATGAGATGTCTGTTATGAGCAGGCTACTTCGTATGCTTTTTCTTATCAACCCGTATTTTACTCAAGGCACCCTGATGTCTCTTATACTCATGTGTCTCTTATATCAGTGTCTCTTATAAAGGGGTTCGACTGTATATTGCATATCACAAAAGAAGGGCATATTTGTCATGACCTAACAAATCTGCACATTATTTTTTAAAAATTGAAACAAGGCCCATGCAAATGTCTCTCTCTCTTTCTTTTTTTCAAAGAAAGTAGGAACTTTGAATAGTAGCAGGATTTCATTTTTGGTGAAATACAAGTGATGACCTGTAAAATATGTTACATTTTAAAATTTACTATACTTCGAGCATGTAAGCCTGTATAACATCCTATTAAACTTAAAAAAATAGTAATGAATTGATATTAGGGTAGTGAGTTAATTTAACCTTGAAGCTAGGCTTTGTGAGAGTCTGATTTCTTATGAGTAGGTGTTTTCATGGTTTAGCACTCGTTTACTGCTGTGAAACGACACTTATGGGGGTAACATGCAGATTGATATACATCTATTTGTTGATCGCGAATACTTTGAAATTTTCAATTATTTAAATTCGAATCAAAGCAAATTAAAATGCTGTAATACTCGTTCGAAGCATTCGAATATCCGCACAAGCCTAGAGATGTTCCTTGGACATGTGGAGGTGCACCTGCGACTTACTCATACATTTATATCTGATGTACTCGGTGATTGAATGAAGCAAAAAAAAAGCTTCAAGAATCGAAGGCAAACATTTGGCAGATATCTGCCTGGTTGGGGCAGCAGAAAGTAGAGTAATAATTAAAAAAACTTCAAACAAGGTAAAATGTCCGACATTCTGAAGCCTGACAGGCTTCTGCAGGGGTGAGAAAACCCGAGGCCATAACGCACAGATGCCAAGAGCCTTTGTTTTAAGTAAACGTCTCTGTTTGTGGCTGTCTGACATTTTTGTTTTGGTACTTCTCTTACTGGTAACACAATCCTGCACGCCATTTTTTCCTGTTAAAAACTATTTCTTTATATCTGAAGTTATAAAATTTCACTGGGTTCTTTACAGACTAGGAGTATCACTAAAAATAATCTCTTTAAATCTGAAGTTATGAAATTTCACTGGATTTTTTACAGACTGCGAATTTCACTGATGGCGTATCCAGTTGGGCGTTTACGAGCACTCTGAAATGTGGCTCCACGTTCAGTTGGTAGAATTCGAGCGCTCGGACTACATTGGTTGGTTCTTTCGGAGCGTCGGCTTTCAACTCGGAGCGCTTCCGACCGCTCTGACTTCGAAGTGAGAGTGTGGCACGATCTGACCGGGAGGACGGATCACGTGACACAAGCCGGCAAATCGCGTGGCTGCTGGCAGGTGAACCAGGTGAACAGCGCCAACAGCGCGAGTGCGCATTTCGGAACGGGCATCATTGAGCGCATAATACTTATTGCACGGGCGTCGTCGTGTTTCTGAGCATGTGTGTGGCGAGCTTTCATCTACGAAGCCATAAATGGGCCATGTCAATGAGGAGGCGGCTAGTGAAGGTGGAGGAAACGTCAATGCTATCGTTACAGCTGCTCTCAGACAGCAACTTGATTTGCCTCGAAAATTGCAGCTCGTACGATGACGTTTGCCAGATGTAAGTGCTGAGCTTGGAAGACTGTTGCTGCGTCCAGACATGTCGGAAAGGTCCGCTGAACTGATTGACATCGTTTCTCGATACGGCACGGGAATGTTTAACTGGCGGCGTCCCGCGCTGGCTGCACGGTGGCACTACAGACGCGCTGCTCGTTAATGTCCCTAGAAATTTAGCTGCTCTGACATCGCTGGTGCATTCAGTTGGTTCGCTGCCTCTCGTGCTCTGATTGCGAGCTGCCTCGGCATCATGCCACTTTGAGCCACAGGACCGGATCGGCCAACTGAATACGCCACGAATATCATGCCAATTTCCGCATTCACTAGGAAAGTGGCACTGTGAGGGCAGTGCTTTGTTTAATTATTTGTGACTGCGCATTTCTGTAATATTTGTCTTCCTGTAAGTCAAACCCACGTCTCATCTTCGTTGGTATTTCAGGTGACCAAAAACAGATTTGACGGAGACATCGGTTCGGTGCCACTTGAATTCAACAAGGAGACGCTCACCTTTTCTGAGAGCACGTCACCATTCAAGAAGCCGACAGAACGAACGCCAAAAAGTGCCTCTTTCCACACCGGTCTTCCACCACCCAGATGAATTTTTCTTGTAGCAGTCGGGTACGTTGCATCGAGCGTTACGGTCGGTCCCTGGAGTTTACGTTTCGTATCTCACCAGTTTTTTTTTCACGGTTTTACCTAAAGGGAAAACTGGGTTGAAATTCGTCATTTCCTTATAATACAGGGTATCAAGACATTGCATTGCTGAGTAACTCAGGGGACGAATTGCAACTCATGATTACGGAGTTAGACAAGGAGAGCAGAAAGGTGGGTCTTAAAATTAATCTGCAGAAAACGAAAGTAATGTACAACAACCTCGGAAAGGAGCAGCGCTTCGAGATGGGTAATAGTGCACTTGAAGTTGTAAAAGACTATGTCTACTTAGGGCAGGTAATAACCACAGAGCCTAACCACGAGATTGAAGTAACTAGAAGAATAAGAATGGGATGGAGCACATTCGGCAAGCACTCTCAAATTATGACAGGTAGATTGCCACTATCCCTCAAGAGGAAGGTATATAACAGCTCTATCTTGCCGGTACATAGCTACGGAGCAGAAACCTGGAGACTTACAAAAAGGGTTCAGCTTAAATTGAGGACGACGCAGCGAGCAATGGAAAGAAAAATGGTAGGTGTAACCTTAAGAGACAAGAAGAGAGCAGAGTGGATTAGGGGACAAACGGGGGTTAAGGATATCATAGTTGAAATAAAGAAGAGGAAATGGACATGGGCCGGGCATGTAGCGCGTAGACAGGATAACCGCTGGTCATTAAGGGTAACTAACTGGATTCCCAGAGAAGGGAAGCGGGTTAGGGGGAGACAGAAGGTTAGGTGGGCAGATGAGATTAAGAAGTTTGCAGGTATAAATTGGCTGCAGCAAGCACAGGACCGGGTTAACTGGCGGAACATGGGAGAGGCCTTTGTCCTGCAGTGGACGTAGTCAGGCTGATGATGATGATGATGATGATGATCAAGAGCTTTTACTTAACAGTAACACAATTTTTTTTAAATGGATTGTGAGGACGTTCTCGGAAATAATACAGTTAAACAGAACGAAAAAAGTGTTTATTGTCGAAGCACTTGTTAGAAGATAGACGCAAAACGTCTGCACTCGTAGTTCTTCCTTCTTTTTTTTTCTCTCGCATATGCACTGTAGGTGAGTGAACTTTATCATTTGGGTGCACATTAAAAAACCCCAAGTTGTCAAAATTTCCGGAGCCATCCACTACGACATCTCTCATAATCATATGGTGGTTTTGGGACGTAAAACCCCACATATCAATCAATCAAATCATCAATAGAGTCAAATTTATCAAGTGACCCTTCACCAGGTTTGAGCATTGCAGACAAACAAGTGCTCCATGCTGATTTCTCGGCGGCAACCGTCTTTGCAAAGTATGAAACGGCTGCATCGCATCATAGCAATTGAAATTTCAAACATAAGGCCTTTGCTTTGGAGGCAACTGAGCTTCAAGAGAGCGGAGCCGCATTCACACATTGCTTACACAACAGACGCTCCGTGGGAAGTCATTGACCGCAATCCGATGCGAAGCACGTAACACTGCGAGTGGTGTGCCTCGAAAAAATATAGAAAGAGACCAAAGAGGTTTCACGCCACACGGTACATTCAGAATGAAGCGAAGGGTCATCTCTGTCAGACACTAGCTTAAGGAAAGGGAAGGGAGCCTGCTTCTGCCAACAGTGGCTCTTCTTTATTGGTGGAATGATAACTTCGCAGTGCAACACCGCCCAATAGTACGTCACAACGTGCGAAATGATCCGCTAAAATGCTCCATAGATGGTACTTTCACAACTTCCAGCATGCTTCCGGAAAGCTGTCAAGTATAAGTACTTAGACAAAGGCAGGAGTACAAGCATAAAGGAATCATCCGTTAAGAAAAAGTTTTAAAGAAATGAGAGAGGCAGGCCTGTGGTAGGGGTGTGCGAATATTTGAAACTTGTGAATAACAAATTTAATAGTCTTCTATTCGATTCGGTGTTCGAATCGAATAGTGCTTATTAGAAGTACCGAATATCTTTGGAATATTTTTAAATAATGGGCCCCGATGAAGAAGCCATTGGGACAGAGAGATATCAGTGCTATGTTGGTTACAGGATGAAGGGTGCTTTTTCTTAAAACTACGGAGTCTCCATTGCGAGCGAGTTATCAATGCACTATCTATCGTCATGACATTCATGATGATGTTGAGTCATGATTCATGAATAGTCTTTAATATTTATATATTTATACATTTTTTTAAAGCTGTTGACTAAGTGCCATCTATGATGTTATAGTCACTCATATGTTATAGTCAGTCTGTAGTTATAAATATTTGTAATGCTTGAGTTGCTGCATGCAAACTTACCTCAGTTTACAATTTTGTGAGAGTGTGTTTTTTTTCTTTTTGTAGGTTACAAGTAATTGTAATATTCCTTTGTTAAAGCATGTGAATATTTGCCTCGAATAAAATGTGGAATTCTCAGGGTGTTTCGAAAATAGTCTCATCACTATTCTAGGGCCGAGTTGAAAATGGCTGCCTCACTGTTTTAAATATTATTCGAATAGCATTGAATTCAGCATCACCCCTGTTCGGTTCATACGTGATTCGGTTTTACAATTCACGATTCGCACACCCCTCCAAAACGGAGATAGGGGCAAAATGGTAGAGGCCTGTGCTCTGTGCGACGTTGCTGCATGGTAAAGAACATCAGATGGTCGAAATTTCTGGAACCCTGCGCTGCGGCATCTCTCATAATCTTATGATAGCTTTAGGACGTAAGATCCCAGATATTATTTATTACAAAATGGGGATGCTTACAAAAATTCACACTAGGAATGTACAGAACTTTCAAGCAGGAAATTGAAAAAAAAAATACCTGCGACAGTTCTTGGGGCAGCTTCCCGTTATTTGAAGCCAGGATGCGAGCATGGTGTACCAAGTACAAAATTGTAGGCAAACTTTGCGGCGAGTGTAGAAAGGGGGAGGAAACAGTTGAGCGTTCTCAGTAAGGGGCTTCACCCTACAGTCCAAGACAATGGGGCTGTTATTTTTCAAAACATTGCGGCTTAGGTAAAGTGAAGCAAGATAATGGTGCCTAAAATCGAGGCAGGAATGAAATTTTTTTCTTTCACTGCTTAGTGTAAGCATTAAAATGCCTAGTTACGGCTAGGTGAAGTGAAGCAAGATAATGGCGGCTAAAATTGAGGCAGGAATGAATTTCTTTCTTTCACTGCATAGTGTTAGCATTAAAATGTCTAGCTGTGGCTAGGTGGTATAAGCCGCTGTCCAATCAAAGGTGTGCAGCACCATCTATTCATCCATCTATCCATTGTGCAAAGAAATTGGCTATGTGGCCTGGTGGGATATTCGTTAAGGGATTTCATTTAGGCAAATGAAGGCTTTATTGATGTAGCTACAGTTCTTTTGGCCCAGCCGCATCATGAAAAAGCCTTGCACTCCCACAGCACCCGTGGGAAAGCCTACATAGGTGATGATACGAAGTTTCCCTTTAGGTAACATGGTGAGAGACAAATCATGTGGTATTTTATCACACACCTGCACTGAAGTAGTATGTTAAAACCTCAATTTAATGATTCCAGATATAACGAAATATCAGTTCTAACGAAGTAAATTGAGAGAAGTCTTGTTTTGCTATGTTTACAATGTTGTTTTGGACATAATAAATTATTTCGCTGGAAGATGCAACTTTGTTATAATGAGGTTTGAGTGTAGTCATTATGTTGGTACATTTATGTTGCACAGGTCAGTGTTGCTGCAGAAAAATCTAATTTATAAACAAGGAAATGGACTTTTCCACTTTGTAGATATGAATGTTTAAGATTGTGTTTGAGCAATTGCTCTACTTCATCTTTGTGAAGCCACTACTAATAAATCAAGTTTTCTTATGCAGTGAAGAAACATAAGCCAGTGTTTTGTCATATTTTTCTCTTTAATTTACATATCTAAAATTAAAGTACAGTAAATTCAGACAGATGTAGCCTCAATTCATTTTAGAACTGCTTGTGAATCGTGAGCTGCATTGTACGCGTGCCTGTCGTGCTCACCCGCAAAGTTTTGACAAGCACCACATTGCCTTTTTGCTTACGCTCACAAAATGCATGGCGATAGTGTTCCTTCCCACTGTGCATCCTTCTTTGCTGATGCTGTGCACAACACACAACACAACACACCAAGCCAAGTGTCACAAGGTGGTAGCACATTTGGAAGTGCAGTGAGGAGGCTTGGCAATAAACAGCACGTGAACACATAGTCTTCCAATAGCCGCTGTGCACAAACAAGCGATGCTTCAAGGCCACTGCATCATTTACACCGGTTTACTGGCACAAACACTTGGTTCAGGCTGCAATCCTTAGAAGACCATCTGCGATTGCAAGCGGTGTATCGTCTGTCGATCTGCTCTATCAATACCAGCGATGTCCAGTCCGCACAATGTGGCGAAAGTTCTTCCCGACAACTCAGCTGAGCAAGTCGTCCATTTCACTTTTGGACAAGGGCTTGACGGGCGTGGCGTAGGAGGGAGTGGAATTCTGCACCGGTGGTTGCACACTGACAAAGTTGCCGAAGTTGTTTGTTGGTGGTGGTGCCATTTGGCTGAGCGTAGGTCGCGGTGCACCCATCGGAGGCCCCGAGCTCAGACGAGGAAGCAAGTTGTCAAAGGCAGACGTGTTTATTTGTTGTTGCTGCTGCTGCGGCTGTCTATTCAGCGGCTGCGGTGGCATCACGAACCGCGTGGGCATTGCCATCGGTGACGCAGCTGCCTGTTGGGTGCCCTGGAACGCCCACTGAGGCATTGTCGGAGACATTCCGGACGAGGAATAGTCACCGCAGGTGAGGATGCGTAGTTGGGAGACGATCCGAAGCCGGGCGAACCGCCGAAGGGGTTGGATCCCGTTGGGCTCCGGATGTTCAGGGAGGCCAGGTTGGAGTTGATCAGCGTGGACGTCAAGTCTTTTGGCTCGTGCGCTGGCCGTGTAGGAGCGGGTTTGGCCGGGATCAGTGAAGGCTGCGTCTGTATGCGTTGCTGGAACTCTTGCTCGCGGGCCAGCCTCTGCTTTTCCTCCATTGAAAGGGACTGTTGCTGAAATATAGAAGGCAGACCATAAGAATGTGTGAACAGAATTGCAGAAGAATGTGCAAAGTAAGTTCATCCACTTAACAAGTCCTGTCTGTGGTCAATTACACCTCAAAAGGAACCAGCGCATACCTGCATCCAAATATTTGGCTGTCTTAGTGTGTGCATCCATGTTTACTTGTCACAGATGCAGTAGCAACTAGTGCGTTTTGTTTCCTCATAACTATCTCTTCCCTCCTCCCAAAGGATTATCAGGCATTGTGCCCCTCCAGGTGGCAGTTGCCAGCTTGCTCTCTCCCCTCTTTTCTCTGTGTCCTTGTGTATATGTGTATGCAGATCAAATTATTATAATATGTAAATGCTTGCACGTCTCTGGCTGCATTGCACCAGGCTGCCTAGACTTCCTCTCAAGTGAGTCACCTTTTGTAGCAGGCGACAGACATTCTAAATGCGAAGCATTTCTTAGCAAACTTCGGCGACTTTGAGCGTATCTATCTATCTATCTAGCCGCCTATGACTTTTAGCTCTCCTGGCCGTTTCGATAATTGTATCAATACAAAACTTGGTATGGCATAACACGAGTGTATGAAGAACATATTTGACTAGTCATGACATGAAAATCATGATATGTATGTCGTGAATGTCATGATTTACATTTGATGGTCATGCAGCTCTTGCGGTGGTTTCATTCACATGGCATGTTGCAAAACTGGTATGATATGACATGATTGCATGGAGAACACAAACGACAGACCCTAACATGAAAATCATGACATGCGTGTCACGTAACAACATGACTACATGCCACGCTCATTCTGCGCTCGCGGCCGTTTCGCTAGTGTCACATATACCAAATATGGTATTACGGTACGTGAATGGTTGACGAAGGTATGTGACTGGTGCAAACATGATAATAAATGCATGTCATGTAACAACATCACTTCATGTCATGCTCATGATGCGCTGGCGGCCGTTTCGCTAGCTTCCCTGATACCAAATTTAGTATTACGGGACGTGAATAGACGACGAAGGTATGATACTGGTGCCAACATGATAAACATGAGATGCGTGTCATGTAACAACATGATTACATGCTACGGTCACGATGAGCTCGCAGCAGTTTCGCTAGCTTCACATGTACCAAACTCTGTATTACGCAACTCGAACGGATGACATAGGTAAGTGACACATCCAAACATGATAATCACGACACGCGTGTCATGTAACAACATGAATACATACCACACTCATGATGCGCTCGCGGCCATTTTGCTAGCTTCAAGTATGCCAAATTTGGTATTACGTGACGTCAATGGATGACGAAGGTATGTGACTGGTGCAAACATGATAATCATGAGCTGCGTGTCATGTGAGCACATGGCTACATGCCACAGTCAAGGCGCAAATACATTTCGACGGGATGCGATGCACGTGCTAACCGGCGTTGTCATGCCAGGCACCGGTCCTTTCATATACTTGCAGGCACGTGCCATACTGTGTTGCTTTGACGCATGCGTGTTTCAGCGCGTACGACGTCCCTCCGTCACGAAAAGAGGGAGACGCAGTGTTGTCTGGGTAATGCATCGGCGCGAATTTCGCGCCGGTTGCTGTCGGGCCCCGGGCCGCGCCTACAGACGCTGGTCGAGTCGATTGCGCCTGGCGTCAGGCGGCCACGTAGCGTCGCTGTGCCCAGCGTGCACGTGTGTCAACACTATATTGGAGTATATAATTCGGCCCTTCATGATGCACTTGCGGCCGTTTTGCTAGCTCCACGTATACCAAATTTGTTGTTATGCGACGTCAATGGATGACGAAATATATGACTGTTGCAAACATGATAATACTGGCACGCGTGTCATGTAAGAACATGACAACATACCACGCTGATAGCGTGCTCGTGGCCGTTTCGCTAGCTCCACATATACTAAATTTGGTATCACGAGACATAAATAGATGACGAAAGTAAACGACACATCCAAATATGATAATCATGACATGGATGTCATGTACGGCATCATTTACCTCCACCTCGTAATGTTGTGCCAATTTGAAAGTGACATATCAACCTTTCTTATTCGTGCTTCGCATATAATCAATTCCCACTGTACGTGGCATCAGCCAATTTTTTTGGTGCCGAAAGTCCCCAAAAAAGGCTTTCGTATTTAAAAACGCCAGGCTTACGCGGAAGGTGCAGCACAGTCACAGCGAAAGCTGGAAGAGCGGCCTTTCAGAGCTTCAGAGCATTGAGCATTTTCAAAACATCCATTGGGTAATTACTGCAAGCACATTTGCTTGATAACCACTAGGGCATTAATAATAAACCTTTAGGTAGTAGGCCGGCATTCACTATGCTCTTTTTCGTCTGTCTTCTGAGAAGCGTGGTATCCGCTAAACACTTGCAAGGAATTTTTTTATTTTTCAAGAATATGAACTTGGACTCAATTCACGACATTACTAATGCAAGTTTTACAGCTTCATTAGAAGTTGAAAAAATATTAATGAGGTGTTAGAGAGGGCAGCTCCAACCACAAACAATGCACATGAGCAGCTGCACAATGATCTTGTGGCAAAGAAGGACACCATACGCCTGAGGACTGCTTGCTTAAAACAATAGACATTCCTAAATACTAAACCCTAAAATTATACATAGCCAGAACCACAATAAGCTCATCATACAATGAATGTGCAACGGAGGCCCCTTGCTTCTTGAAGGGTACCTCCTTGGCATCTGCTTGCGAGAGTTTTTTGCAGAAGGCCGCTATAATTACATATGTACACAAAGTTCTTGAGAGGCCAGAGAGGGACATCACTTTGAGCGATGTGCGTGTAACTAAGTTGTGTGGGGTATAAAATGTCAAAAGAACCAATGAGCTGTAAGTAAAGCTGTAAAAATAATCAGGGTTAACAGTGGAAGTGCCTGAGATAGGCTGGCCGACGTTTCGATAGGAGGACCTATCTTTGTCATTCACTACTAACCCCCTTAATACTAACAAGCCAAGGATGACAAGGTGCCTTTGACAAAGATAGGTCCTCCTATCGAAACATCGGCCAGCCTGTCTGAGGCACTTCCACTGTTCACCCTCATTATCCCACTACGTGTTTCCATCTGTCGGCTCCTATCTTGATTTTTAAGCTGTAAAAATGTAACATGGCAAAGGCAAAGGCATGATGCATGTAAACGCTTAGCAATTGTTTGATGCTTCTTGGACCACATTACCTTCAGGGCTTGCAATTAGCCGATACAGGGTGCACCAGTGAAATATGACAAGAGCTTAAAAATGAGCCAATGTACCTTATAGCAAGGCAACCAAGCGCACATTGCAAAGTATTGCATGGAATAAAGTCACAATATTTCTAGTTTTGTTGAATTTCTTAATTAGGAAACATAAATAACTTTTAAACAGGGTTCGTGCAGGTTTCCAAGAGAAAAATTCAAGGAATTTTCAAGGACCTTTCAAAAAATTTAGGAAGCACGATTATAGTTGACGGTAAAGTTCATTGTGCAAAATAAAGGATTTTCAGTTCACTTATTGCATAGTTCCACTAGACTAGAAGTTCTGAAGCTTGGGGCAGGTCGGTCTTTCAGTATTTTTTTCCCATTTGCATCTTAATGATATCAAGTGAATTAGTCTTCACCTTCACAGTTTTTCACAAATTGTTGGACTGAGCTAGGCTAGCGGCTGAAGCTAGTGAGAGTGTGCTATATTGTTTTTTTAGTAGTTTTCTGAGGGATACCACTGAAAGCGAAGCCAAAAGAAAACTTTTCAAACACTGATAGTAGTCTACTGCAACAATTGCATTCGCACAAGTTTTCTTTTTTTCCGGAGAGCTCAACATGTTGCAGCCTCATTGTGGCCATCAGCTTACGGCTTCTAGCCAACCAAAGTCATAGCAAGCGCGCATGCCTCGATCTCGCCTGTCTAATACAGACCGTTCGACCGTTCCCGATTTCGAAATCGCCGGATCATAAAACCCTATAAGCAATGAAAATTGAATTGCTTATCCGTGAATTGCTAGTCACAATCAGACCCTGTGAAAATTCCCATTGTTCAGGAGTTCTTAAGGAGTCGAACAAAATTTCAGGACATTCAAGGCTTCGAAAACAAAATTTTTCAATTTCGAAGGTTTTCCAGGATTTCAAGGACCTGTGTGCGCCCTGTTTAAAGCAACAAAGCTAGGAAAGGTTACAATTGGAAAGTTGTAGATCAGTAAACAAAACATCCAGTTAGACAGTTTCCAACCTTCCATTTAGTAATTATTAGTATTAGTGTATTGCTGCTTGCTGCAAGTACCCGTGAAATACAAAAAAAAAGTGGGCGACAGCCACATCTGCCCACTGTAATTGCAGTGCTCTGTAACGTTCCACATACAAACGTCACGCTTCTCTTGCGGCGGTTCATGACAGCAGTAAGCAGACAAAGTGGCTATCGCTTGTGCTGCCACAAGCAACACGTTCATAATCGCGCAGCCACCACCATCATCCCTGCCCTGTTGCCTTTAAGCAACTGTACGTGGCTGAATATTACTATGGCCAATTGGCCATAGGTGGAAAACAAGCCAAGGAGGTGGAAAAACAGTAATAGTTGATAAACAAAGTTAGAAACTGCCCGATCTGACGTTTAACAAACCGATTTACCAATTTCTTATTTGAATTTCTTGCCCAGCTATGCTGCTTTAGAAGTTGGCTAACTAATGTTGCCTATTAACCAGAGCATAAAAAATAGCGAGACATACAACATGCGATAGTCAGCATTTGGTCATTGTGTCATAAATTGTGTTGGCATATTTTTCAAACATAGCTAGAGTTAGATGGTGTGCTCTGTGTACATTTTCAGGGATATATATGCACCGTATTTACTCGTGTATTGAACCCACTCGCACATTAAACCTACCCTCACTTTGGTCCTGGGAAAAAAAAACTTTTTAAAATTTATCTGTTCATTCTATTTGAATATGATAGCCAGTGAAATTGACCATTGAAACAACATTAAATGAAGCCATTATATCACAAAATAACAACGCAGTCAGTCAAAACATAGTTTTGCAACCATGCTAAACAGTTGCGAGCAGTACGAGTGCGAACGACGTTAATCAAAATTTTAAAGTCGCGCCTTTTGTGCCAGAGCGTCATATGGCAAATGGAGGAGAAACCTTTATGCTGATAGCTCCACGCAAGCGCAGCGGCACAGAAACAAAGCACGTGGCCTCCGAAATGGTGGGTGCGCGGCATAGAAACACGCCGTGCGCACGCCATCCCGGAGACCATGCAAAGCGCAACCGCGACGATGGTGCGTCGTGCACCCCCAAAGTCTACCGCAACGTTTGTGTGCCGCCATCCGACTCTGCGTTTTCGTTCTCAGGTTTGTCATAGTAAACTTTTTTGAGACACCTGCTGCACTGGGCGCGTTCGGCCGGTACTCTAGCTACACGGCGAGTTATGAACAGCGTGCGCTGTAGCATGGGAACTGAGCGGCTGGGCAACACATTGGGGTCGATTCGTGCGCTTTCATTACGGGAGGAAACAGAAAGAGCTTCTGGCTACAAAAAAGATTTGTCACGCATTTCTCTTGCCAAAACAAGCAAAGCTGTCACACGAAAGTTTCGCTGTTATAAATCCCGTGACTTTTTTTTCTTCCGCGTAATGAACCCTTCCTCCAAATTGGTGTCAAACTTTCTGAAAAAAAAAAAAAAAAAGGTAGGTTCATTACGCAAGTAAATACGGTATATATACCAGATGAGTACCAACAATATAACCAAATCATTTACATTGCGCTGTCAATCAATGTCTTAGGAAAATGCAGCCATGCAACTTGCAAGTGTCTTTTTTCGGGTCACTGAGTAACAAAAGTTACTGGCAGCACTTACCTTAAGTTTCTGTGTTGGTGACTTACTAGCATTGGCATTTGGAGAAGGTGCTGAGAAGTTGGAAATTCCCAGGTCATCGTAGACGTTACTCGTCTAAGAAAAAGGAAGCAGACCCATTAACATATTATTTCAAAACTACGAATTGTGCTGCATCATCTTGCCAGATCTGTCACAACCTCCTCCTTTTATCCGTGTAACATATAGTAACAAACACACACTTTTTTTACATACCGTAGAGTTTGCTTTGTTTGACAGTGTGAGACCAGGAACAATTTCGTTGGGATTAGTCATTTCCATTGCAGCACTGTCAAGAAAAAAAAAAAAAAAAGGAGGATTATATTCAAGTTTGCCAAACACCCCCTGACACACAGGCAAATAAATATTCTTCAAAGAAAGCATCTAAAGTGACTATAATGTCGCTGTCTTCTCCCTGTCCTGACATCAAAAAATCAATGTCTTTTGTGAGCATTTAACAATACATCTAAATGTAAGCGTAATTAGGGTTATATAGCAAACAAATCAAACTTCAGTTCTTGGTTCCTAAAAACAACCTTATGAGTCTACGAGTCTGCTCCATCGAACAACATTTTATTAAAAGAAATTGCAGGTAAAAATGCATTTATACAGTACTAATTAACCACCCAGTTATTTCTCAGAATTTTTAATTGAATTCACTGCACTATACACTTAAACCTCTATATAATGAACCTAGATATGAAATATCCGTTATAACAAACTAAATTAAGAATAGTCTTGCAATACAGTGTTAGGAATACATCTTTATATTAAAACTAGGTTATAATGAAGCTATTTTCGTGTAAGATGCAACTGTGCTATAATGAGGTTTGAGAGTACACGTGTTGTATAATCATATGCCGTGTCGTTTCACGCGTGTAGTTTTACGCAATCAGTCGCAGCTGCTTTAGGGTGAGACAAACCTCTGCTCCTGCTTGATAGAGTTGAGCTGCTCCAGCTTGGCCCTGTGCTCCGTCTCGACAGCAGCAATCATCTCCTTGACCACGCCCATGATGGCTTGGAACTGGTTGAGCGTCAGCCCATTCTCGATGGTCAGAGGCATGAGGAACGGGATGACCTTGCATGCCATCACGTCCTTGGTGAGACCCAGCTTCTTGTGGCTCATGGCCAGCTTGTAGATGCCTGCAAAGTGGCCGGCCGACATTTCTTCTGTTCCGAATTTCCAGGGCACTGTGCGAGGCCTCTTGAACTCAAGTGGAACAAATGTTGTAGTGCGCAGCAGTACAGTCATATTAAGGAGGCTTTTCTTATCCATACCTACCATACAGTAAGAGAGACAGCCGATTCATACGAACGAAGTAACATGCCAAGTAACACGTCGCAGCATTGAAAAAGGTCGACTGACTATGCGAGCGTGTTAAGAGAGTGGCAATGCTCAATGCTGGAACAAGCCCAAGTTTGTGGCATTTGTGGTGATGGGGGTGCTTTCTGTGGCAGATTTGATCTTGAATTTTTATTGGCTAGTAGGCAACACATAGAAGCACATACACTCAAACCTTGATGGATATAACGAAATATCGGTTATAACGAAGTAAATCAAAAATAGCCTCACAATAGATTTAGTGTTAAGAATAAACCTTTATAACAAATTTTCGGATATAGGGAACTTATTTTTATGTAAGATGCAAGTTTGTTATAATGAGGTTTACGTGTATATCTCAGTCAAAGTCGCAATGAACAGCGCTGGGAACATTAACCATGTGTATAACTGCATTAAAAACCACGGTATGGCTTTAACTGTGTGCCGCAATGCCACAAGTACAATAAAATATGCGAGTTTTCCATCCGTGCAAATATGTATGCTGTTTCAGTGGCCCTAAATCTGAAAGAGGTTGTACGATGTACAATGCTGCATCATTAAACATTTTTCTCGGGAAACAAAATTCCTGCCCAGTAAAACACATTTGCTGGGTCCCTTCAGGTACCATTTAATTAGGCTACACAGAACACAAAGGGAAAGACCGACCGAGTATTCCCATGAGGACAGCAGGCTCTTTTGACCGTATTTCAGGTAGCACGGGGAGGATTTCATCCAGGACCAACCACTTGTCCAGGTGCTCAAGCAGCTTTCCCAGACACACCAGACAGTTGACGCGCACCTAAATTGAGGGAAAGATGGCACAACTGCTTGAAGATCTTTTGTTTTGCAGCCAATTTAACTTGCTAGCCTAGACATGTCAGCAACTGCATGGACCAGTAATACGGGCTGTGAAATACGCTACTCTCTTGTGCCCGTCTTGTGTTCACCGTGACATCGCATCTGGCTGCACTATTTATTATACGTTAGTGTTCCACTCAAACCCCGATATAACGAACCCAGATATAACAAATTATTTGTTATAACAAAGTAAATAGACAATAGCTCTGCCATAGATACAGTGCTACAAATATATGTTTATAACAAATATTTGGATTAACAAAGTATTTTCGTGGCAGGTGGGACTTCGTTATATTGAGGTTTGAGTGTATTAAAGGGACACCAAAACAAAATACCAGATCTATTTAGACTGATCTAGTCCAAGGCAACTCTAGTGTTAAAAGGCCACTCAACAGGCCCCATAACCAATTTTAGACCGTGGAAGTGGTTGGGTGTCCAATGAGGAACATTTTGCCACAAAATGTTTTTTAATCGGTTCATTACGAGCCGAGAAAACTGTTTTTTTGAAGCGGTGCAAAACGAGGATGAGAGGAGGCGAGCTCCAAACCCTCGCCGCCACTCTGCGTAGCCTTCGCAAGCCAAATCTCTTCCTTGCTCTCTCCAGCATCCGACCAAGAAGTCACGTTCGCATGACGTGTCCGAACAAGTCCAACCCCCGAGCACGCGAGCATATATTTTTTTTTTTTTGACCGACATTTTTTGTAAGTCTACTGCCTGTTTCTGAGAGATGGTTTAGAAACGCTGGCTTAGACCCGGTAGAATAGACAGAGAAGGCGCTGGAATAGATGAGCACCTTGAGTGCACGGACACGTAGGAGCGTTCCAGAGCTGTCGTTTGCTCGATGCACTGACCACGGAACTGCGGGGACACGGACGCATGCGAAACGCCGGCTCATTAGCCCCGCATCTCGGTGCAATTTGTGGGGGAAAAAAAAGAAAAAAAAAAAGAATGCTCACATTCCTTTATTGCATGTCATTATTTATCTAGAGATTTATTAATCTCTTCCAGCAACAAATTCATAAACTATGCATGTCATGTTAATTAATTTTCACCATGTCACGTGCCACTGTTGGCAACGTTAGAGCACAGTCGTCTACGTAGAAGATTAACGTCACTGCATTGCCTTGTACGTAGGGCCGTTTATACGTGCATGTCATGCCCTCATTCTCTGGGCGCGCACCCGCAAAAGGAAGGGAGAGCAGCGTTCATCTTGAAATTTGACCCATTTCCGCGGCGTGTAGCGGTGCCGATTTAGGCAGACGTGATCATGATTATCTCATCTACGCATTGCGCTTGTCAGCTCAAAATTTCAAACCTGGTGGGTGGCCCTTTGAAGGGGGGACGTAGCAAAAGAATGGTAAATTCGGTCAGAACATTCAATTTTTCATTTTTCTTTCGATCTTCAGATTATCTAATCATGGTGATAGAACAAAGTAAGCAGTAGACGTTAAGAAAAAAGTACTTGTGTGTTGTCATGAAAAACTAAAAAAAAGTGGGTTTTAGAAAAGACCTTTCCTAGGGCACCATTTTAACATCACCATAAGAAGCAGAGATTGGAGATCAATGTAGCCACAATGCTGCATTTTTTCAATGAAAAATAAAACCAGCTCTCTTCTAAGTTCCAATTTCTTAACTTTGAGCTCTATTTTCTTAAGCTTCACTTTCTAAGTGTTCTTTTTTTTTTTTATGCAGTTGCTGTCAGTCATCTCTGCACCATTTTACTACTGATAAAAATATACCAATTCTGTTTTTTTTTAATTAGATCCTGAAACAGTTATGATTGCCATAAAGCTGCTCATACCTCTGTACACATCATACATACAGGTTTTTATACTTAGCTTTTCGTAAAAGCTGTTGGTAAGATAACATGTAGTGATTTCAAAAAAAATTTTGTGTGCTTGTTTGAATATTAAAAATAAACCAATAGCTTTATGGCATAGAATGGTGATCATGCTTGAGTGAAAATTCTGACAACTCATCTCAAAATCAATTAACCTTGCAACAATAACGAGCCTCTATCAAGTTTTGTAACTCGGAAACTAAGACATACAGCTCAATTGCCAAAATCAACTTCAACTATGATATCAGCATAACAAATCAGGTCTGCTTGCCACCTTTCTTCACTTTATTCTCATGAATAACAAAAATGGTTCTCTTTGAAATGCACTATTGTGGGTTCACTGTTTAAAAAGAGAATTAAGGTAAAATTTTCACTTTTTGAACAAACACCAGCAAACTATAGGTGCAAGATAGATGAACAGACAAGTACAAGGCAGGCGATGGGCTGGTACTTCGTGAATACACAGTAGCTTTATGGATACAAGTATTTACAGCTGCCCAACACACAAGTATTATTTTACACACTGCTCAGTAATGGTCGTGGAGCTTCACATTGGAGGTTGAAGCATGGAACATTCTTGAGAATTTCAATATTGTAAAGCTTAATGTGGGAAATGTAGCTACTATTGGTAATAAAATGAATTTTAGTACTGCTTACTAAATCTACTCTACAATTAATAAAAAAGAAAGAACCACTCAATTTTCGCAGCGCTTTTTTTTTGGCATAAGTGTCAGTTGACTTTGCGTGTGTGGTGGTGCACTTATGGCAGTCATGTCTGCAGCCTGATATTAGCAAACAGTAGCTAGTGTCTCTGGCTGCGAGCCAGGCATAGTGACCCGAGATGATGCATGCTGCGAGTTGCATCAAATTCAAAGCAGCCTTCTCACCGACAGGAAACTGGTCTGAAGGCACAGTCTCTTAATCCTTGGCAGCAGGGCATTCTTCATTGACGGGTAGTCTACTAGGTGTGCAAAGTCCGGGATGATGTTCAGGCAGAGTTCCTGAAAAAGGTGGCAAAGGAAGGACGAAGGGAAGAGTTGACCACTAATTTTGGTGACTCATTTACAAAAGAGCTGAAAGATGCACACATAAGCAAACTGCAAATGCCGGGCAAGCAGTGCCCATCAGACCTTTGAGATCGAGGGCAGAAAAGAACCACTCACCATAAGGAACTCAACATAAACATTTCTGTGAGCAGCTGGTATCAAATGTTGAATCATGTTATTGCCAGAAGATACTAAGTGCTCTAGTTTTATGCTATATACTAGTGTGGCAGTCCCAATATTTAAGAAGTTGGTAATATTTCAATGAAACCTTTAATATGAATTCTGAATGTACTATGGTGTAGGTTGGTAGAACCCACATGACAATACTACATGCAGTGCCTATATTTTTGGCAATCATAATCATTCCACAGCGACTCCTGGATCTGAGACATGCCTAGCCGAGCGTTTTGCTTTTAAGAGTTGTACTTTTATGATTGTACTGCATTTCAATTGTCAAAAAAATTTAGGGACTCTTAAGCTTCGCCTGTAAGAGTTGAACGTGACAGCAATATTTTGTTCCTAGTGCGTACTTCGAAGACTTGTGTGACATCTTTCCGAACTTGCTATGCACCCACTACGTGGCTTTGATGGTGCAGTAGCGTGTGTGCCTTTTGTAGTGGGCGACTGGCTTTAAGCTATGAAATGATTACGATAATCCCATGTTTTGACACCCCATGGCAATGCACGCTTGTACCACTCATTGTTACGGCAATGCTTTATGTTGTATTGTGAAGCATCTATACAGGGCGCGTGTGTTTGTAAAGCACAAAAGTAACTTTCACTGCATTTGCAAGCAGAGGAAGTCATTTTTGCTCTATTTACAAGCAGAGGCATGGCTGTGTGGTAGAACATCTGCTTGCCACGCATAGAACCCAAGTTCGTTCCCCATTGGCTCACAGGATTTTTTTATTTGCATCTTTCTCGATTTTTCGGTAACGCAATGACGATGATTTTCCGTTCACAACCAACGACGCCGACCTCAACATTTCTGCGAAACGAACTAACGCTATCACGCTAAAATAAAGTCCTTTCTCTGTCTTATACCTACCTGGATTTGCTGGGCATCTGATTCGAGTGAACCATATATCATCGGCAGAATGTGGTTCTTGATGTCATCGGGAGGGCACTTCGTCAAGAGGAGCTCCATTTTTTGCATGAAGATCAATAATACCTGAAATAAAACACATTTTTCACGTATAACGTCCCCTATCAACAATTCTGCCAATAGCGGTAAAAATGCAGCTTACTTTTCGCTGAAAGAGAAATAAAACACAATGATACGTTCAATTCATTAGTTACATTTGCAATTTCTTTTTTTATTATGCAGATGCTCATTCGATTAGACTCGAGCACATTTTTTTACACATTAGCACAAGAAAACAGTGATACTGCAATTACTTTAAAAGTTGTAGCTTCAACAATGAAAGACAGATTGCGTGGTTCAATTAACAGCTGTAATAGCCTGCTTTCCTGTTTCTTAGTGGTGTGAAAATGAAACAGCGAACTTTGCCTGCGACCAAATTTACAAGTCCACGATAGCATTAAGCACGAAGCTCTGGGAGCTGAGTAAAAATCAACAAAATTATATTATCTAGGATGCAAAGTAACTCCATGTTTTCAGTTAACCAAAGCAACTTAGATATTTTGCCCTACCAATAAGAATATCGTTGCAGGCAACAATTAAGTGCAAGGTAAACTTCAAAATTTCCTAACTCATGGTTATCAAGCACAGTGACACTAGCGTTGTGCTTGATGATATCGTTCAATACTCAGGTGGGTAGTATTTTAGCATGTCACTGCAATAACCTGCAACATCTGAAGTTGTGTTGCAACAATGTTGTAAAATAGATGAAACATTCATAAATATAGTGTGCACTCAAGCCGATGCTTCAACAAGTGAACTTTTCTTCAAGGCTGAAACTGCTTTGGATGTCTCAAGTAAAATGAACGGCAATTATTGTCTGTCTAACCTAGTAAAAATATTAGAGCTCAGAGTGTAATTTCACTAAGATGTAGTACATACCCCTATCATACAATAACATGCCTTATTTGTAAAATAAGAAGAAAAGATTGCGGATGAATGATTTCACATTATTATCATTAATAATAAAACCCAGTTGTGATAACTATCCAGAGCTACATTTTGGCATGACAACTTTACTTAGGCCCTATTTTTCAGGAGTGTGGCACTCTTTTTCTGTTGTGGGGCCGATACTAGAAGCAAGTAATAGATCCCCATAGAGATATGGCCTCGTAGACTGCAGGTTGTATAACCCTCTGAACCATCACCATTTATAACGAGATGACCTCCTTTTAGAGGCGACATTATGTGCAGCTATATGATCTCTGGACATGAGGCAAACGTAGTGAGGTCTCTATAAGGCTACTGTGATCATCTGGATGGATGCAAAGTTTCGCAGCATCATGCACAGCTTCACACAGCTAAAACAGAAAAAGTCCATATGCACTGCCTTCCAGAATACAGCGACGGTTCGACTATGCCGTGAATGCATCGCATACCTGGACAGGTTCCCTCAGCCTAAATATCGGTATCAGGTCCGGCAGGATGACGGAGCAGAACTCCTCCTTGGTTGCCTGCTCGGCAATGAGCAGTACACTTGGTAGCACGAACGGCACCATGTCCGGATTGGCATACTCCTTCACTAGGCACGGCAGGACGCGGTGCAAGGCCACACGCTGGAAATGAGGCCACAACAAAGTGAACACTTTGCTGCTTAAATGCACTTTTATTAAAAATATGTTAACCATAAATCTCTTAGTTTGCCAACTTCATTGTTTAATCTTGCTGTTCTTATGACTTACTCATTTCTGTGCTAGCTAACAGCAGCCCATAGTCTGTTTCCTCTGATTTGCATATTCACATATATGGAACCACGATTATACGACTTTCAGGGGACTACACAAAACTGTCATATAATAAAGAAACTAAGATTATGGGCATCGACACTCAGCCTTGCCTATAAAATAGGTACAGACCCCCTGATTATTCAGGCGGCCTATACCCACGGCACGACTTTTGTACCTCTGCAAGGATGGTAGATTAAATTATTCTTGCCAGTGGCAGCTAATGGCAGCATTACTTAGTTGAAAGATGTGCGAGCAAATATTCATTCTCAACTTTAAAAAAATAGAATCCTATGCACACTTTTCTATCGATAAATATTGCTTGCACATAACCGACAGTTGGGAACAGCCTCTCGTCAGAAGACTCAGACACAGTGTCATTGCCATGACATAGTGGCGACACACCACGAGATTGCGTAAAATGCCTTCGTGCGCAACTGAGCCGTGCGAATTGTAATTCGTTGCCTTGTGAAGTGCAACTAGTGATGTCCTGCTGTTACTATGAACATTCACGCCAAGTGAAACTAATTTTGCACGATAAAACCAGCTGCGTCGCGCCCTTATGCATGCGCGAGCCCATGACTGCGAGCGTGACACAGGCATGAGATCAGCTGTATGTCGACTAAGAAAGGCTTCCATAGATCGAAAACCTGAAAATATCAGCTTTTTGGCCAGCTGAAGCTACTATATGTGGATAGAACGACCCCAGCGATGCATGCGATCGAGGCATATGTAAAGCACATGAATTTCCAGAATAAATTTTACATTCTAAGAAGACATCTGTCTTACTCCTTAGTTTTCCGATTGTCAACCTGGGGGAACGCAAGTTCATATTTAGCACTGCGTCTCATAACCAAGGTGTTTAATACATTATTTTTATGCCGACTCTTCCAGGACCAAACAGATTTGTCGCAAAATGCAGATCATTGCAAACCGGGAAAGGTATAGTCAAAGTTTTACTGTACTCCTCACTAAAGCTCCTGAAATCCATGGAACAACCCTTGCCTCCCTTCATTCATCCTAGCTTGTGCATGGCATTTTACACTAGTCTCATAGTGTGCTGCTGTTTTGCAGTTTGTCGTTAAAAGTCTAAAAACAGTTACTTCACTACACAAATTGCTTCCCTTGATAAGTTTCAAAAAAAAAAAACAAAAGCAGCAGCTCACCAACTTTCTCCCCTCACCCCCTCACCTTTGGCATTTGTGCCAGCACTTGGGGCAGCCCTTTGTAGACGTGGGATTTCTGCAGGTTGTCCCACTGGTAGAGGGAGTCCAAATACTGGAGCGTCTTGACGCCCACGTCTTCCAGAAATTTCAGCTGTGAACAGAGGGCACATCAGCAATGTGCGACATATCACAAACTGATACAGAATAAGTGAAAGAGCTCTGCTGCAGCTACAGGCAAACATGGTTTTGTAACAAAAAAAATTGAGGGACCTTAAAGCTTCGCCTTCAGGAGTTGAACGCAATAGCGACATCCTGTTCCTAGTGCGTACTTCAAACATTTGGTGCATGAAACCATTCTGAATTTGCTATGCACCCATAACCTGGCTTTAAGGGAATAGGTGCAGTTGCGTGTGTGCCTTTTGTAATGGGGTACCGGCTTTCAACCACAAGCTATTATGATAATCACATATTCTGAAAATCTTTTGCAATACGCTTGTACCACGCATTATTACTGCAGTATTTCGTGTTGCATTGTGAAGCATGTATACAGGACGCGTGTGTTTGGGAAACATGAAAGCTACTTTCACTGCCTTTTCAAGCAGAGGAAGTTCTTTTCACTGCATTCACAAGCAGAGGCATGGCCAGGTAGTAGAACATTTGCTTGCCACGCAAACAACCCAAATTCGATCTTGACTCGGACCCGAACAACTCTGGTTCGGTCCCCACTTTGCTCCAGGGTTCTATATCATTTATTTATTTTATTTGCATCGTTCTCGATTTTTCGGTGACGCATAAGATCATGATTTTTCGCTCACAAACAACGACAACGACGCCAACATTTCTGCTATAGGAGCTCTTTCAACGCTATCGTGTTAATAACCAGTGCTAATATAATGCATAAGTGCACACCACATGGCAGTATATGTTCAACTGGCTATCAGTTTCTCAGTAAATTGACAGAATAATCAACGTGTGTGAAATCGAGCTGTAGAAAACCTTTTCTACCTTTTTTTCTGTGCTGATCTCATACATCTGAGCATCCCACGAGTTATGTTTCAATATAAAAGAACGAAGAAGCTTACTGCCCAGTTCTTTGTTCCTCTCTGTCTGGTCATATGTCTTTCAACATCATAAGTGGCCCATATTTGGTGATGATGACTGACTAGCTTAACATTCCTGCTATGGAATCATGGCAACATTCGCACAACTATACTCAGTGACAACATGAGAATAAGAAGCAAAATGTAACACTGTCTACATCAAGATGAAGTGGCCATGTCTTCGTCCTGCTCAGACAAGCCCTCATGCCGAAACATTGGTGTCAGTGAAGTTCCCTTTTCAACAATTTCCCACTCCATGCTTCAAGCCTCCATCTTCACAAAAACATTTGGACTGTAAATAACGGAGCGCGAACGATAGAATAATGTGAAAGCTGGGTCGCTCACCTTGGAGAACTGGTGCGCATCTGGCCTGATATCTGGTGTCACGCTCAGGAGCATCCTCACATGCTCCTTGGCATCTTCAGGCAGGGCATTCAACCTCCCCGTCGACAAATGCTTTAAATGCTGCAGGGAGTGGCATTGTTAACACGTGACCCCAGACACGCGATATAATTGGCTCGCCTTGTTAATGCACTGCTTCAGTGATGCCACGCTGCTGTTGGCGTCGTACAGAGTGCTGCCCTTGTTGTAGACGGCATAGACGAGGATGCCGAGGCTGAACATGTCGCTCGCGGTGTCGTTGGAGTCCGCCAAGACGCACTCGGGGGCCAGGTAGTTCAAGTTTGGCTGAGCCAAGGGCGGGAGGTCTGGCTCTAGGTTCAGGCTCCGGTAGGAAGGCTGCAAGTGAAGCGATGACATGTCGACAAACTTCTACCAAGATGCTTCGTTTTATGCTATGCTTTTGTGTGATGCTTTACTTACCCTGCCCCCAGAAAAGACACAGACACTGGAGCAGACAGGTATACAATACCCGTTTGACAACAAACATGACCATATTCAGATAAACACTTTGAACAAACTAAGAATGACTTCTAAGAATGCAACATGACTTTGAACTAACTAAGAATGACTTCTAAGACTGCAACATGAGGTATGCATAGTTTAGCCCACATTAAAACCTTTGGGGAAAATGGAACAGTACAAGTGAAAAGGGGCAGTTACAAGAAAAATACAAACGGCAAGGGTTACAACACATTACATTTATATTCTTCATAGCTGCCTTACTACAGCTTGACATCATTGCATGCTGTAACAGCATGCAATCGTCCCGTCCTTCACTGTTACTTGTGATCCACATTGTGTACGTTGATCAAAAGATGCATACACTCGCCAAACTAATTAGTCAGCTGCCATTTTCAAGTCGTTCTTGTTTTGTATGCAATAACAGATTCGTCTAAAACAATAGCCGACTCAAATGGCCACCTTTACACGCAGCAAGCTTCCGTCAACATGACTCAATACATATTCCTTCCTGTCTTCCTTCAGCAGTGTAGTTTGCACACTCTTCTGCCCAGTGAGAGCGTTCGAGCAGTGCACCTATCAATATAGGAAAAATCTCACGCAATGGCAGACCTGAGGATCCTGTGGATTGTTGGCACCAATGCTGAAGTCAAATCCAGCAATCTTCCAAGCACCTTTCTTGTTTACCACTATCGCCTGGGGGCAGAGATTACGGTGGAGGCGTTTCACATCATTGTGGAGGAAGGCCAACCCTTCAGACACCTGAAAGCATAAAGGAATCATAATGAATGGGTATTAATTAACTATCTCCATCACACAGCCTTTAAGAAATATTGAAAAGACAACAAAACTGTGCCTAACAAAAAGAAAGAAAAGGAACGCTTGCCTGGATTGCTCACACTGCATTTGGTAAAACTTGCACACAACTGAAGCCATTAACAGAATAAAGTTCTGTACATTAAAAAGCTGACCTTCATCAAAATACTAGCACTTATACACCACCAAAAACCAAAACGGTTTGCATAACTGAGCATGTTTATGAGTGCCACAGCATCAACAAACCAAAGTTACTCTTCTGCAACGCACCTGTAAGAACCCATACTTGATTTCGACGTCAAACAACTGATAGTCCTTGAGCTCTGGTGGAGGGGAACAGGCATGTTCTCAGTCTCGCCAAGTATATTGGCTAAACTACAAAATGCTGGCTCTGTTGCAAACTGCCAGACTTTCCCTGCACACAGACAGAACAAACACAGACAGCTAAGTTTTATGTAAAACTTTGTAACAAGCATTACTCGAATATTTTCAAGTTTCTCATCCTGATATACAGCAGAGAATGCTAAAGAACCATGGAATGGCAAATTCATTTAAAACCTAATTGTCCGCTCAGTAACCCTGCATCTAGCATGCACGCCTGAGCAAACCAAAGATGTTAACCCAGTTATCCGTGCCATGGCATTCAAAGAAGTCCTGGAAAAACTTTTTTTCTTTACACAATGTCACACAGCTCAATTTAATTCGTGATCGAGGGCACTAAGGATCAGCCTTACCACAAGTCGGCTCATTTAAGCAAGGTTCATAAGGTAGCCAATCTTACTCAAGAAATTCTATCCATATTATGGCTCCACTCTAATAACAAATGCCCCGGTGATACATGTACGAAACTAACAAATTAAGTTTCTGTGGTTTTACAAGCCAAAATATCACAAAACAATTATGATGCACACAGCAGTGGGGACTGCAGATCAAGTTTTATCACTCGAGTTACACAGAGTTACACCTATACTTGAATACAACTATTGAAATCCGCAGCGTTTCCAGCTCAAAGGTGGATGCACAGAAGCCTGCCCGAATGAGTGTGCGCTCCTGAATGGTGCCATTAGAAGGACGGCCAGTGACCCCGCAGAACAGAGCTGACTGCATGAACGAGATTATTTCTTTGGTCCAGAGACTATCAGCTGCCATGCTTTGGTCGTTTGAGCTGGGCCTATGCCTGACTTCTTAGTTTATCAGACAATAAGTATGCAGAAGGAAAGAAGTGTAAATTTAACATGTTTGTTTCTTCGTTAGACATTCTATTAACAAAAACTAATGAAATTGTTGGCTGGCTTTCATTAAGAATAAGTATGCAGGTGCTCTTACAGCATTTACATATGTTTGCATGAAATGCAGTCACCATGACTGGAAATTGAGCCTGTGACTCTAAGCTTAGCAGTGTCAGCAAGTTAATGTCAAAGCTTTTAGCTGGAATGATCGCAGTTTCTTTTGGAGAGAAGAGTAATGTATTAGATTTCGAGGAAAAGGTTTCAGGTATACTCTCCCCAGTCAATTCACTGTTTCTTCTAAACCGTTTCTTCTCAAATGCAGCCACGCCCTGCTTGTTACTCCCATCCTTGCTTTTCTCTAAGACTGATGAAGGACCACTGACAAGATTTGTTGGGTTTGTTAACTACCAATAACAATTTCCTGAGAAGTCCAGAAGGACTTGCATCAGAAGCTTTTGCTCTTGCGTAACTCACAGTCATAAAGAACCGCCATATGGCAGACGTCGATGGGCAAAGGCACATGTGTCATAAAGTCCACATATTGAAGCTTTAAATATCGTGGAAGAAAAAAAAAGGAGCTTTTTTTTGTGAGAAAGAGCACAAGCTTCCTGCAACATGAAGTCTGCAGCACTGCCTACAGATCAAGCACACTTCTTTACTACGTTCAAATATTTCTGTGGTGCCCTTTCAAGGAACAGAATCAATAGAGCTCTTCACGAGTATCAATGTATGCCACTTTGTACAATTAGCAGCTTCAGCTGTGCTTCTTCTGGACACTAACAGATCGAGATCAAATGCCGGCTTTCAGTGTGCTGGCTGCACAGCAATATGGTAAGCTTCAGATTTTGGAGTACAGAAGAACCCAGCCAGTTAACAAACAAATGAAAGCAGGGTAGGGCTCTGCAGACACAGGAGTCCCTTGGGATGCCGAGAGACGCAAAATCTAAAGCTGCTCCATTGGCAGCCTCAGCGATGTCAAGAGCGCATCCCCTAAAGCAGGACCTTACAGTAATTGACTGTAAGGTCCTGTAGTGCTCAGTCGGTGAATTTGCTGGTTTCTTCTTCCGATTACTATGAGCCAACTCGCTCGGCAAGCTGTGAGTACAAATGGTCACCTTGATTCTTCCATTGGATGCTGAACAGTGAGAATGCTGGGATGACGAAGTCGTGTTAGCTGCGCCACTCCTTGCTTCAGAAGTTCCATTACGTGTTCCCTGTCCCTCTTGGAGTAGCGGTCAAGCTGCTTCTTCTCCAGAACAAACACAGCTGCCTCCTGTTGAAATTAAAAACCAGCACGTTAGCTTGCCTTCGGCACAAAGGTCAGCATACTGATGCAGTTTATCATTGTGCGAGACACCACCTATTAGACAGTTTCAGAATAGGGTACACAAAGCTTTGCGTTAGCATTTGCACCACTGCCCATGCATCATACACCATCTGCTTGGGTAAAACAGCATACGGATGCAAGGAGCGCTATCTCTGCACATCTTTTTTGAAAACTGCCAATTATATTTTAATTGGATATATAAGAAGGCTTATGTGTAGGGGCATGTGAACATCAAATTGAATATTGTTCTATTAGATTGGACATTTTGTAGTCTTAACAGGTCAGTAATATTTTTAAATGTCAAGTGCATCGAGAACTGATATGAAAGTAAAATAAATTTAATACTAACAAGCATAGGATGGGCATAAAATAAGACAGCTTATGTGGCACTGCAGGCTGCTTCACTGAAGGCAGCCAAGTTTTAATACTTATAAAACAACCTCATACATTCTCTGATGAGTACTGTACATGAAAAAAAAAAATCTGATTTGTTCCTGATTCTTAATTTGTGCTTTGAATGCTAAAATTGTGAATAGTAGGGGGTATGAATGTTGTTCCATGCATTAAATGTAGGAACTGCTGTTCAACGTTCAGAAAGCATTTGACAATTCATATAATTGGTTTCAGGCATTTTTCTCGAAAATTAGCATTCACACAAACCTACTTATCGTCTCAGTAAGTGTATAAAATTCGCGTTTTAGTGATACTGCAGATAATGGACAAGCCAATACCTCCTTGGTGCTTCGCTTTGTGGCTTGGAATATTTTCCACAGAAGACCAGGTCCTGCACTTCCCACATGTTTGATGATTTCGTACTCCCTTGTGACTGGGTTGCCCTGGTAGAACGGTACTCAGGTTCGAGACCGTGGACCTCAGTCGGTTGAACACATCCATCCTGAGCTGTGATCACAGGAAACACGATATGTATAATTTCACTGAGGATAAACAAACATCGTGCAAGAAATGCTCTCTCGGTAACGAAATCGAGGCAATCGACAATGTCATAATAACAGGCTAGGTTTTTGCTCACATTTAAAACCCTGAAAACGAAGGTTTTACAGCACGAAACTACGTTCTCAAATCGGTAGTCTCAGGAATGTGAGGGCCTTCCCCCACCCAGAGAGCTTTTGCCAGCTCCCTCCGAAACGACGTGGGAGACCTTAATACGGTCCCCCGACGAAAAACTGCAAAAAGCAGTCATTGCATGGGCACAAGAGGTCGCCGTAGACAAGCGGCCAGCTCGAAACCCATGAAATCTCTTTTAATAAAGTTGTATCCTTCTCCATAGGCGACTTGTCATTGCTGAGCATGTGGTACCGTATTCCGGCACATGTGTTGGCATGGCGCTGTGCGATCTAGGATTATCGCACATTTATTTGCAATACAGTTAACGGCAAATGAAGGTGATCGTGTGTAGGCAACGGCATGATGAGTGAGCGGCTGCGCTGGCAGTGGTACACTTGCAATTCGCGGTTGCGAGAATTATTGCGATGTAAGCTTACTGGTTTCTCCGTAGAGCGCAATCGTTGAGCGCTAGCCTTGTTGGGCGCTATCTACGCTGGGTGGGCTGCAGCATCGTTTTCGACGTTGAATAATATTTAACGCGGCAGCTGCTGCAGTTGCCGGGACGCACAGTTGCCGGGGCGTCTACCAAAATGCTCGGCTGATGACAGCACAGATGACGACGATCGCGCTACGAGCCAGAGTCTGCTGCCCGAAGTGCGTAGCACATCAGGAAGCTCGAGCGGGCCCAGCGAGCATGAGACGAAGAATGGACACTTAACGAGGATTTGGACAAGGAATCGCCCAAATGCACGCACACGGGGATCGCAGACAGGAAACTGCGTAGGCTACGTCACTGCGGCTAGGACATCGTTTACGGCGGAGAGGCAGCTGGCACATAGAATAAAGAACCGAAAGAACCTTTGCAACTCTGCGCGTTTGCAGGTTCGGCTTCGCCTAGTGGTGCCGCTGCGAGCGGTATAGGTGTTCCCTGTGCGAGCGGCGATTCTTGCGCCAGCTTGCGCTAGATCGAGGCCGACACGAGCGGTGATCGCCAGAGCCCTGAGTTGCCGAAAGTTCTAGAATCGCCGCGACTGGCGCACCGCGTTTGTGCCTGAGCTGTGCGTGCACGCATCCGCGATTTAGTAGATCGGCGTTTGCGCTGCCTCGGTTCTATCTCTCTGCGTGTCGCAGAATCTTCGTTGTCGTTCGAAGCCAAGGGGATCGTCTAGCCGTCGGCGACGAGGAGCAGCACGATGACGGAAGGCGACGACCATGCGGCTGCCGCTCAGGGCGATCAGCAACAGCACGCGGAGGCGGTTGCCGCCGCCGGTCCCAATGCCGTGGACATTACGCCCGAGAAGAACGGCGGCGTGCTCAAGGAGATCATCACTCCCGGCACGGGCGACGAGACGCCCGGCGATGGGTGCTCGGTCACCGTTCACTACACGGGAAAACTGGTGGACGGCACCGAATTCGATTCGAGCCGCCTGCGGGGCAAGTTCGACTTCAACCTCGGCACCGGTAAGTTTGCGTTATGTCGAGATCACTCTTTTGTTGGCTGATTTTCCCTTGCTAGAAGGCGGTCGGTGTTTACTGGGTCTCACTTTTTCTAGCCGGCCGGTGAAATGTCGGTGTGACCACGGTCCCTAGAAGTATGTAGGGACCGCGTTGTACTCGATCGTGTATCGCTCGCGATTTCGCAGCATACTCGACACCATCCTCGATTCTTACACCTCGACCTAGTAGCAAGCAAATAAGCAGCGACGTCTCCCACCACGAGATTTGCTAGCTTTGCGGAGAACAGGTAAGTACGGCGTGGACGGCTCTTTGTTTATGGCTATCCGCATCGTTGGAAGACAAACGCACCCATTCCCAATCCCCGATGGCGCCGGCGAAGGGGAAAAAAAAAGTTATGTGCGTTCATTGTTTTCTGTTCCTCTTGCCAACGAAATGGTTCAAGGGTTCCAGAAAGATCTTGAATATTCCGTGCGCTTTCCTCAATCGTGTGAATTCTGGAAGCCTATTATGATCGCCCCGGTTTTTCTTGTTTAAAACACCTAATTAGACCACCTGAGTAAACTTAAATTAGTCTTGGGTATTTGCGGATCTTCTTTAGGAAAGGAGCCTTTTTTTTTTTCTGAATTTAGCGCCTCGTGCTGGAACACTGTGCTGAAGTAACATGAAAATGATGCGACGTTTGACGAACCTGAGGCTTCCTTCTATGTATACTGCAAGCCTCTAAGATTTTAAATGCAAAGCATTGCTTAGAAAACTTCGGTGACTTTAAGCGTATCGATCTATCTATCTAACCGCCAACGACTGTTAGCTCTCCTGGCCGTTTCGATAAAGGTATCAATACCGAAATTGGTATGGGAAAACATGATGAGTCATAACATGAAAATCATTAATTTATGTCATGACTTACATTTCATGATCTTGCGGGGGTTTCTTTCACATGGCATGTTGCAAAACAGGTGTGGTATGGCATGATTGCATGGCGAACACAAGCGACAGATCCGACCATGATAATCATGACATGCATGTCATGTAACAACATGACTACATGCCACACTCATGACGCGCTCGCGGCCGTTTCGCTTATGGAAAATTTGGTATTCGGGACGTGAATGGATGACGAAAGTATGTGACTGGTGCAAACATGATAATCACGAGATGCGTGTCATCCAAGAACATGACTGCATGCCACACTCAAGGCGTTTATACACTTCGACTCGACCCCGCGCGCTAGCGTTCGTTTCGTCGCACCATGCGGGCGATGCCACGCCAGGTGCCGATCTTCCTGGCATATACTCGCAGGCGCGCTGCGCGTTGCGTTTCTATGACGCATGCGCGTTTGAGCGCACCCGGCGTCCCTTTGTCACCAAGAGAGGCAGACGCAGTGGTGTCTGGGTAACGTCGTCGGCGCGAAATTCAGCATGTCGCATTTCGCACCGGTTGCCGCTGGGCCGCGCCGACAGACGCTGGTCGCGCCGTCAGACTATATAGAACTTGCCTCGCGTTCCGCTAGAGTAGCGTCGATGCGCCTATTTTGCGTCGTAGCATATAGGTCCCTTTATTATACGTTCACCGCCGTTTCGCTAGCTTTACATATACTAAATTTGGTATTATGGGACGTGATTGGACGACGAAGGTGTGTGACTGTTGCAAACATGATAATCATGAGATGCGTGTCATGTACAAACATGACTACATGCCCAGCTCATGATGCACTCGCGGCCGTTTCACAAGCTCCACATGTACCAAATTTGGTGTTACGTAACGTCAATGGATGACGAAGATATATGACTGGTGCAAACATTATAATCATGACACACGTGTCATTTAAGAACATGACAACATACCACGCTTGTGATGCGCATCGCGGCCAGTTTCGCTAGCTCCACATATACCAAATTTGGTATCGTGTGACGTGGATAGGCGACGAAGGTTAATGACACGTCCAAACATGATAATTATGATATTCGTGCCATGTAAAGCATGACTACATGCTACGCTCATAGCGTGCTCGCGACCGTTTCACTAGTTTCACATATACCAAATTTGGTATTACGTGACGTGAACGGACGACGATTGTAAATGACAGGCTTAAACATGATAATCATGACATGCGTGTCTTTAAACATGACTAACTGCTACACTCATGCGCGCTCGCGGCCGTTTTGCTAGCTCAATTAACTTTGTTATTACGTGATGTGAATAGACGACGGCGGTAAATGACGCGACTAAACATCATAACTATGGCACCTGGGAAATGTAAAACTTGACTACATGCTACGCTCACATCGCGCTCGATGCCGGTTCGCTAGCTCCACATATACGAAATTTGGTATCACGTGTCGTAAATAGATGACGAAGGCCAGTGACACGTACAAACATGACAATCATGACATGGAAGTCATGTACGGCATAATTTACCTCCACCTCGTAACATTGTGTTCATCTTTTAGTGCATGTCAACCTTCCTCATTTGTGCTTTGCATATTATTGATTACCACTGTACGTGGGATTTGCCAATTTTAGGTGTGAATACACTTTATAAGCGACCCCAAACCATCCACCGCCGTCGGCGGCGTCCGCAGTCTTCTCTCTATCTTTAAAAGAAAGAGGACTTGGCGGGCCGCAGCGCGACGCTCTACCGAATAAAGGGCCAACTACTAGCACGCGTATGCTCGCGTCTACGCGTCAAAAGCGTCAAATGCGCCTCTCGGCGTCGGCTTCGGAGGGGCATACGCGAGCAGGCGCGAGGGATCAAGCCGGGCTTGATATTTCGCCTCGCGTACGCTACGTCACCACGCGTACAGCGGCGCCAACCAACCAGAGGCCGCGCGCCAACCAACCAGAGGCCGCGATGACTCCGAATGCTGTGCCTAATGGCTGCCGCTTCGAAGGCACAGCCGTGTGCTGAAAGCAAGCATGAAAACTACTCCAAACGTTCCTGAATGACCGCTTCGTAATCTAGAACGACAACGAAACGACGAACCACTGCGAGTGCTACCAGCGTCACGCGGTTTCGTGTCGAGTTCGAGCGACGCCGACAAATCCAGCGAATGCCGGCCGGCTATGCTAGCGCCGGACCCCTGTGCGATCGTCGGCCGAGCGAAAGGAGCATGTCGGTGTTCTTGTGCTTTGATCTGTGACTTTCTGTGTTAAAAAGGAGTGTGAACAGACTTCGGAGGTTCGAAGGTTTGAGCGTGAGCCCTCGCCTACCGCGGAGGCAATTCAGATCGGTGTCATCTGCATCCAGCGCAGGCCTCTACCATCTAGTTCGTATGAACCATCACATGCGAGGCACGTCGGCTGAAAAAACTCTACGGTAGTTTCCGTCGCAACATAGACACCATATACGACGACAGAAATATCGCGTAGGTCATACGGAGGAGTTTTTATCTGCACGTGTTTGTGTTTGTTTTCAACATCAGTATTCATCATCGCTGAAAGCGAATCTCGCACTAGCCAACACATTTCCGTGATGTGAAAACGTACGTACTTATATAAGTGTATTCGCGAATTGTATGACGCAGAAACATTCGTTGGCTTCGGTGCTAATCGTTTCCGTGTGTTGCCAAGCTAATAACAAGCGTGCGCTGGTTAGTAGCCGTGAGATGCGACTTCGTGTCGGGTACCAGCGACGCTGACACATTGGGCTGTCAGCGGTCTCATTTCCATTCACGTACAAGACAGAAACTCGAGCGTGCGTTGCTGTGGTGATCGAAAAAGAAAGTTGCATGATTAAGTGCTGCTGGTATTGCCTGCTATTTCACTTCTCGCTTGTTCTGCTTCTGTGCCACGCTCAGTAGCACATACGTTGTTTGGAGGCATTCTAACACACACATTCTTAATTTGTAGTTCATTCTGATACTCATAGTTATAGGCATACAATGGCGCCTCTCCGTCATTTTACAGTTTACTATAACATAACGCGCGTTATGTTTACAGCTGGACAGATAACTGAAAACCTTGTGAAAAGCACCTGATTTGAAATCAGCTGCACGATGACACGATTGTGGGAAGAGAAGATCACCACATGTATGCACAGAATGAATGAAGGTGCACTAGTATGGTACTGCACTTTGTGTAGAAGAAATGCAAAAAGTACCTCATGTGACTTATGAGTCCTTTCAGAGCTGTGCTTGCATTTATCTGTGCCTCCAGACTGTAATGAGCTGAATATATTCGATGGTTCTGAACATTGAATATTTGTATGTGTTTCCAAGGAGTCGTTCATTTCTGTTCTGTTTTTTAGTATATGCATTAACTTGGATTATATATACGCATTCACTTAAGCATATTCTGTTTAGTTCTGTTGGAAAACTTGCCAAAACTTCTGTACGGTGCTCTGGTGCAATCCTTTGATCAGTATCTGTCCCATCGAAAATTTTTGGCATGCTTTATTGCATTATAGTGTATTTTGACAATTGATGACATGTGAAAGCCACAGTGCATGGCTGTAATCTCAAAATAAATGTCTGTCTCATCAAGAAGTGTCAGATGCATTTTGTAGATGTTAAAGGATATTTAAACTACCAGCAAAGTGCTGAAGTCTTCAACACAGCACTGATCCGCAATCACCACCCAGCTCAGAAGTCATTTGTAGAGCTCTCTAACACGTTCAAATAAAGTTATCAAACACTGGATTGATCTACTTGGTTTGATTCCTAATCCCAGTGTGTCTGACTTTTTGGAGGCACTTGTATTATAATAATGTCCTATTTCTCTCATTTATTACAGGGGTGCACTCAAGGGTAGTGATATTTGTTTACCTTGGCACACTTAATGTGATATTACTGTTTATATCCTTTCATTTTGTATATATGTATGCCACTTTTGCAGTAGCCTCGCAGTGAGCAGCTGTATTTGAAAATAAATAAATATACCATCCGAAAGTGCTCAACGCTGTGCTCGGTTCCAATCTGGTCGCTGATATCTGTTGCATCATGATGTGTCGGGTGTGTTTTATTGCATTGGAGAACATTTTGGCTGCCTTCCATGCAAGGTTCAGT